CGTGGCCTAGGTACCGAGTTTCCCTAGCAAATAGGGTGCATTTTTTAGGAGTTAGTTTCAGGTTTGCGTCCTGAAGTCGCTGAATAACCAGCTCAAGATTTGCCAAGTGTTCGGCGAACGTTTTCCCAAGGACCACGATATCGTCTAAATAAACAAGGCACGCAGACCAGGTCAGTCCCTGAAGGACCTTCTCCATCAGACGTTGGAACGTTGCGGGCGCATTACACAACCCGAATGGCATGACTGTAAATTGGTAGAGCGCACAGCCTGTGCTGAAGGCTGTTTTTTCGCGGTCAGTTGAATGTACTGGAACCTGCCAGTAGCCGCTCTTCAGGTCGAGAGTCGAGAACCAAGTGGAACCCGCGAGTGCGTCTAAGATGTCATCTGTCCGTGGTAGTGGAAAGGCATCCTTCTTTGTAACGTCATTCAGCTTTCTATAATCCACGCAAAATCGAGTCGATCCATCTTTTTTTTTTTACCAGGGTGATCGGCGAAGACCAGGATCCATAGGCTGGCTCAATGACACCTTGTGTGAGCATTTCTTGAACAAGGTCATTTACGTGCGCGCGCTTAGCCAGCGGCACCCTGCGAGGTGGCTGTCGAATGGGCGCAGCATCACCGGTTATGATGCGGTGTGCGGTCAGATTTGTTTTTCCCAAATCGGTGTTGCTACTGCTGAATACCGTCGAAAAACGAGATAGAAAGCTTTTTAGAAGGAGAGCGTCATCTTGTTGAAGTCGAGAAGCAGTAGTCTCGTATAGCGGAATAAGGTGAGCGCCGAGTTCAACTGAACACGAGCCTAGCGAGGTAGCAGGTGTAGTTTCCTTGCAAAAAGCAACTGTTGGTTGAGCATCTTCACTTTCTGTTCTGCTGTGGCCTTCTTCTTGGGAACTCGAGCAAGTCATTGTCGGAAGGGTGGTTGCCGACTGATGCATGGTTGTCCACCGTGAGGCCTTGCGAGCGGCCTCCACTTCTAATGCATACGTGTGAGCGGCCCGAAACGTGCGGGGGTGGTAAAGACGCACAGCTTCTTGGATATCTTCAGATGCAATAGCATCAATGAACGCCGCAGTGCTGACAGCATCTACGGTGTCTTCGGAAGACCCGAGAAACGACAAGCGCGCAAGACGCTCGATGTCGTCAGCGAGCTGGGACAACGTCTTACCCGATGCTTGTCGTCGATGACGTAGCTCAGCATGGTGAAGGTGACGTTGAGGCCCATCGCCGAAACGTTCTTCTAACGCCTGGACCAGCAAGGTGTACGAACCACGGGATTCAGGCGGCATGTGGTGGAGCACTTGCAACGCTGGACCGCTGAGGTTGACTGCAAGTACTTGTGCCTGCTGCTCTTCGGTCCAGCGATTGGCTTTAGCAAGAATCTCGAACTGTGTTACGTAGGCAGACCATGTGCCTGTGCCGTCAAACTGCAATGGCCGCAGCTTAAGGCGTGGAGTAGATAAAGGTATAGTCGACGCGACGTTTGTCGTCACTGATGTTGGCGGCAGATAACTTGGACTTGCCTGCGAAAGTCCTGGCTGGACGAGCGCTCGCAGGCCATCAAGAAGTGCGACCGATATTCGTTCGAATAAATTCGACAGAACCTCCAAAAGGGCCGCGTCTCTGTGCCTGAGCTCCTGGGCAGTCCGTTGGTGGTGGGCATCCAGCAGGGCTTCAATGGCCGATGAAGTCTCAGTTCGAATGTTAGGGTCAATGGAGTCGGGAACCGGCCGGGGCGCGATGGCTTCTCCGGTTCGCGGGATCTCATCCTCAGGCTGTCGAGGAAGGTCCATGCGTGCCGGCAGAAGGCGTCTTCACTGAAGATCCCACTTCTGACACCAGTGTAACGCTTTTATTTAAGCGTGTCCTTTGCCCCAATCTGTTCCCCGCTTGTTCCCAACGTGACGTCTTCTTCCTCTCCTTACAACCGTCACAATATATATATGCACTCTCTAGTCAATATAAATAGACATGTCATAATGTCAAGATTCTCAGCTTTAGCTATACAAATATAATCAAAGAAATCAAGTACCCTGTGCAGTGTTTTACTCACTGATCTCAATGACAATTGCTGGATCGCGCTTGCCGCTCCCGCAAGTGAAGCCACCGGGCGTAACTCGCTTGGGATACGATTTGCCGTTTTTGCTAGCCTTTGCTGCGGTTTTCCAGCGTGCTGACGACACGTTTTCTACTCGTTCGTCGTCATTCGCCGAAGAAGTTTTTTGAAGACTCTGTGTATTGTTGAGACTTTCCGTTGTGAACACGTGGAAAATTTTATGAAAGTGCAGTGTCGCAGGAAAAAGGCACAACGCGTCGAAAGGAAGGGCTGGCGGCGTGTTCAAAGCATCCTTGGCACGCCGAAGTGCCGTGTCTCTGTGCCTTCGCGCGCTTGGATACCGACCAAGAACCGACGCCGTGTGAATGTGTTTAGCGAGTGCAATGTGCGTGAAGCCGTATCAAAAGGTACAACTCGTCGAAAACGTGTCGCCGGTGTCGCGGCGTGATCAAAGCTTCCTTGGCACGCCGAGTGATGCATCTTTGTGCCTTCGCGCGCTTGGATACCGGTCAAGAATTGACGCCGCGCCAAAGTTCTGAACGTGTGTCGCGCGTAGATGCCTTTAGATCATTTATATATATCGGCCACGGAGTTCTGGATCGTCCAGCTGTTCCGGTGAGTTGCTATCAATAAAAGGGGGAGATCTGTACGTATTCTTATGTACTATATTAACCATGGCTATGTCCCAAATCTACTCTAATAGATTCCGTGGGAGCACGAATAGGGCAACGTTGTACGTAGAGCCAGGAGGGTTTTCGAAAGCAAAAGTACAAGACGGCGAGAATGAAAATCTTTGAAGCGCGGCCGATATGGTCGTGTGCAATCGGTTGACCAATTACAATTAGGCGAGCCGCGCTCAAACGTCAAATGCAATTAAGTAGGTTGATAATAAGCCAGCACTGACCAGTGATGAGGAGCTGTTGTGCACGGTATTGTGTAAATCGTCTAAGGACGAAAAAAAGACGTACCTTCTCCCCATCTTCCGTCGCTAGTGGACGCTGGATTAAGCTCGTTCCTAAACCGCGAGGGGAAAAGACGCTGATCCAGAGGCACGAACAGCTTCACGCACATTGCACTCGCTGAACACATACACACGGCGTCGGTTCTTGGTCGGTATCCAAGCGTGCGAAGGCACAGAGACACGGCACTTCGGCGTGCCAAGGAAGCTTTGAACATGCCGCCAGCCCTTCCTTTCGACGCGTTGTGCCTTTTTCCTGCGACAGTGCACTTTCGTAAAATTTTCCACGTGTTCACAACGGCAAGTCTCAACAATACACAGAGTCTTCAAAAAACTTCTTCGGCGAATGACGACGAACGAGTAGAAAACGTGTCTACAGCACGCTGGAAAACCGCAGCAAAGGCTAGCAGAAACGGCAAATCGTATCCCAAGCGAGTGAAGTCCGGTGGCTTCACTTGCGCTGCAGCGAACAAGCGGGGAAGCGCGATCCAGCAATTGTCATGGAGATCAGTGGTTTTACTCGAACGTAGCAGACGACGGCGTGCGTTTCCGACGAGGTGGACGCCTGGAGGCGCTGCCGCCTCCTGCCTCTTTAAAAATAATTTCTCCAAAATAACGAATAGCACTGTTCCAATTTCTTGATATGTTGAACAGATTGGGTCGGTTAACCTTTCGGCCATTTCAGAAAATGCAAGCACCGCTGCCCATATGGCTTTTTTTTTTTTTTTTTGAAGAAAGTGACATATTCACCAATCAATTAAAAACGGTCCGAATAATCTTTTACAATTGTAATGCAACCTAGTCGAGTATACGATTTATAAAAATAATTAAAAAAAAGGCTTCTTAGTTAAATTTTAATTTTAAGTTGACTAAAAAAATTAAGAAATCTTAAAAATTTGCTTAGGAGTGCCTGCCTGGACCCAAAATGGCTGCGTAAGGCGTTTTACTTCCAAGGTGAGATAGAATATATTAGTGACCGATTGCATGCAAACTTAAAATTATGTGGTAAAAATAGCTTTTTTTTTCGAAAATGATTTTAAGTACAGGAGGTTTTCTCGGATTCCCCGCACTTTGGAGCATGACGTCAGCAAAAACAAACATAATTCAGCCCTCAAACTTAGCCGTCCTTACTTTCAGACGTCTTTATTAATACATTTTTTAAACATATCCAAAATATGACGAAAATTTCCGTCTCCTTTGGCATGGATTAACCCCTCACTCAAAATTCGTACAAAAGCAGCCGCTTCGGTGGCTGGAACGACTAGGCCATCCTGTCGACATCAGTCTCGCCGTAGCTTTGCTCGTCCCGAGACGAACCACGTCACGATTGCGTTGGATGTCACGTGGTCTTCGCTGGCTGTTCTCAGAGCGCTAGCCAGAGTGGGCTGTTTACAACGAAAACAGACACCAGGCTCAAAATGCAAACGAGCGATTGTCATTCATGGATATTGTGGATCATATTCAACCTATTTTTGAACACGACGGGTATATTTAAAATATCGTTGAAGTATCCCTTTAATATCGGAATTATCAACGCAAATTAAAGATATAAAACATGTTTTTAGCACGTAACAGTGCGTCTAAATAGCGCAAGAAAAATAAAATTTCGTGACGATGTAAAGTCGTAGTAATTCGGTTGCTGCGTGTGAACGCGAGGCCAGTGTAGCTCGTGTTGCGACGTCAGGTTGCTGGGCGAAATTGCCCCGTCTAAAGCAGACCTCAAAACGCGCTTTTTTTTTTTTTTTTTTGATATTTAGGGTATCTTAAGTTACCAGGTTCTATATAAAATCAATCTATTTGCAACAGTTTGACGCTTCTCATACCATTTACCTTAGCATACTGGATGTGGGCCAAGACTACTCTCACATGTTGGGCAACAAGATAGAACAGGGTCAATGGGTAGAACATCACATAGCTAAACTAGGAAAAAGCAACCCAAGGGGAATTAAAAGTAGCTTCCAAAAGGTGAAACCAAGAAACCCTGGCAGGTTGGCGGCTGATGGAGATGTTGGTTTTATTGAGGGGGCCTCTAGTCAAACAAGCCAAAGCCCATGTCGTCTCCGGACTCCTCGGATTCTTCTTTCTTCTCCTCCTTCTTGGCTGCTTCTGGAATGCCACAACAAATTCGAAATTACCACTGAACTGTCTAAGGCAAGGGCAGCCTCTCGCTGCCCAACAAAGTTGTGATGCAGGGTGCCCTCCACACTGAAGGCTAAATATTCCAAATAACTTGACCATCAACCACAATGGTGAACCACTGCAGAAGCTAACCACTTAGTTCAGGAAAACAAGACTCATTAGGAGCTTAAATTGACATCCTGTAATTAGTGACATCACCGACAGAACTATGGTTATCTCGAAAGTTGCTTTCAGGGCATCGCAACACGAGGCAATAAGAGAGGAGTAAAGTAAGAGAAGATTTAATAGAAAGTTTCCTCCACTGCCTTGGTGTCCCCAAACAGCCAGACCATTTCAGGTTTTCTTATTGACAAATACTCAGAAAGGAGTTTGGAAGGCATTTTTTAGGAGTGACTGAGGACGGTCAAGCAGGATGCTCCATTTTTAGCATCATGCAGTCAATACACCCCAACTTTCAGCTGTACACGAAAGGAAAGCGCACTGTAGCGGACTTTATCGTTTATCCACATTTTGCCAATATTAATTTGATACCACACATATCTAGCCACTTTTTCTGCACCATCTATGCATTGGTTTCTAAAAAAAAAAAAAAAAAGATTTTTAATGCTTGGAGAGAGCACTTTCCCCTGTGCAATAAAGGGTTTGTTCAAAGACGCACTCCCCAGTTAAAGGACCTCGCAATTAAATGCCTCCTAAAAAAAAAAAAAAAAAAAAATTTTTTTTTAATCAGTTTGGTTGGGACACGAGTGTCAAAAAATAAATTTACGCAACTTTTTTCCCCCTTTAAAGCAATATTGACGGCGAGATTTATATGAAATTCTGGGCGCAAAGCCCATGACGTCACGGAATGGTCATTCGCTCAATGACACATACAGCGTTGTGTATGTGTCCTGCTTCTCGTCCCTCGTCGTTTCCACTAACCTTTTAGACATGGTAATAGACCATTTGCCCAAGCATCAAGGAGAATGCAGGGATTGGTGTTCCACGCATCTCACGCCTTCCCCAAATAAGATTCTAAGTAAATAACCAAAATAAAGCGATGACTAACGCACGTGCAACATGCCGTTAGTCTTAGGTATTTGCTTTAGAAAAGTTACTACTGCTGAGGCCAGCATGTGCGACACATGGAACACCGATGCCTGCATTCTCCTTGATGCTTGGGTAATATAGCAATAGGTCTATTCACACTTTCCACATCAACGTGAAGGCGAAGCTGATCCGCCCCTCCTCAATGCCGAGAAACCAAGTGGAAAGGAGGGGACTAACGACTAAATCGTCAATATTGCTCTAAACTTTATTTATTTGCGTAAAATTCCACAGATCTCTATAAAGAGTTGTTACTATAGCCACTGACAGAATGAGAATAGATGGCATGCTCCATGCCCTTCGCCATGCTTTGGCACCATGCACGCTCGAGGTGCACTAATGTTGAAGCGTTGTCTTAGGCAGCTCACACTGGAGGAGGGACAAGTCACTCCCTTCCCTTCTCAGCGACTAAAAAAACCAACACTGGATACGCTACAGTCCACTCCTCAGCAGCTGGAGCAGTATTGGAATGTAATGAAACGACATCGCTCTTGTCCAGCTCCCCCCCCCCCCCCCCCCCCCCCCCCTTCTGCTACCCGGGCGAGGCGACGACTTAAAAATGATGTGCGTTTCTAGAGTTTCTTTAAAGTTGTGTTTTGGTAATGTGGACAAAAGTTCTCTTATAAAGAAAAAAGATCACTGTAGCTTTTGGGTCAGAGTACACAAAGAACTTCACTATTGTTTGTTATCGGTTGCCCTCCAAGAAGGATTTAACTCGGGGCGCAGAGTTTCATCTCTATGCGTCGCAGCCGCAGATGACAGACCTGAAGAATGTTTATAGGTTATGGGTATGCACTGTGCATAATTGACGCTTCACTAGCCACCTAGGAGAACGCAAGGCTATGGCAGACCTGAAGCATTCTTCTTTCAGAACGGTTATGACAACGAAAATGCCACTATAGTCACGGAATAATTATACTTGATTTATTAGTAACATGGTGAAACAGTTTTCGATACTGTCACACCTAGAATGCAAAATGCCACTAATGCTTACATGTTAAGTTCGTGCTGAGGAACGCAGAAGACCGGTGTCCTAACAATGAAATGAATAGGAGTGCCCCCAAAGTCTAAAACTGAAATAAGCTTTTTGTGCATTTTTTTTTTTTCGTCTCTGAGCCTGAGTAGCTTTTCTGTGCTCCACACTGCTGTTGCACACAGGTGTGGGCTGTTTCATTGATCACTATGACAATGGACTTCTTCCAAAACCGAAGCGCCCCATCGCGGCAAAATACCACGCAGTGCACTCTGGGAACTAGTTGGCCACTCAGTTTCGGTTTCGACTGAGCAGCTTCCTCTCATGCTATCACGCCGTGACTGAACGCGCTGCTTGCGTTTTCGATTATTTGACTTTTCACGAACATACAATACGCTCATTCTCGAGTGATACAAAAAGAAGACCGGGGCACTTTCCTTGGTTCCCGAAACACCGGATATTGTGCGTGCGTATGCGAACGTAGTAAGTCGTGGCTTAGTCACCTCACCCCACGAGTGTATCTTTGAGCTCAATGTCAGTAATCCCGTCTAGTACCAGTGAACTACAACTGAAATTTGTTCGTCTGGAGCCTTACACGCATATTGTTTGCCAAACGTCTGCTTCTTGTTACTTCATTGGGCTAAAAGCAAACCGTATCCTCACAGGGTATCAAAGTTGAGGCCAGCGTTTACGCATGAACTTTTAAGGAAACGCAATAAATTCGACCTCACTACTGCACAAAAACTACTATGATGTCTTCCTCGTGTCATCATATATCTTCCACTCAAATTTTATGCTGATAGAAGATTAACTTTTCGCAAACGCTGAGATCGGCTAGCTACGACGGAGGCCCTAACAAGCGTCCCCTACTCCTCGCTAAGCCTTTTTGGACGAGTTTTTACTGACGCCCGAGATCTGTGCCGGGAACGGTGTGTCTGAAATTATCTCGGCATACTCAGGCAGGAAGAAAGCAAACACATAACAAATCTTATGGCCATTAGCAACCGTCAAATGCGCTTTGAATTCGTTCGAGCACTTGTGCGAAGAATGTCGCACCGTGCGCCGGACGGGCATGAACCCCAAGGCGGTGCGCATAGGGGTTCATGCCCGTCTGACACACTTTCGGCGAACAGTGCGACATTCTTCACACAAGTGCTCGACTTTTGCATTCTGAAAACGGTCTGTATGCGCGAATTTGTCTATATGATTGCAGGATAACTTTATGCGCGCATACGCAATGTTGAATATTAGTGGAATGCAAGCGGGTGGGGACTTCACTTCGTGCAGTGCTGCAGGTCAGTACAGATAAGAGATAAGTGTGTTAAAATTGAGCTTTTCAATGGCACCTCCGAGTTTTACCTCGCATACTCGGGAACATTAAGAAAAACAGTAATTGCAAAAAGTAATATTTCGTCTATGGACGCACGAAGCAAACAAACTTCCTGATCAACAACACTAATGTAAAGGCGCGAGCTCGATGTATGCATACTTATTGTTTGCTACAGCTTGTTGATTCGTACACAAGTAAGATCCCCGAGCACCGAGCTTCGCAGCGTCGAGACTCCCAGCACTGGCTCGTCCACATACCTCGATTGGAACGCTAACAGGAAGGCTCAAGTAGAAAAATACAACAAGCATGTGTTAAGATAAGCTATACGTCTCGGGATTATGCTAAAGCTTCGAGGTATGACCATTTAGGTTAGTTTAGAGACCACAAATGACGCTCTCGGGACCAGAAAACAATCTCTTGTCGACGTGTCGATCGAAACCGAAACCATGCCACCCTCCTCCCTGGCCAACTAGTTCCCAGAGTGCAACGCGCGCCGTGTTGCATGCAGGGCTTTATGGAAGTAGTCTATTTGGTACACCACGCATCCTCGCTTGGTTGCTACAGCGAGTGTGGCCACCGGAAGTTCCGTATCGGCCATCTGTAAGGTACCAGAGTCGACCTTTAGGAGCGTTGCAGAGGCTGGGCGTCTGCGTGCTGAAAGACTTTTTCTCTTCGTTCGCCGCCATTCGTTACGCAAGTTTTTTAAACCCTTGTGTAAACGGTCGTAGTGGCCTTTGAGAACATGCAGACGTTTTGACGAAAGTGCAGCACCAGTTTTGCGGCGTCATCAAAGCACATACCTCGACATGCCGAAGTGCCAAGTCTCTGCTTTAACACATTTGGATACCGATCAAGAATCAACGCGTTTACCCCCTCCCCCTCCCCGGGAAAGTTTCGAAGGTGTGTCGCGCAGAGATCTTGATCGTCTAGCTGTTCCGGTGAGCTGCACTGATCAGCGTGTGCTATTATGCGCCATTAACGATGTTCTAAATCCACTCGAATGGATCAAAATTACATCGCTCGAAAAGGGAGCAATGCACTGAAGCGTGGGCTACAAACCACACCACCGCTTTTGAAGAAGTGTTTGGGGGATATGGGGGGATAGAGAAAAATAGATTTCCATTCACTTCTACTCAATCGACTGCTAGAAATGTCTGGAAGGCAAAAATACAATCGCCGCCGTGGCGTCGGCATGGAAACAAGCTCGTTTTTGGCCCGCGTTTGCTGCAAGTTACAAATACAGTCGCAAGTGTAAAGTAAAACACTGGTGCAGCGGCACATAAACCTTGTCCCACAACACATCTTAAAAATCATCCACACGGCATTGATTATAAATTGGTACCCCAGCGTGCGAAGGCAGATGCAGCACTTCAATGTGCCAAGGCATGTTCTGTGATCACGCCACGAGACTTACGATTGACGGGTTGTGCTTTTTTCCTGCACTTTCATAGAAGATATAGACGTCTTCTCAAAGGCAACTACAATCGTTTACACAAGGTTCTAAAAAGCTTCTTCAGCGAAATGTGCCGTCAGCATGCTGCCACCCAGCCTCAGAAACACTCCAACCGGTTCACCTCCTGGCGGCACAAATGGCTGTACGGCGGGCGCAATCATGGAGCGGAGAAGCGCGATCCATTAATTGTAACGAGCTTGTTGGGCCGTCCCATGAATTTAGTTTGTAATAATTGTGGCTCACGCTGCCCATTCGTAATTCGTGCTCATATTGTAACCATATAGCTGGAAGTGCATGGCCCCGCACTCAACGGTTTTGGGCTGTCATGCTACTGTACACTTAATCTGCCCAGTAACACTGACTGAGCTAACTCTGAGAACCCCCTGTACTTAAAAAATCATTACGATCAGACACACAAACGAAGTTGGCGATGGGGGCTGCTTTGACAGAAAGCCACGGCCCTACCACCGGGGAAAAAATCTTTCTACACTCCCACACACTGAAGTAGACAAGGCATTTCGTAAAACCAGAAATTGAACTTCGAGATACATAACCTGCTCATTAGCGTTTCTAGCTCAATCACATTACGGAGCATGCTAACTGAACCCTGACTGTTCCAAGGTTTCCGTGACAATTTCAGGTGAAATTCCCTAACCGCGGCAGAGGCGGTTAAATATATGACCATTGCAACACAAGGCATTGAGCACTTTGAGCATCATTTTGCACATTGAGCATCACTTGCATATTCCGAAATATTCGGGTTCGCCCAGTCCAGATTGAACGAGAACTTTTTTTGCCGCTAACGTCGTCACTGAAGAGGCCACTTCCGAAAACACGACACTCAACCACATACGTCAATAACCGAGTGGGAGCAAGGCACACGGCCGCCAGGCGCACACTTTCGGATTAATGTTTGGATTGGATTGGGGTCTGCGGTTTGAAGCTCTAACTGGATCAAGCCTAGTGTCGTACCCTCATTCCAATCTAAGGCTTGGACTGGATTTGTCGGCTGCTCTTTTTGTATTGGGTAGCACACTCTACATCAGGTGAGCAGAGCCCGTGCCCTGCTCTAAGCAGAATTTATTGCCCATTTTTCTGCCCCCAAGTCCTCAAGTCTTTGCTTAGGGCACTCGATGGCGTCTCTGGCTCATTTTAACTGACTGGGCTCGCTTTCTGACAATATCTAAGATTTTCCCTGGCAATTAAAATTTCCATGACAATTCCCGGTTTACCCGGTCGCTAGACACCCTGCCAACAGTGTGAAAAGTGTTTGTTGCCTGCTCAACGAACAGAAGGTATGATGTCCAACACCTGCACTCATCCATGTTTTAGTATTTTGCTGTATGGCACCAACTCTTCCCTTCAAACAACATATCACTAAGCCAAAGTCTTTAAAACCAACCAGTGCTTCCAACTCTGAGACCTGCCCCCAGGGTCCAAATTCTCGAGCTGTGGCACGAAATAAACCTACTAAAAGCACACAAAACGCTGAATTGGCATCCTAATCTTTCCTCCGGGTGGGATAAGTTTGTTTCGCTCCCTGGGGCTTAACACTCGATGGGCGATCGCCACACACGTTCACTGACCTGTACGGGACCCGTTCACTTGCGTTCCATATGTCAAACTTTCGAAGGGTGGCTAATGCTTAACATAAGAAAAGTGAGCGTACCTTTGGGCGCAGCGGCAGCACCGCCAGCGGCCGGAGATGCAGCAGCAGGAGCAGCACCGCCTCCACTGGACGGCATAGACGCCAGCTTTTCCTTGCCTGCGCAGCAAGGCAAGGATACTCAGCGATCGCCGTTGCCTTTGCGTATGAGCGCAGCCCCAGCATCAAGTCGACACTCACCCTTGGCGATGACGTCTTCGACAGACTTCCCCTTGAGTTCGCTGATCACCTTTTTGACGCGCTCGGCATCGCTTTCGATGCCGACGCTGCCGAGTATCTTTTCGACGTCGGCAGCCGATGGGTCCTTGTTTCCGCCCATCGCGGCCAGGAGATAAGCGGCGACGTAACGCATCTGAAAGAATTATAACAATTACAAAAAAAACGCTGAAATTGCGAGCTCGTTCCGGGAATCGCGGCTTTGAACGAACACGCTGCAATCAATCGGCTGACCGCAGCGTACATGAAAACGGTTACTGAAACCACTGATTACCACAACACAATATCGCCGAGTTAGAACAATCAGGCTTGACTGTTTAATTAAAAAAAAAAAAAATCGAAATGCAACTTTACGAATTGGTTGTCGAGAACATTGACGGCCGGTGGCACACGTGTTACCTTTAGGCCTACAGTGCCGAAGCTTTTCTGGGTAAAAATTGTTTTATTGACGGCGATCGCCAGAAGCTTCAGGCATGTATGAATGTCCGTCGTACTTCAGACAGCCACTGAGGATCATTTAAAAATGTCAGACGACAATACGTCAAAAGGTACTTACTTTTTTAAGTCGCGAGGACACGAAACGTCTTCAACACCGCAGCAAAAATGAGGGAAAGAAACTTGCTCACCACGCGGCGCTTGAGCAGCCCTTTGTATTCTCGACTCAGGCGGCTAAACTTTCTTTCAACGAGAGTACACATCGCCAGAATCCTCGCCAGGTGGCTGTGAAACTGAAACCGAAACTCACTATACTTGAAAGTCCCCGTGCGTAACGGATGCTGTGTATGAAACGCGATTGCGGTTTATCCAGCTTCACTTCGTTTTATATTCATTTTCATCCAGCAATATAAGATATAACACATGAATAGTACATGTTTGGCGCCTGCGCTCACGAGCGCAAATAAATACCCCCCCCCCCCCCCCCCAAAAAAAAAAGAACAAAAAAAAAAAAAAAACACGAAACGTTACTGATGAGCATTTTAATAACTATATGCTGCTGACTAATTCGGGATTCTTTGCGATAACAAAATATCGGCTACAATGTTCGACATCTTGTAGACCCTAAAATGGAAAACGATATAAAAAAAGAAAAACGGACGAACACAACAAAATCTCACTGCTTACAATGTTCCTCGAATTTATTACAGATTTATTACAAAAAAAAAAAAAAAAAAATCCGTAAAAGATGCTTTAATACGGTTTGTGCAGTAGAGTTATATGGCCAGGGGGACATTATGTGGGTGGCTAATCTTTGCGATAAGTCGGTTAATTAATTAAAATTCATTATTCAACTTTTTAATTAGTGAAGATGGACATTAGGTTCCAATTAGAAAATTACTGAGCGTCATCGAAAACCACTAAATCAACTCTTTTTAGAACGACTTGAAGCTCGTGGGAAACTTTGGGGCCTACCATATTACCACTCATGCAGCAGGAATAAAGCTAGCAGTGGCGGAACGCGGGTGATTTTATCATCGCGTTCCGCCACCGCTAGCCTTGCGTACGAGTGGTAACTCTGGTGTGCCCCCCAGTGTCCCATGAGCTTCAAGTCGATCTGAAAAGAGTTGATTTAGTGGTTTTCGATGACGCTCAGTAAGTTTCTAATTTTTCACTAATTAAAAAGTTAATTGACGAATTTAACCCTTTACCGCATGACTTTTTTTACGACGACGAGAAAAATATATTTCATGCAGCTGGGGAATATAAAAACATAACTTAAAATATTTTTCAAAAATTATAATAAACATGCGAGATTTTTTATAAAATTAGGTTTGTGCCATTTATGGGACAGCATGCAGTATACATAATTTTATTGGAACCACAAGACATTTTATTCAACTTATTTTGACCATACTATTTGTGGCAATATTTGAAAGAATATTTATTGTTTGGAAAAAAACATTAAATGACAGATTTGTGTCAACATACACAAACATTTAGGACGTGTGAAACTTCAAGAAACAGTTCCTCTCTTTGTTCAAGCAGAGAGGAACATTGCACTTCTGGCATGACACAAAGGATTTTGCCTGGCAACTCGGCAACTTGCATCTTGCCCGTGTCTCGATCCATAGGGGGAAGTGGTCCGTCTTGTCCAGGCGAACGTCCTGCGAGGGTACTGCAGCTGCAGGACCACGTCTCCTTTTCTCGATGAGTTGAGCCTCGACTTCGTTGCTCGGGCGCCCTCGTTTTCTCTCGGCAGGTTTTCCAGCTTTGCAGAGACCTTCAGCTACAGACAACTTGAAGTCAGCGAGCGACATTCCTTTTCCATTCCTTCGCCTCCAGAGGAGCCAAGAGTTTACTAATGCCAAATCAAGGACATGAAAAAATATCTTGAGATACCATTTCTTTGATCTGATTTGAATTCTGTAAAGCCCTAGCATGGAGTCCAGAAGATCCACACCCCCCATGTAGCTGTTGTAAACTTTCACCGACTGCGGGCACGGAACCATCAGGTGTTGTTTTTTTTTTCGGTCATACCTCTCATCTTCAGCCACTGGGCCACTTCCAACATAGGTAGACAAAGTGGTCACAACCTTGTTGTCATACCACGCCACGACACACACGTCGACACCATCGACTGTTGCGGCTCGTTCAGTCATGCTGCCACGTCCGTTGGCTTTCAACTCGGCTTCTTTTGGTAGCTTGCACCCAGGCAATCTGTTGGCTCTCACTGTTCCTAAAGGAAGCAAGCCCTTCTTGGCAAGTTGAACAGCAAGTGGCACACTGGTGAACCAGTTGTCAAAAAAAATTTTGTGGTTCTTTTGCTCAGGAACAGTCTTGCACAGTCGCAAGACTACGTTGCTGCTAGCGCCAAGGTCTGGACAGCCAACCGGTACGGTGTTGTTCTGAGCGCCAGCAAACACTTCAATGTCATAACTGAACCCCGATATTCCACTCAGTACAAATGCCTTGTATCCCCACTTGTGAGGTTTTTTGGCGTTATACTGTTTAATTGATGACCTTGATTTTGTCGGAATTATTTGCTCATCTACTGCAAGATACTCCTCTTTTTGGAATCAAGTGCAGCCGCGCGTTTAGCATGTCCAGAAGCGGTCTGATTTTGTGCAGCTTGTCGTGAGATGGGTGACCAATGGGGGCAAATGTGGTGTTGTCGTTGACATGGAGGAACCGCTTGAGCTCCTCCCAACGGTTGCACGATAGGATGTCCGAAATAGCATGCTGCCCGATGTGACTGTTCCAATAAAGTCTCGTCGCTGGGAGCTTCACAATGGACATGTAGAGAATTGTTCCAAAGAACTGTTCAAGTTCTGCTCCAGTTACACACACTGGCTTGTTGGGCTCACATTGTACTGAGTACAGGTTTGTCTGATCGACTATGTGGTCCACAATATCAGGTGTAATAAAATATTTGAAGTATTGAAGAGGTGTGTCGAGTTCAGTAACTTCTCGTGGAAGTGTGGTATCACCGGAAAACTTCACGGCCTCAGGATCATAGACGGATGTTTTTTCTTTCCAAGTTGGGATATTAGTCTTCTGCTTTTTGATTCTTGGGGATGGCAGGAGCTCAGCATCATCGACCGATTCTGTATCAGATGATGAGAGGTCATGCAGGGGTACAGTTTCTTTCTCTGGTGGCACGTAAAGGTCGTCACCATCGTCAGACAGCTCACTGTCCTCGCTTTCATTTCCATTTCCAGGTGGTCCCTTGCCATAGAATTTCCGAGAATCCATAGGTCTAAGAAGTGTAAAACACGCACATACTTCAATTACAATATTCAACGTCACCATAGCAGACTGCATGTTGTGCCACATCTGGCACAAACTTAAAAAAAATGTTTTGCAAACAAAATATCAGGTCAGTGTTAACATAATATGCGTCTAGGGTATCCTAAACAAATTAGAAACAACTTCTGAATTACTGAAATAAGTCACATGACAAGAACTTACCGTATGTGCGATGAACTTTCACAGAACGAACCCACGTGCACGGAAGATTCGGAAACCGAAACAATGCGGCTGTCAGTTTAAAACGCCACCGATAGATGGCACTACTTGGTTGGCGCACAAAGCGGAGGTATGTGCCATATCTGGATCCGCATGCAGTTTGAGCACAAGGCATAGCTGCAATATCTTATATATTCTTAACCGGTGTGTTCCATATATGACCCATGATGCGGTAAAGGGTTAAATTAATTAGCAGACTTATTGCAAAGCTTAGCCACCCATATAATGTCTTCCTGGCCATATAACTCCCCTGCCCAAACTGTATTAGTGCATCTTTTATGAATTTTTTTGTAATTAAATCTGTTTGAATTAAAATGGAACATGTGGAGGCCTATGTTGCGCTTTTTGGCCTCCCACGGCGACTAGGGAGAAGGAAGTGACATCAACAACGCAGCAAACGTGGATTGGATAGTGATTGGCAGAAGCCACTGATGACGAATTTCCGCAGAAGAAAACAAAGCTCACTTTTTCTTTGTTTTCTTCTGCGGAAATTCGTAATCAGCGGCTCTCACCAATCAACATACAATCTGCGTTTGCTGCGTTGCTGATGTCACATCCTTCTCCCTAGTCGCCACGGGGGTCCAAAAAGCGCAACATAGGCCTCCTGGCATATATATGCATATACTACATATATTTTTTTTTGTGTGTTCACAACAATGTTTTGATTAAGGGAAGTGAATGCGTGTCTCTCTCTCTCTTCCTGACAGTCACACACACACACAAACATATACACTTTGAATCAGTTTCTGAGAAATGCTTTTATTGTTTTCTCCACCATTTGTATAAAAAAAAAAAAAAAAAGGCAAGCAGAACGTACAGTGTTCAGCGTATCAAAATAAATAATGTTGTGAGGATGCGTCCAGTAAATAAAATTACGACAATAAAATAAAGTTTTGATGCATGTATTATAAATATGTCTCGAGCTGCCAGCACAAAGGCAAACAAAAAACCCATTTGCTCAACACAGCCCACATGTATACCTTGTACGCGAAGGCACATCTACGAGGGGCACCCCAAGTGTTCTTGGCCTGGCACAAGAGTGCAAGCAGAGACATGAAACTTTATAAAAGCACACGGGCACTTAAGATGTACGGCAGACAAAATGGCGCATGCACACAATACGGTTTTCCTGTGGCAGCCACCAACGGCAATCAGCGCAGTCGAACTAAAACACTAAAACGAAGTGCAGACACGTTCGGTGATTGAATATTTGTTTCTGAAAGGCCTAACTACGGCAGGCACCCCCAATGACGTGGTTGCGACATAAGCACAGGATGCCCCATCCTACAGCACAATGAAAGAGAGGTGGGCCATGAAACTCAATCGTGGATGGAAGGGCACCGAAGACGACCCCTGCCTTGGCAGCCCTGTGGAAAGTGACTGCACAAGAAAACGTCGACTGTGTGCATGATGAGGTAATGGCAGATTGCGAGTAAAAATCTGGATTATTGCACAGGTTACAGGCATCTCCAAAATTACAGTTCAGTGAATCTTGAACAAACATCTTGACATGACCAAGGACTTCGCCAAGTGGGTTCCAAGATTGCTCTCGTGTGACCAAAGGCGCACCCGCTACACCGCATCCAGGGATAATCTCGAGCTTCTCAAGACAGAACCCGCAGGCTCCCGTGCCCGATTTGTGACTGTGGATGAAACCTGGGTCAACCACTTTGAACCCAACAGCAAAGCCCCAACCGTAGAAACACACCTCCTCTCCACTGCTGAAAGCTCAGTCCGTTTTATCAGCAGGCAAGGTCAGTAGATTCACCAGGGGAAGGGCAGTGGGGGTGACGGGGGGGGGGGGGGGGGTTTGCCCCCCCCCCCCCCCTTTTCTTGTCTTCATGTTTCAAGCTTTGTTGCTTGAAACGAGAGGGCAGGGAGGGGGGGGGGGGTCGCAGCGGGCCACCGCATCGGGTGCCGCTGACCCTAGAAGTGACGCCACCGGGAAAGGTGACGGCCACGGTTTTTGGGGTTTCGCAGGGTGTGCTGCTCCACGATTGCCTTCAGAAAGGGCAGAGCATCACCGGAAACTGCTATGCAACCCTTACTTATCGCCTGCGTGATGCCATGAAGGCCAAATGTCGTAATATGCTCAGGAAAGGGGTGCTGCTCCATCAGAACAATACACTCCCCCACCACGGTGTTGTGGTGATGGCTGCCATTCACTCTTGTGGCTATTTTGTTGTCAAGCATCCACCATACTCGACAGATCTTGCTTCATCAGACTTCCATCTCTTCCCCCAGCCGACTAAAAAAACTTCCTGGTGTTAACTTTTTTGGTGATGATGACGTCATTGATGCTGTGACCCGGTTTTTAGAAAACCAGACTTCCCACGTGTTTTCCAAGGGGATCCAGGCACTGGAGTATGTCGAAAAGTAATGCAAGTTCATTCACCTCTTTCAAGACTGACTGAGAACTTTTGGGACACCCCTCATATGTAAAGTAATATTTGTAAATGCAGCGTAGACATGCAGTCGTGACGCTAGTGCTCGGCCTCTTTTAGCAGTGACACAAAGGTGCTCCCTCGTCGATTCCTGAGTTCAGACGGTGCACCGGTCTCGACGATGTGGCCGGCTTCCAGAACAATCACCCGGTCAAAGTTCAGGAGCCCAGTTACTCGGTGCTGAAAAGATACATGCAAAGAAACATAAATACTACATTTGGTTTCCTCAGCAAGGCGACAAGATTCGCTCGCTAGTATCGGAGCTCCCAAGCACGGGCTCCAACCCATCTGCTTGGCCTTGCGGGTTTACGAGGACAATGATCGGGGTTTTGTGCTTTTGGTACATACTCATGAGCCCCAATTGAAGATAAAGTCTGGGCCAGTTTTATCGAAACCTGGGAAGACCAAGAAACCCAACTTTAAAGCCGTCCTCGAATAAGAAGAGGTGGAGCTTTGCGAGGGAAATCTTTATTTACGGCCTTACGTTGCGCTCGCCAGGAACGCAGCCGTTAATGAACCACTCCAAGAGGCCGCTTCTCTTTTTGGGAACCCCACTCACTGTCCCATTTCCTTCTTTTCCCCCCGTTAATACAGGGACATTTTTCGCATATTTAGGTTGTGCGCACGTTACGTGGAGGTTTGGGAATCGCTTGCCCATGCCCTGTTTTTGTCAACATAAATCCCAATAGACCCCTTTCAAAAGTGTGAGCCATTTAGTGGCTGCTGCGCCGATTCCCCGAGTACGCCGTTGCTTGGGCGCACACTCCGAGTGTGCGCTGAACACAGGGGTTGCGTCGGCGTTCGTCGTGAGCTCGGCCCAGCTTGCATCAAAGACGAATGCTGCGTCAGGCTTCGGCGAGGGGTCGGATCTAATCGCACGATAAATCGCAACCACCAATGTTGCTTGAGGAACTTTCCAAAAAGGGGCCTTTTAATAACCTATTTTCTGTCAGACACTGAACACTGACACAAAAAAACACAGAATATGTGGAGGACAAAAAACAAAACAAAATGCAGAAAACACATACAGTAAAATCCCGAGAGATAGCCCATTTAACATCAAGAGCAAATCGGGTGAAAATATGAAGTGGGCTAACTTTCAGTGTACAATCAAGAAAAGTTTAAAAAAATTGCTATTTTTAGGTTGTGTCCCTTCGAAGCTTGTTGGAACGAGAATACAGCGCAAACGAACGACGGACCAGGAGAAGAGTACCGTAAAAACCCGTGAATAATACAAAAATAATTTGCGGAAAAAAAAATTATCCGCGTATAATACGGAACAAAATCAGGACTACGAAAATATTCCTTATTTGCGTCATAAATGAACCTTAATCACTGTCATACGTCTGTCAGACTCCTTGTCCGACGCCTCCTCCCAAAGGCAGTAGTCTTCAGTGCCGTCGAGCTCATTTGAAATCCCGCACTTGAAAGAACGAGCGACGAGCGAGCGCCGACGCAGTGAAATCTTGGCACGACGCATAAAGCGAGTAACCCAATGTCGGCTCGCCAAAGTTCTCATGCAGCAGCTCGGTGTTTACGGTGACGTGCCGTTCACGTTGCTCTTTTACGAAGTTAGGGCGAAGTGCCGTTCACGTTGCTCTTTTACAAAGTCGCTGAGACTTGCCTCGACGTCGGCGAACACGCCATTCTTTGGGCTCCTAAAGCTGCTTCTTGTTCCGTGGCATGCAAACAGAGCTTGCTTTTGCCGTCTCCATCCGTGGATGCTGCCCTCATTTACGGCGAATTTTCGTCCGGCTGCCCTGTTGCCGATGCCTTCCGCAACCAAAAGGACTTTTCTTTTGGAATAAAGCTATACGCACTCCGGAGTGCATTTCGGTCGAAATGGCTACACGCACTCCGCTAAACTCGTATAAAACGAATGGTCACAACGAGTTTTCTAAGCGATGGCATAGCATAGGGTTTAAAGTGTCCGCTCTGTATGCAAGTGGACGCAAGTTCAATCCGCGGTGGACATACTTTTTTTTTTTTTTTCTCAAACATTTTGTTTTGTCAAGGCATTGGCGATATTTAGGACATTTCTTTTCTGCGATGATGTTGTCGACGAAACTTCGCAGAACTAAATGATATGGGTCTCCCTTCCCGGAGGTGCGATCAGGGACAGCGGGACTTGGGTTGCCGGCTGGACGCCGTGAAGCGGCGTGTACTGGTTACGTTTTGTAATTAGCAGCCGATACTGTCGCCGCGAAGCGGCGTGAACGCAGGCAGGGGGTTGTGTTAACGAGCTCCCCAGTGATACACACGCCGTTCGAAAAGGGTGGCTCAAGCGGCATGAACTCTGCACGGAGTGCGTAGAGCCATTTCGTCCGAAATGCACTCCGGAGTGCGTATAGCTTTACTCTTTCTTTTGAAGACGGTCGAATATCGTCTTCGCGCCGACGCCATTGCCGAGCCTCACTGTTGACGGATGGTGGCGCCTTGAATCTTGTGATTTTAACGATGATGATAGCTGTTTTGAGCGCCTTATTGCTTCGAAACCGAAACTACGTCAAACGGCGTTGGATCGCGCCTCATCGAAGCTGAAAATTGTTAGGACCCGCGTATAATACGAGCCGCGAATTTTACATAGCAAAATTTAAAAGAAAACTCGTATTATATTTGGGTTTTTATGGTATACACAACACTACCATTACTAGTAGTGGGCTATCTTTCGGCGTTTAAAAGAATATAGCAAATCAATCCAAAAATTGGGGTGGGCTATCTTTCGGGGGTGGGGCATCTCTCAGGATTTTACGGTAAGTTTAATTATATTTATTATTGTTATAAATCCTGCTCAAGGTCACAACTATCCCTCTTACAAAGTCCCAAACAGCGAGAACTGTGAGCAAACTTACAAGAAACATACCGTAGAATACCGAGCATCCACCCATTCCACATTAAGCGCCCATTCGCAAATTTGTAAGATCTGAGAAAATATGCACAGTACATTGATATGTAAAATTGATGACCGGCCAAGCGCTCATCCCCCATTTTTTCGCGATTATCTGTAAATTTTGAGTGGGCGCTTGCCCGGTATTTTACGGTAGTAGCTTATTTATTTTGATAAAAAAAGAAAGGAACCTTTTGGTTGAAGATGCTCCGTCCTATTTCATTGCATGTTCCCCTTCAAAGCAGCCAGCATTTAGGCAATTTATTAGTGATTCTGCGCTAATTGAGTGTAGGGAATATTACCAGAAAGCAATAAAAAGTGGGAGAGTCATTACAAAAAGTGTTTGTAGTCCCGTAACAAACTCAACTGATCATCTTCGGAGTGCCTGGTACGAATACTCACCGCAATAGCAAGAATTGTGGAGTCTGCCCATTCGCTCAGCATGGTCTCTTGGATCAGGGAGTCCAGGTCAGCATCCAGGGAAGAAGTGGCCTCGTCCAGCACAAACACTTTGGAAGGTTGCAGGAGAAACCTCGCGAAACAGAAGAGCTGTTGTGTGGCAAGAATAAAAACACCTCATTAATATAAAAAACGCAAAAAAAGTGCCGACTCACGCGAGTTTTTCAATATTCGCGGGACATCAGAAATCACCATGTTTTCAGTCAGAAAAAAACAAAGGGTGAAACCCTTCAAGATAATTGCTACGCAATTGTGAATGGAAGTTCTCCGTAGTATCAAAGTTGGTCCGATTGTGCGACTGTATCTGGCCAACTACTAATAAGCTCCCTCTCATCCCCAATACGAGGCATTGCATTTGATCGTCCATAAATACGCAGCAACCGGTCCCAGTGGTCCATCCTCCTATACTTGCCTGCCTTTGTCCAATGCTGAAGTTGGAGCCTTCTTCTGTCACCTCGCCATCTAAAAGAAAAGTGTAGTTTGGACAAATCACGTTGCCACGTGTCCAAATGACCAATATTGATGCGAGCCAAAGGACAGAATTTTTGGAGGTGATCGAAAGTCAGAGGTACCTAGGCCGCCCGAAACGATGACGACCTCTTTCAACCGAGCTTTCTCCAAGACGCTCCACAGCTGCTCATCCGTATACATCGCCCTGGGATCCAAGTTTTGCCTGGAGGGACCAAGGCACACCAATAAAATCAGTATAAAAAGCTGGTGTGAACACAACATAAATTTTAAAAAATCCTTTGCCCATCTTTTGCAAATTACTACTTTTCTCCATGGTAAAAAGAAAAAAAGACAAAAGAGGGCAGACAGATTGATGCATGCATGGTAGGCTAAAAGGCTGATGATACTATTGAAATATATCATCCTTCCCGTTCATGGTAATTGCTATAAAAAAATCACAATGTGATTATTGAAAAAAAAGTAAATTAGCACCATATAAGGCTTCTCTTTATACACGGTGTTTTACCAACGACTGAGAATAATTTAAAAAAAAGGGCGCTTGGCCCTGGCCTTTAACATTTTTTTGTCATTTTTCATCTAATATATATAATGAAGTTTCATATCTACCATAAGTTCTCGTGCTAAGCACAAATTTAAGCTAAATTTTTGCTATTCCAGTTTTCCAAAAACCTCCACTTTATCAGAAATGTTTCTGCCCACTTTTGTCCGATACCCCCTAAAACAATATGGCACAATGTATGTCAGCATGTTTTACAAACAGTAAAATGTGCAACAAAAGCATTTTTGCCAGGTTACCTTAAGCTTTATCTGAAATCAGAGAAAACACTAAGGTGCACCTCTTTTTTTTTTTTTAATTTCTCTAAATACTGGATAGATTTCGTTATTGAGGTTCGTAAGCTACAAAACGCGCATTATTTCCTCTCCCCAGCCGATGGCAGTTTCAGGAGAACCCTCAACCTTTGCCTTGAAGAGTGGAACACGATATCTAAATTTAAATCCCCACTCGTTTTAAAGCCATACAAGCGTGTCTGCATGGCCTAGTGGGTAGCGTGTCTGGCTTGCAACCAAAGAGTTGAGGGTTTGATTCCACTCCGCCAAAAATTCTTCGAATATTTTCTTTAAAGGGGCACTTGGAGGTAACCATTCGGCCGAGCTTAAGGGGCCCAAAGGTCGTATTTCTTTTTGTTGTCTAAAATGATGCTAGTTTCAGTCATCACAAATGTTTCTGCAAAACATTTTTACGATACCCCATAAAAAAATTCTGGCACGAAGTATGTCAGCACGTTCTACAAATAGTTAAAAGTGCAACAAAACCACTGCTATAATTTGAGCATCATTCTAGACAAAGTTATCATGAGTTGAAATTTTTTCGTTGATAATTAGACACTAGTCAATGAAGACATTGCCAATTCAGAAACTTAGTAGTTAACATTTTTCAGAAATTGTTGTCTTGCTGCACTCTCTGATTTACAAGGTACTAAACCTTGAAAAAAAGTATTCAGGTTCGAGTTCTAGATCCAAAGAGATCGGGGCAAAACTGTGTGTTGTGATGAACAAGTGAATTACCAGCAAACGGGAAAAGCAAACATGCTTCCAAACTGCCTGGATATTAAACTTTGAACCAATGTGACTACATAAATGTGCACTTCCTGAGTGTAGTACTTACACAACATGTTGTTTGAGACTTACAGAGCAATACATTTTTTCTATTAGTTTTTGTTTTTCAAGACTGGGGTCTACCCTTAACAACGGCTACAACATATTTGGGTGGCAGAAAACAAATCTCTCAATAGATTATGCCAGATAAGGTGAATATTTAAAAAGGAAGTTGGAGGTTTTTAGGTAATTAAATTGCATATTATCAATTTTGAATCATACATTTATGTCCACCGTAGTTGACAGCATTGTCCCAAATAAATAATTACTTAATTTGAAGTACCCCTTACTTTTTCTTTTTTAATTCTCAATCGCCGGTGAAACATTTTAAACAGTCGTTGCCCATAAACATAAAAATTTTAAGTAAGCCAATGATCCAAGTTTATGCAATCTGAAGTTGGCAATCAAAGCCGAGTTTGAACGTCTACAACTCTGACATCCAGCACCAGCCTAGCATTGGCTATTAACAAAAGTTTATCTTTGATTGAGAGGTAGAGTACCTACGCTGCTTCGATGGAAGCCACACTGAGAAACATCACTCACCTGATGGTACCGGAAAACAAGACTGGTTCCTGAGGAATGATTGAAAGGCGAGAGCGCAAGATGTCGAAGGGCACGGTGGAGATGTCGATGCCGTCGACGTAAATTGAGCCTTCGGAAATGGGCACCATCTTGAAGAGTCCCATCACGAGGGAGGACTTTCCGCTGCCTGTCCTTCCACAGATTCCCACCTGCCAATTGCAAAGATGGTGCACTCTAAGTGTCGGGTACGCTTCTAGGCAGCAATCTTTTAAAGCATGACTTTAGGGCTGTAACCAGGGTTCTGTGTTAGCGGTGTTTATTTTTCTTCCAATTTGAGGATGTTTTTAGGGATTTGTTCTTTTTCCAGGGGTCGGGGGATCTTTGGTCCATTTTTGATGTCGGACACAAAATCGGAGTTTATCGGGGCTCGTGTTGGGGAAAACGGCATGTGGGCACCGGATTCCCTAACCTCCAGAGAAGATGCACATGATTCGCATATTTGGAAAACATTCCGGCACTGTTTAGGAAAGGGAACGGGAAAGTCGGTCTGGTTCCCGAAAAATCCGGAGCTTTCCACTACAGAGTGCGAAAGAGAGACAGCAGTGAGCGCAGGCGTTCGTGCTCTGCTTCGACATGGCAAGCCTTGTAAGGTGTCCCAACTTTGCGTGGCCTCCCCATGTGCTAAAATCCAGAGATTAACTGACGGGGTGCGCCTCCTTCACAAACATCCCAAAGCGGGTGCTTGCCTGTGGAGCTGCCAGTGACGATTATTTGCGTCTCTTCCCTTTGAATTGGCATAGAGTTGGCACACACAGCAGGCCCAAAGCCCAACAGCCCTGCCGGTGCGTGCTCACTGACCTGTCGGCCGAGACTTGCCGAGTGCAACTGCACACCTGGCGTCTCTCGACCAAGCGGTGAACTAGAGTTTTCTGCCAAGCGCAACGCCGATGCCACGAATGCGGCTGGGAAGTTTTTATAACAGCTGTCGCCGTAAGAATCAGCGGCATCCCAAACAGTCAGGTGCGGGTTGGGTTCTGGATTGACGCAAAATAGGGCTGCCGATAAAGGTTTCTTTTTGTGGAGCTTAGGTTTTTGTTATTAGAGGACAGCTCCAATTCCGGGCTTTTCGGTTTTCCCAGATTTTAATAAAACTGGCCCGGGGTTTACTTTTCCAAGGTTTATCCATATACTCTGGGAACACGGAAGCCTAGCTTATAATGTCTGGTACACTGGTAGGAAGTGATCTTTGTGGTTCACACTTATGGATGTAACATGTAGCAGGAATACTCCACACAATGCTCATCAAGTTTTATTTTAGACAGGTGATGAGTTCAATTAAATAAAAAAAAAACTAATTGCTCATGTTACTGGCGCTGCACACGATGTGGTAAAGGACGGAAGAATCGGGTGGTGCTGGAACGTCAGTACACCTCAGCGTCTCTTTAAAGCCGTGAGACTTTTGGCCAGGTGAGACATTGCCTTAGTTAATCTACTCCCTAGTGAATTTTGAAGGCATGCAAAACAAGCATTAAAAGGGTTAGGACATGAGAATAAAATGGGAAAATTATTCTTGAAATGGAATGTTCAAAAGCTAATTAGTATATACACAGAGTTTTGCGATTTTTAGAGCTCTAGTAATTGCAATAATCACTTTAAGAATTTTGATAATTTCCATCTGGCGACCTCGCAACACTGCCTAAGTTAGACGCACCATGTTGCCCATAAACCACGTAATCATGGATGCTCTCTCATCTAAGCACCCCCATGATCGCCCAAGCTTGCCTCGACATTTTACGATCAAAACCTCTCATGCAACTGGGCTACTCCAATGCTGTTGTTGTAAGAACGGCTGACTAGTCGTTAGTAGATGAAGCCAACAACAGCATTTATATACAAATATTTACATTAAAATGTCCGGCATCGTCCACTCATGGCCAGGCCTCGATCCATCTCGTGCATTCTATTTCTCGAGCTCCCGCTTCTTCTTCCTCCTTGTCGGGATGCCCGCTTCCATACAATAAGTTTCAACACACTCCCCCCCCCCGCAAGAAGAAGAAATAGCTGATGTGCCGTTGCATTAAAGTTGAAAGTTGGCAGAAAGATAATTATGACCTTCTCTGGACGTCCATGCTTCCCGGAAGGTCGCGTTGGTAGCCTGGCGATTATTTTATCATTGCCATTTAGGTCGTTCTGTGTCACGTCATGTCTGTCATTTCCATAGAATCCAGGGGCGTTGTCTCGCCTTGTGTGAGCGAGCGATTTAGTCTTCCATCCTTCATTCCATTGAACCTGGAAGTCGATCGTGCAGCCACGTGTATTAAAACCACGGGGATGGGACAAGGCGCGAAGTGTACGATACGCTCTTTTCCTAATCTCCTTTATAGCTCTCGTTAGGCGCTGATGTATGCCGATTCTTTGTTTTGTGCTTCGTTGCTTGTATGGTCTCCCCTGTTTCTTAAATTGCTTGTTTCGTTGAGGAGGTCGTTTGACATTCCTGTTCAAGAAGGTTCCATTTATTTGTTTAGTTGCTTTGGCACGGTTCCGTTTTTTCCTATCTTTTTGTGCTTTTCTGAGTCTATTCTTTTTTGTTTTCAACTCGCCTTCGTTTTGAATGTGATGACTTCTGTGAGTGCCGGCTTCATACTCTTTCTTGAAACCAGACATGACTTCTTCTCCAGTTAGCATGTAGACTATGTTCTTCGATGAAGTCGCCTGTACGGGGTTGTCATCCAGTAGCGTATTGGTCACCTTTGTCGTTCCAGTTGATGCGCATCTGTCCTTCGTCTGCTGCTCTGATTTATGTTCTGTGACTAGACGATCGTCAGCGTAGTCTGTTGTCACACCGGTGACAGTTCCGAGTTCATAATTGTTGCTGTAAGGCTGAGTTTGTCTCACGAGATGTGGTCTGATGGAACTCATATCTGATATATTACGTTGTTTAGATAATTGTGGCTTTTCTCTCTCTACTTTTTCCAGTTTCGTCACCTGCTGATTGACTAGTTGGGCTTTAATCTTCAGCATTGATAGATGTCCTACGATGCGGTCGTTTAGTTCTATGACGTGAGTGTATTCTTCTTCAAGTTCTTCAGTGGGTATGAATGGTTCGATAGCATCATCCAGGTACTTAAGTTGAGATTCATAGTTTGTTAGCATCTCGATGATTTCGTTAAATTGTCCGGCTGTCGTTGTTTCTGGCATTGCTTTCTCCAGAAAATCAAAGAGTGTCGTTACCTTGTTGCGTAACGCAGATCTTTGTTGCAGAAGGTGCTCGATGTCGACATTGTTGAGGGTGATATTGTCTTGGGCGTCCGTTGCATTGGCTAAAATCTTGCTCATCTTGCCGGTCGATCGTTGCTATAGGTTGGCTGTTGTGACCTTCCGTTGATGGGTCCAGTCAGGTTCTCACCGTTTTGTTAAGCCCTCTCCCGGGTTTCGGCACCATGTTGTAAGAACGGCTGACTAGTCGTTAGTAGATGAAGCCAACAACAGCATTTATATACAAATATTTACATTAAAATGTCCGGCATCGTCCACTCATGGCCAGGCCTCGATCCATCTCGTGCATTCTATTTCTCGAGCTCCCGCTTCTTCTTCCTCCTTGTCGGGATGCCCGCTTCCATACAATAAGTTTCAACAGCTGTTCTCGCTCTCACCCCCTGCCCTTTGACCTTTCACTGCATGCACCTGCGAGATCATCAGGGACGACGGCGACCACGGCTAGTTCGTCCGTGACTCGTCGTCGCTGGAACTGGTCGCCAACGGGTTGCAGTCAAAATGACCAGCTTCTGACATCTCTTGATAACAATCACTCTCATCGCTGCTGCGATCAGTGTCGAGGACTTTGAGGAAGCGAGTGATGCTGTAGATGCAATCGTCAAAAGCCGCATGCTTGAAACGCGGAAGGGAAACGAGGAAGCTGAAGCTCGAGATGCCAAGAGAGCCAAGTCTACAAGTGCGTGCAAGGGTACGCCGTGCGTTGGTAGTAAAACATCACCAACCCAACAACAATGGTGGCCTTTTCGACTAGGGCGGATCTGAGGGTCTTGCATATAAATTGATTTATCCACAAAACTATCGCACCATTTTTAAAACAAATTTAGCAGAAATATAGGAACACACAATGGGTTCTAGCAGCATAGTTATCTCATATTTAATTTTTGCAGTGTCCTAGCCGCTTTAGGGTACTGTTGAGACCAGTTTTAACGAAGTCGGTCTATAACGAAATAACGGCTACAGCGAAGCGATCACGCTTTCCCCTTCCCTTTTGCTCTTCGTTATAACCAAAGTCGGTTATAACGAAATAGCGGATATAGCGAAGTAATTTCCGATTCCCGTTGACTTGATTATAGCCGGTCTCGACAGTACATTCAACGAGGTTGCAGAACGGTTCAGGCCAAACGACTGACTCACTTTTTCGCCAGGTGCAAAAGTGACTGAGATGTTTTTTAAGACGGGATCCAGACCAGTTTCATAGCGCATAGTCACTTTCTCGAAGCGCACTTCACCTTTACTGGGCCAGTCACTAGGAACTGCAAGAAAGTAAACAATAAAATATAAGTGAGTCGCCCTCTGGTGTGGCCTTATTACTATTTAATGGTGATCAGTTTGTAAAAAAAATTTTACGAAGCTTCCTTACAATGAATACACCCTAAATTTGAAATAAAAGTTTTCAAGAAACAAGTTATTTGTGTAAAAGCCGGGCCAATATCTTTCTTGCTACTTCAACGGCAGCAAATCTGAGCCTAATTTCATGTTTCCATTTTTCTTCTTCAAGCACTTACACAACTGTTAGCACATGCAAAACAAACCCTTGAAACACATTGCAAATTGTACAGGAGAAGACGAGTGTGCCTCGAGCATAAGGCTGCCGAAAACATAGGTATGAACACGTGAGTGGTGACAAGTTCTTTGAATGCAGGTGTAGTCACTTGGAGCATGCAGGTTGCACTGTATGTGTTACATATGAAGAGCCTCACTTAGCAATCATCTGCTACCTGTGCCATCATGATAGCTGTTCTCATACTAAAATAACGACAAAGTACCAAATCAAATAACAGTTTAATCCACTCAAAATGATAACAAAAAAACCCGAAAATGCAATCGTTGCAACCAATCATTATTGTAGCTGGACCGGCCTCCAAAAGTGCCTGAAATAATACCCCATGCTGCAGGATGGAGCAAGTTTCTCAGCAATGCAATATACTGACCACCATCGCACAATATCAACTTCAAACTAAACAACTCCTTTATTTAGCAGTTCATACGAACGAGCATGTAATAAATCATGTATAAAAGGCAGGAAATCGACGCTTCACACGCAATTCTGGTATGCTACGTATCCAGTTACCACGCGTGTGCCACCCACAGTCCTATCACATGTATGAAATCGTCCAGTAACTGAATCATGAGGAAAACACCTTAAACATAAATTTGAGACAGATGACCATCGATGACGGCACAGATGGTTTAGTTGACATTGTAAATTCCCTTGTCGACGGCGGCAATGGCGATCAAGATCATGGGGCCGCGACGTTCCCATGGGTCGGCAAAGGTAGCGCATGGGAAGAGCTCATTGGTTTGGACGAGGGTCCAGGCTTCCTTAAAGCTTGATGCAAATGTATTAGTATGTATGCTTTGTTTCATCTCCACCAAAACTTGCGTTTTCACTGCATGCACTTTGCTGGCGTCATCTTTAAAACCCCATGACTGCAACCACCGCCGCCACCGCCAACGATGATGTACAGCGACAACTCACGGTGATTTTGGATACGCGTCCGCATGGCACGTGCGCGTAGCATTTTGGGTGTCATTTGTTCTGCGGTTATTTTTATTGTTAGTTTCATTTTTGACCGACTGTTTTTCTATATTGTTCAATGAGCGCATTTATAATCATTGTGGCCGATATGCCTAATATATATTCCATCGCTATATGTGGTTTATTTTTACATAGACCCAACGGAAAAACGCATGGTTCTCTACAAACTGGTTGTTATACGTGGTAACGTTATAAGTGGGTTGCACTGTAGTACCTACCTTAAAAACTGGTCCTCAAAAGCATAATTTCAATCTTACAAACGACATCCATCCAAGGGTGCCAAAAGAAAGCTACTTTTGCTCCTTGAGCCTCTTCGCAACATACATTAATGTGTACGCCGTTTAACAAGATTTCAGAGTAGTCTATAGGCAGTCTTTTCGTGACGGCGACCATGTTGAATTGGGATGTAGCTGAATTAGGGAAAAATAGCTAATCACATCATTGCTCGATTAGAAGGCGCTAGAATTCATTGGGTTTGTGTCAACAGTTCTACTTTTTTCTTGGCTATACTTTTTTTGTTGTACTTATGCTTAAATTATTTACTTTAGTTCTTGTCGCCCAACCCAACTACGTCATATTTCCACGTGGCAACCGTCACCCGAAAACAATCTATAGCGCCCCTGTTAAAATTCACCCAAAAGGTCGGCTCTCGTGAACCCCCTCACCGTGGGCAGGAGAGGCCACATGCTCGATGGGAAGCTGGGCGTATTTGGTGACCCTCTCCACAGAGCTCATGTACATCTCCACGCTCGACACCTGCCTCACCAGCCAGTTGAGGTAGATGGGAACCTGCAACCGCACAGCGCGCCCAGAGAAATGAGGACCCCCAACCCCTAGAACGTTTGTCCAAGAGCCCATCCATCAGTCACCTCCTTTCTATGCACGCCATGAGAGGCTAGACACAGATGATTGCAGTATAAGAAACGGGCAAACTTCACTTGGCCAACACTGAACCTTATTTGCACAACTATTACAACAAATGGCTGTTATTAGAGGTGTTTTGCTGCTGATCCCTGGGCGTGTTTTGTGTAGTGGCGTGGCCGAGACCTAAACATGAAGGGGGAATGTCCTCCCTACATTTAGAAGAAAAAAAACTAATGGCCATGAGACCAAAGTTTACGACCTATGAGGTTGCGTGTTTTCGAATAAATCCGAAAAACTCGGAACAACACTCGCCGGAATAGTTCTTGTCAATTTGGATTTATCCCATAAACTCAGAATTTCAATGTCCCAATGCAAAACAAAAACAGTATTCTACAGTTAAGTTTGGTCCGAAAACAGGATCATTGGTCCTAAGAAGATGCCACCCCAGTTTGTTTGTCTTTTTTTTTTTTTTTTTTTTTTTCAAATCTTGTATTATTTACAAAAAGAGTCTTTCCGTTTGTCTCATCAAAGTTCATTCTAGACAGCAGGTCATTGTACTTCTGGGTCACAAGAAAAGCCATTTTTCCGGTTTCAAATCTGTACCATACTATTTGAGCTTCTTAAAGGAAGGAGGAGTTGCTTTTTCGTAACAGTGAAAGCTTTGAACCATCGAGGTTTCATAGAAGAGGGAAAGGGATGGGGGCGGGGAAGGAGGGGCAGCTGAAGCTTCTATGTTACACCCTTTACACTCCACCTCGTACAGGTGCGGGGTAAGGTGATGATATAGGATGGGAAAAAATTAGCTTCCCAGTGATCGCCTCCAAGAGTCTTGTGCTTCTAATCAATCAACGTTTATAATAACAATGCTTGTTTGCAATTTTTGTCATGGGTCAGGTTAGTATAGCCAATGGCAAGGGAATTAACACCAAATCCAGTTGATGAAATATTATTTGACACAACCACATTATTTTGAATCTAGCACACGTTTATACCCGGATATTATTCATTTTTATTTTTAAAAACTAGGAAATTCTGTACAATTTAACTTCAAACTTAAAATTTGGAAATTTAACAAAACTAAATTTCTATAAACATTGAACTTCTGGCAAAAAAGGAAACTCTGAAAAATACTCTCCGAATTTTGATGAAAAATAAACTCCAAAAACACGAAACCCTACCTACAGGCACCAAATTAGTGGACTTATGTCCTGCTGAATTTAGCAGATGGCAATCATGCGACAGTGACGTCATGTGACACTGTGAAGCGACATGCCACAGCCTACCACCACGCCATGCGACACCATGACGTCTGGTGCCGGGAGATTTTAACGTGAACACGCACCATGGCCAAGAGAGCATCTCCAGCCCTCTATCTGCGTCTGTTGCATGCCCTGGCTCTGCCCGTTCCTCCCACTGACCAAACTTTCCCTATATGCGGCTCTGGTGGAAACGAGCTCCGCAGGTGTTGCTTCTCTGCAGTGCACCAGTGCTCGGTAAGAAGTGCACTCCACAGGGCTAGCCTGCCACGATTATTAACACTTCGAAAAATACAACTATCGCAGTTCACCTCGAAGCGAATAAAATTCGCTTTGAGGTGAAATTCGTTTTGAATTTCATTCGAAACTACTATTCAAGAATTTTAATATTTGCATGAACACTATGTTTCTACATTTCTTTCAATAAATTAAAAACCGTTTTGTGACCATTTAAGCTGGCTGCCGTGAGACCGGAGCCTGAATAATTTATTGCGTGATCTTACACAAAACCAAGTAACCTTCAGTTTTTGTGCCAACGTAATCCTTGAAAAGGACCGTTGGGTGGACTTCCATTGGTCTGAGGTGTGAAGAGAGCACACAGTGTACGAAAATTGCAAAGGAGACCATTCTCGAAGGTCCTTGAGGTACACATGGGTGTCGCACGCACTTTCAAATACGTATGACTTTCTCATCAGAGTCGACACGGTCTAGACTAATTATGGACTTGTCCCGCATCAAGAGCCTAGTTGCGCAGCTCTTTCCTATGATGCAATATGGCATCAGTAACGCAAGTTCTGAGCATGGTACAGGGAGCTCGCAATGCATAAAAAGACAGAGTTGCTTACGAGTAATGTGTAAGTCATGGCGATCCCCACGAAGGAGGGACTGATGCTTCCAGTGAGAGCTGCGGTGAGTGCAGCCATCGTGGCTAGGAACAGGATGACGCCTCCCAAGTAGTCCTTGATAAAAAAAAGAAAGAGACTTCAAAATAAATTTATATGAAAAATAAAATGACAATAGGAATAAATGATGAAAGTTACGCGACTAGAAGAATTGCAATTCTAAGCACCGTTGTTCGTCACAAGATTTACACAAGAAAAACCTGGACGGAAATCTAAGCTCGGTTTAAATGGGGTGCTTGCATTAACACTCTATTTCAGTTTCAAAATGATATAATCCCTTGATGGCTGCTACCATAAAAAAAAAGAAAAAAAAAACTTTCAAAATATTTATAATTATGATATTGCATGTGACAACATAGCTTACAAACAGAATTTCAAATAATTCCTATTTTGGTGCAGCGACTGATGGCTTTGTTCACACAACAGAACAAAGTGCTGAGTGCCTACCAGTGAGATTCCAAGCCAGCAGTTGGCACAATTCACCATGATGAAAGCCAGGTTGTTGTTGTTGATGTGCTCATTCATCCTTTCAACAAACCTATTTTCTTCTCTGCAAACCAAAGAAACCAAGTAGTAAAAAATGAGACATTTACAATTCTCTGTAATGCCGAATTAGAGCGCAGTTCTTCACGAGGACGAGGGGAGGGTATGCCCCTCCTCCCCTCCTCTCCTGCTCCCCTCCCATTTAGCAGGAAATCTTTGCTAAATTTCCCGCTAAATTTAGCCAAAAAATTTCTCACTAAATTTAGCAGGGAAATTCAATTTAGCGGGCAATTTTTTCCACTAAATATAGCGGGGAAATTTTCTGCTAAATTTAGTGGGGAAATGTTTGTGCTAAATTTAGCGGGAAATTTTCTCTGCTGAATTTAGCGGTAAGATTTTTCCGTTGAATTTAGCGGGGAAATTTTCCCGCCAAATTTAACAGAGAAATTTTTCACTTAATTTAGAGGAGAATTTTTTCTGCTAAAGTTAACGGGGAAACTTTTCCGCTAAACTTAGTGGGGAAATTTACCCATAATGCAATGTGCGGTTACGCTGACGGCAATGCCGCTCAAGCCGGAAAAGGGCTCCTAAGGGCTGCATTTAAAACAAAACCGAATGCAATGCCCAAAACAGCATGAAGCAACACCCCCTGCCAAGACACTTTAGGAAATCCCGGTTGCGTGTCGACTGGCCAGTCAGCAACCTTCTGAGATAATAGCATGATGTGCGGCTACCTATGAGGTTTGACTAGATTGATGCTGTGAAGGCAAAAGGGACGAAGCACCTACAGCACTGTACCTTCACAAATGAAAGATTCCTATGGAGCGGCGTAAGGACAGGGGAGGGGAGTATTGTAATATCCTGATAGAAAGCCTACCTAAAATAAGGAGTGGGCTAACTTTCAGTGTTTAATGAAGAAGACCTATTTTTTAAGTCATGTTTTGCTGCCAAACTTGTTATCATGGTGAGGGACAATCAAGGAAAGATGGCTGTACTTCCCAGTCAGCAATATTCGCTTGTATCCAGCCATAGTTAAAACTAGCCGCATTTACGCCGAGGTCATCATTGATCCGAACACTGTGATTATTAGGAGCGGGCTATCTTTCGGTGTTTAAAAGAAAATAGCAAATTGAGGCAAAAATTATTTAGTAGCCACACCTCCTACATCCCTTTTTTAACTTCTAAGTATGTTCACCTTGACACTGAAGGTATACAGTATACTGATTAACAGTGCTCGGGATTGGGCTAGTCGGTTTTTTTAACGCTTTGATTAAACTGCGCTGCTTAAGGATTACAAATAACGACACTGAAACAGAAAGAAGACACAACATACAAAAATAATTTGTGTGCACTGCATGGTCTTTCTAGAGTCAGGGTTGTTGTTTGTAATCCTTTGCAGCACAGTTTAATCAGATGTATATACTGAATGTGCCTTCATCACATAAAAGGTACAGCTATAATACTGGTTGTAGCTTAAAACACCTGGGTTCCTTATGCTCCAGGAAGCCAACAAATACACCTGTTTCAGCTCGATGATCACATTCACGCATAGTTCACTGGCGTTGCGCTGGAGGTAGAGCTTCTACTGAATTCTTAGACTGTCCCCAACTAGTATAAACAAACTCTAATGTTATGGCTGGGTCATGTGGCACCTTATCTTTGTATACAAGGTGCTTTTTCCAAGAGTAACACTAATTAAACAAAAAAAAGCCGCAAAAGCTAGTTATGCGGTTTGTGCAGGTGAGTTATACGACCAGGGGGACATAGTATAGGGGGCTAATCGTAAAATCAGTTGGCTAATTGAGTAAAATTTGTTAATTAACTTTTTTAATTAGTGACAATAGATATATGATTCCAATGAAACTTCCTGAGCATCATCGAAGACCACTAAATCAGTAATTTTCAGAGAAACTTTGAGCGCGTGAGAAGTGCAGTAGTGCGCTGAAGTTTCCCCTCATGCAGCAGGAACAAGGCTACAAGTGTGATGAGGCACTTGCACTATTTTTCCGTTTCTTATCTCAGCCCCAGCCTTGTACCTGTTGCACGAGAGGTACCTTCAGCACACTACCACGCTTCCCATGCACTCAAAGTATTTCTAAAAATTGATTTAGTGCTTCTCGATGATGCTCGGCAAGTTTCTTATAAGAACCATATGCCAATTTTCTCTAATTAAAAGGTTAATTAACAAATTTTACTTAATTAGTCGACTGATCGCTATGATTAGCCACCTTTACTATATCCCCGTGGCCGTATAACTCACTTGTACAAACCACATAAGTGTAGCTTTCACTGCTTTTTTTGAAGAAATCGGTTAAGCTTACAAGGAAACACCCTGAATTAGTAGCTTCTGAATGACAAATACAGTTACCAAGAGTCTTTATATGTTTATATCCCCATAGCAAGAGAGACACATTTGTATTGCAGTAATGCTACAACAAGTCTTTGGTGGGTTGTGAGAGCCCTGTCCGTGTGAAGCAGACAGATCAGAAAATTATGTGATTTGGTTGCAAATGTGAGACATGATGGATGTCTGAAAAATTTTCCTAGAATTTTTTCAAAGCAGTTCCTTAGCAGAGTAATGAAGAAAATACTTATGCAGTACAGGACAGCGAAAAATGCTATTGCATTTCAACGGCAATATGCACGGCGATTTCAACAAGCATTTCCACTTTGCCTTTGCAAAATGTAGTAGATCTCACACTGAAATTGAATGGGCTGTATGGTTCTTCAACGTTTGGACGTTGTGTACACCAACAGGATACTATGCAATTGCATTTGTTTTTAAAAGTGTCACACTCAAAGTGACAAATCTAGAAATCACATGGATGGTTCCATTACCTAAGTGCGTACACGCCTTGGTAAAGATACACGAGTTTGTATTCCGAGTTCCAACTAGCTGAAACGTGAACAATACTTTGTAGCAGCCCCTGAAACCATTAAGCGGGGGCACAAAATGTCTCACGGCCACTCTATTCTCCGTTAAAAGAGCAACAAATAACAGCACTTGTGCCACCCTCCCCCTTTTTGCAAATCATGTCGTCAGAAGCCAGTGCCACTGCACATACTTGTGCCGTCAGGGCAGAAGCAATATGCATGCTTTGAAATCACGATTCGGAAGAACAATGATATGGTGACAGTATCTCTCACCTAGCGCTGTTCCGATAAAAAAGAAAACATTTGAGATCTTTTGTGCTTGCGCTTACTCTCGAGTAAATAGTTCCAGGGGCTGCCACAATGTACTGCACGCAGTTCAGTTGGTTGCTGCTTGAGTGATGCCATTTCCATCCTTGGCAAATGGACAGCTACACTCTTACAAATGTAACATATTTTTTTAAGCTAAATGTTAGAGACTGCTGGTAGGTAAGAAGTGAAACAAAATGTATGCAACATGGCAGCAGCATACATAAAAACAAAACAAAACAAAAAAAACACAAACTGAGGTGACGTTTGTGACCTTTGTCAGGCTACAAGCGGAATTAATAAAAACAACATGTGGCGATTAGGAGAGGATGCCAAAAGATGGACAACAGCCGAATAGGGATGAATGACATAGATGTAGTGAAAGAAAAATGTGCATACACCAGTGGTGTAGGCAGAAATATTTTGGGGGAAGGATTGGGGAGGGAGGGAGGGAAGGGGGGGGGGGGGAGGGGCTGAGGTGGCTGTGATGTCCATGACTTAGGGCATGGAGAGGGGGGTAAGGGGGATTAAGGCTGCCCCCCTGGTTATGCCACTGGCATGCACCTAACGACTCACCTGAAGGCACGTATGGTGCTTAGACCGGCTAATGTCTCCGAAAAGTGTGAAAAAATGGGGCTCTTGGTGATGCTGTCGAGTCGCTGAAGTTCTCTGCACGAGAGTGAGCAAAGGACGAAAAAGTGAGTGGGTAAGTTCAATGACGAGTCAACAAAGTGACAGCCGACATGAGCCAACAAAATCCGACGTAGAGCACACGAATGTTTAAAAACATTCTTCCCCAAAGAGCGCAGTATTACCTGGAAGAGCAGCGGAAAAAGGACTGGATGTAATAGTAGGCAGCAGCAACAAACACCACCACAATGAGAAAGTAAGGTGTGACAAACACGTCCACAAGCACGGCAGTGATGCACAGCATCAGGAACCTCAGTAACACTGGCACAGTCACTGGAAGTTTCTGCAACAAGAAGAGAAAAAAGATTCTGTGCCTTCCTATTGGGCTACGACGATGTGATGGGGAGTCGGCTAAACTTATATGACAGCGGTCACCCCCTTCTAAAGAAAGCGTGGCTGTGCTGAACACAGCCTCAGGCAAGGGTCAAACCCAAAGAGCTACTAAGGCCAAGTGAGAGTGTAAGCCGTTTGACACTGTTAGCACAAACATGACATCGACACTTTTCTGCATTTTTACTTTAGAGCTTAAGTTACTGCCCTGAAAGAGAACCTTCGAAGACACTAGCTGCTTCTTTAGGGCAGCGGTTTCATTTTAAAAGAAAAACAGGAAGTACTAGAGATTGCTTGCTTGTGCTAACAGTGTCGTGCTGTGTACTTCTCATACATGAACATAGATGAATGGAGTACAGTGGTAGCAAACACAACCACACAAAAGATGCCAAAAACACTGACTCACTTTGTCTATAATGCCCATGTCGCTTGAAAATCTGTTGAGGATCCTTCCGATCGGATTGGCATCAAAAAATCTAGACATTGAGGTAGAAAACATTGGCTACTCTTGCAGATGATTTCAGAAGAAGCAAACGAAAGAAGTTGGCGGCCCACCTCATGGGGCACTGGACAATGGTGTCGAGCATGTTGTTGTGGAACACCTTGACCGAACGGAGCGTGACCAGCTGGGCAGAAAGGTTGGTCACGAGAGAGAGCACGATGGAAAACATGGACAGACCAGTGTAGCCCATGAGGTAGCCCCAAGCAATGTCGTCCTGAAAGGCAATTGCACCACTGTCTTACATTCCTTACACGGGCAAGAAGAAGCTCACACACCAACCTCGATGCATGAGCAACATTCGAGATAAAAGACTGCTCCAAGTCTAGCCAGAAAGTTGACAACATAGAAAGGGATTGCTTCGCTCGGATTGTGAATCAATATTCCGAATGTAAAGCACACTGGTGGAATTTCCAACCAGCAGGTGACCGAAGAGCCCCTGGGCGATTGGGATGAGTCTGGTTTGCTCCCTAATCTATAAAAGTTGATTGAAGTCTGATAATCTCTCTGGATGGAGACTCAGCAGTGCACAGTATGCACATGCAGTCTAATAAATACACTATAGGTTCATTTGATTCACCTGCACCTAATGTACCGGTGCAGAAAAGTGTAGGGCAGTCTACTTCCGGTAAATGTATTTAGAGACAACCTAAAGTAACCAACCCTACACTTTTCTGCACTGGTGCAGGAGGTGCAGGTTAATCGAACAAAGCTACCGTTTACTGTACAATCTCGAAGAAATGCCCAATCGTGTGGTGAAGAAATAAACGGCGAAAAACACGGGGCAGGTGATCTATCGGTATGCAACAGTAAGAGTTCATAAAACGACGAACAGCACAGAAACCAATACCGTTTGAGTTTAAAGACTGGTATCCCGAGTGACTTTGTCAAACGACATAGAAATAAATTTTCAATGTGTCTAAAGATACTCATGACCTGTTTGTGACGGGCTTGCACAGCGGTGGCTACTGGTGTTCCACTTGCATCAGCAGCCCGCATGGCTGCATCGCATGGCACCGTGCATACAGATGAGTTCGATTCTATTGGGTGGCAGCTTGCATCAGCTAGCCAACGAAAAGCATGTGGGCTCCATACCATCGCTAGTCTTAGTCTTGTCTACGTGGGACAAGCTGTTGCCCGACACAGCTTCATGTGCAATCAGGTGAGTGCGCTCATTTACGTGTGCCATATTTTTCTTATACTATCTCTACCACAAAGACATTCAAGTTGAGTGACTGACTCCTATCACATGCCCCGTCAATGCGGCTTGACCCTAAGAAAAGCTCTTCCTCATTCTGCTGCAAAAATTTACAGGCGGTAAGAGTGACCTTAGCAAGTGCATACCTCCTGAGCGGACAGCGTGGAGTTGAAGTCCCTCGAAGCCTCCGACCAGCTGGTGAGCCAAAAGTCGGATCCGAGCCGGGCCCCCTGATTGGCCGCAAAGAGCACGCAGACGAGGGCGGCGAAGGCAAAGCGGCAGGCACGCATGTACGAGAGGTACACCGCGCAGGGGATCTTTCCCTGCTGGCGGTCCTCCGCTTCTATCAGCTGCCCCTGTGCCTCTGACAGAATGGAGGGTACCGTGCCATTGTTGCCCGTAAGCAGACTGCTCGTGAGGCCTGCAGAAGAGGAGTACATGCAGCAATTCGTCCCCCGCTAGAATTAGCAGAGAAATTAATGTCACGTGGCCTACACGCCAATTTAGTTTCCACACTAAATTTAGCGTAAATCTGATGTCAGGTGACCTATGCACCCAATCGAGGTTCCCCGCAAAATTTAGCGGAGAAATTCACGTACCGTGACCTATGCACCAATTCAGTTTCTCCGCTGAATTTACGACACACGACCTATGAACCAATTCAGGTTCTGCGTTAAATTTAGCTTGCTTCCATTGGATCTTTTAGAATTTTTTTAATGCCTTTTGCAAGGCGTTTTGTTCGCCTACGCTACCCATGCATTCGCGACCTCGCTGCACCAGGATAGAAAAGTGCGTTCATTTCGCGCGCGTGTGGGGAGGGGGTCAAAATTTCGACGTCCAAATGGGGGGTGCGTTCAATACGCGAGTGAAAAAAAAAGTCAAAATTTTGAGAGCCGACTTTAGGGGTGCGTTTATTACGAGAGTGCGTTCATTGTGCGAGTAAATACGGTATGCACCAATTCAGGCTCCCTACTAAATTTAGCGGAGGAATTGACATCACGTGACCTATACATCAATTCAGTTTCTCTGCTGAATTTAGCAGACAAATTGAGGTCACGTGACCTATGTGCACCAATTCAGGTTCCTCGCTAGAATTAGCAGAGAAATTATTGTCACGCACGTGGCCTACACGCCAATTTAGTTCCCGCACTAAATTTAGCGTAAATCTGACATCACATGACCTATGCACCAATCGAGGTTCCCCGCTATACTTAGAGGAGAAATTGACGTCACGTGACCAATACACCAATTCAGTTTCTCTGCTAAATTTAGCGAAAATTTGTGTCACATGACCTATGCACCAATAGACCATCAGCAATATTCCCAAGCACCCCAGCCCATACTCGAGAAATCATGGGAACGGTGTTTCTTCAGCTCCCTAGTGATCGCTAATTTTAACCAATTCCATGGTTACGCAGTTTGTGAGCGTAATTCGGAGACGCCCTGATTAAGCACCTGATATACCGCAAGGGCCTGTCATATCACTTTTAAAATTTCTTGTCTATGTCAGCATTTTCGATACTGTGCATGTGATCCACCTTTCCACCTGGCTGAGCTGCAGAAATCTCTTACAATATTATCATTCTCCTGATTGTTGTTTTAACCGGAACCGCTTAAAAAGCCGAGAATTCACAACAACAAAAACCATGATTTAGCTCGGAGTCTGCGGGTCTGTTTATAGCGTCTTTAGCGTTTCTAACTTAATATCAGCGTCTTTGAAGCTGTAGGAGAATGATAATAATGTAAGAGATTTCGGCAGACCATCCAGGTTGAAGGGTAGACAGCATGCACAGCGTCAAAAACGCTGACATAGAGGAGAAATTTTAAAAGCGATACGACAGGTCATTGGGGTATATCAGGCTCTTGTTCAGGGTGACTCCGAATTCTGCTCAAAAGCTGTGTAACCAAGGATAGGGTCGACATTATCGATCACTAAGGAGCTGAAGGAGCACCGTTCCCATGATTCTTTTAGCGCGGGCCGGGGCACTTGGGGGATATAGCAAATGGTCTATTCAGGTTCCCCGCTGCGAAGGAATTTACGTCACATGACCTATGCTCTAATTCAGTTTCCCTGCTAAATGTAGTGGAGAAATTGAAATCACGCTACCTATGCACCAATTCAGCTTCCCCACTAAATTTAGTGGAGAAATTGACGTCACCTGACCTATGCACTAATTCAGTTTCTCGCTTAATTTACCGAAAACTTATGACACGTGACCACCTATGCACCAATTCAGGTTCTCCGCTGCAAAGAAATTGATGTCACATGACCTATGCACCAATTCAGGCTCACCGCTAAATTCAGCAAAAAAATTGATGTCACGACCTATGCACCAACTTAGTTTCCCTGCTAAATTTAGTGCAAAAATTGATGTCATGACCTATGCACCAATTCAGATTCCCCGCTAAACATAGTGGGGAAACCTAAATTTAGCAGGCCTCGTAACAAAAGAAGAGGTAAACATGACAAATGCTGTCGCAAATCATAGACAACCAACAATAGTGGTTTCTGCAGCCTTTGTTTTTTGTTCTTTTTTTTCTTAAGGGGGGACACCACCTTAAAGTTGCAATTTTCGAGAACAAATCACTTTTCTGATTTTTATGTATGTATTCTGGTTCCACAACTAATAACGCACGTTCCTGCAAATTTTTATTGCAATATGTGCAACATCTACAGAGAAATTAAACTTTTTCGGTAATCCGACAATGCAAAATCATACATTTTGGAAATGTGATACTTTTATGTTCCCTATTTTCTAACTGCTAGAGCTCTGCACTGGTACGCTCTAGAATGATAATCATACTCTCGTTGGAAAGAGTGTTTCTTCACAGTTTCAATACATTGAACATCCTTGTTCGAGAGTAAACACTATTCGGGAAATAACACCACAGAAATCCAGCTTGCACGTGGAAGAGGCTCTCCATATGGCCAAGAATCGAAAAGCCCGCTCTGACTGAACAGAAAACTGACTGAAACCAACATTCGTTTACAGAAACTCACGTAGGTTCACCTGCTTTATATTTCAACGATGCTTGCCCCACCCATAATTGCTGATGCTGGTTCTTGTTACAAGCATATCCAACTCCTCACTCGTTCCACAATGAATGTTCACAAGCCAACAACAATGACATTCAAAGAAAGCGTTTTAAAGGGACCATGAAATGATTTTAAAATCGAATTTCATCCACCGCACGTCGTAAAAGGTGTGAAAAGAAACACAAAAACACAAAACTAGGGAGCCAAAAAAAATTATTTGCTATAGAACTTTTAAAAGAAAACTGGACTCTTTTGCCACTTCTTTCCTTCGAAAGCTCTGCCTTTTCACTACGATGCATCCGCAGAAGCGGAGCACGTCAGCCGAATCCACGTCGCCTATTGGGTAAGAGCCTACCTCACCAGCACCGCGATCGTAAACAATAAATAGCCGGCGAATGTTTCCTAAAAGTTTTGTTAAATAATATTCAGATCCACATTTTGTAGCATAATTAGATATGTGTGGCGAAAATTGCCAAATTTGATAATGCTGAGAGCCAAGCGCCATCTATCGTGTGGTAAACGAAGCAACTACTGCGTGTGTGCAGTAGGGCAGGGCCGACTTGAGAACGGTTATTTCCTTTGGTTTCCTTCCTCTCAAAACTCTGACTGACTGAACGTTTATTTTTCTACGTGTTCATCTCGCTGGATCCACAAACACCCGAGAAGAGCGACAACAGCCGCGAATCCCGCTCCGACGAAGCTCTCAGAATATAGGCCTAGCAGGCACTCCGACTCGGCGCAGCGTTGCTTCGTCGCAAGACCGTCTGTCTGCCTACGACCGGCTGGCGTGCTGAATGGAATATGCCCGCGCTACCCTTGTGGACCCTTCCCGTATTATAGTTTGATCGCTGACCTCAATTTTAAGTTAAGAGGTGAGGTCAATCTCTTCCCCTTGTTTTCCGAGGCAGTGTTGACGAACACTCGTCGAAAAGGGACCCTCGTCGATTCCCTCTTCTTGTTTTGTGTGATATAGAGCTGAAATAAACGCGGTATGGATTACCTTCGTAACACGGTATGTACACTTTGTTATTGGTATGCCATTTTTATTCTGACAGACTGCACGTCACTGTCGAGCTGTAACAGTTCGTGGGAGGTATACGTGCAATACCGGTCCAACCTTTCTTTGCCGAGTGTCGCGTCAGTATCGAGTTGCAATCGTAAAAGATCGGTCCCGAAGCGCTTAGCAACAGCGCGAATACAGCACTTCCATCAAACGCGCGCGTCCGCTCCGAGTGTGAACAGGTATTTACGTGGCTCTTGCTGACACTCGTAGTTCAAACGTATCTTTTTTAATGTCGGCTCGCTCCTGCATCTCCGAGACCGCGAAAAACGCCGCGGCAATTTGTTTCCATCTACGTCGCTTTGCAAACGACTGACACGGGCCGCCTTTTACCAACAATGACAGTTGGGTTGACTTCTGGAGTCTTCACCGGAAGCCTCGCTGCACTTCCCAACAGGCATACCGGCGTATGGGACTAGTCCCATGCTGTCGCTGTAGCGCAACGTATCTCATTGAATTTCGCTCAGCTGCGATGCGGCGATGAGAGGCGCCGATTCAGAAAATACGTCGGTGACATTGGCGCAGTAAAACCTACCGGCGCACCCCAACTCGTCGCCGCTAACGCTCCCATCTCCTACTGCCGAGAGAACTTCCGGTTCCGGAAACAGCGTACGTCACGGCTTGTTTTGCGGTCAAGAAAAAGTCAATATTTCATTATTTTTTTGTGTAGAAGTTAATCAACCGAGACGAAAACGGATGCCTGTTCGGCATTCAGTGAACATTGACGGTTTAATGTAAAAGTCATCTGGAAAAAGTAAAAAAGTCATTTCATGGTCCCTTTAAGTTCAAACTAACTCAGCAAAGTCATGCAGGAGATCGGGAGTAAGAAGAAGGCTCCACCTGCACTCTCTGTGTCATTTTAGTTGCCACTACCACCAATTACTCCCGGCTTTCTCTTTCCTTCTCTGGACCTCACAAAAAAAAAAAGAAGAAAACCACCAATTAAATCGAATGTAATGGTGTGGAAACTTCAAATAGGTTTTTTTCTCAGTTTCACTTTTCTGCAGCACCTTTCTGTTTAGGAAATCCATCATTTCAATAAATTTGAGTAAATTATTCTCCGCTGTAGATGTTTCTGAACTGAAATTTAATGAGGAATGGGGCTGGATATTTATTTTTCCATTTAAATGAAGATTTTATTCCCAAAAAGTAGGGTTTTGATAAGGAGAAAATGCCCCATTATGTGCAATGCTTTTTAAATTGACAATTTACGTAGAAAAAGCACAGGTTCAGGTAAAAAATAGATAGCCACATCCCCCATATGCTCTAGTTTAGGCTTAGAAATGTTCAATATTTTGCAGAAATTTTATACGATAGATTTCCTAACAAAGAGAGGTGACATACATCGATAGCTGCATACGTCCCCCGTAGCTTACTGAAAAATCATTTATTTTCACAGCCCTCATTTTTCGCGAGTCGGTCACAGAGAACAAAATTGCGGCCATTAAGTTTCGCGAATTCAAGACGCCTGCCTTGAAACTCTTACGAACAAAAACTTTCGCGTGCCCTTCAATTTTACAAATTTTTCAATTCACAATATTTGCGAAAATTAAAAGCTCGTGAAAATTAAGGGTTTTACAGAATCAGAAAAACGTCCTAAGGAGATGAAAAGACATACAGTGCATTTGGGCAATGAGATGAATAGACCCTCCAAATTTCGTAGATACTGAGCACTGGCTTAAAACTCAACACACGAACGTGGTATCATCCCTTAATGCATCAGCACTGTAAGCCGCCAACCACCTTCTTGTTGCTTTCGTTGTTGATGTTTATTTTCTTAATGCATCAGCAGTGTTAGCTGCCATCCACCTATCAACATGGTGTTTCTTGTAAATGTTGCTTATGCGTACCGTAAAATACCCGGCAAGCGCCCACTCAAACTTTGGAGATAATCGAAAAAGAAATGGGGGACGGGCACTTGTCCGGTCATCAATTTTACATCAAAATGTATGGTGCATATTTTCTCATATCTTACGAATTTGGGAGTGGGCGCTTAGTGTGGAATGGGCAAGTGCACGGTATTCTACGGTATATGTAAATTGAAAACGTGAGACAACTGGAAAAACTGCGGCGACTGCCAGCCGCACGTACCGTCCTCCTTGTCCCGTTCCACATCCGCCCTCCCCTCCTTCTCCTTCCCCTCCTCCTCCTCCTCTTCCTCGATGAACAGGTCCGCAGGGTTCGAGATCCGGGAGCTGAGCCTGGAAGGTGGGGAGCGCAGCCAGGACCCGCCGCCGAAGGTCGGCGCCGAGCGGACGCTCTCGGCCGAGCTGCCCGAGCCGGCGAAGCGGAACCCCGTGGACGGCGGCCTGTCCAAGCCGCCCCCCGCGGTCCACGGGGTCAGAGCGGCGTCTTCGTTGCCCATGTCGTGCAGTGGAAGGGGACTCGACGGGTCGTGGGACAGCTGCCTGTTCATTGCGGACATCCGCGGCCGCGGTCGGACATCCTGCATCATACCGACCTATGAGGGCTGGAGAACGAGCAGCACGACGCCGGACTCGTTCGATTTACCTGCACCGGCATACAATGCACCGGCATACAATGGTGCGGAAAAGTGCAAGGCAGCGTACCTCGGGTACGTGTTTGAAGCTATGCCGCGCTCGTAAATCGACTACGTCGGTGCACACAAAGCATAGCTGGTGCAGAGGATGTAGGTAAATCTATTGACCCCACTGTTAATCTGGACAAGCGATCGCCGGTTTTCTAAGTGCGACAGCATTTCTTTCGGCAGCCCTCCAGGAAAGTTCTGTTCAGTAAAAGAAAATTAACACGCATGTGCGGGAGAGGGGGTAAATTGAGAAGAAACTACAAAATTCCAAAAGTACCCCAAAAGGAATTGAACCTACCGTCCCAAAATTGTGGGCATGACTCTCAACCACAGCACCACGAAGGCTCGTAGGCAATGGTTATTCGATGTGATAACATCTCTTTTGCCAACCATTGCCGCGGAACACGCAAGTAGAGCGAGCGAGCAGCCGAGACTTTTGTTCTTGCTGCACGAGCGATCGTACAGCCGTGGCACAATCTAATGTAAGGAGCTCGCGCTTGTGTCCATCGTTAAGCAGATTCCACAGTTTCCGACAGAGAACAAACCTTCAGAAAGGGTCTATGATAAAAGTCATACACTTGATCGAAGTACTCGAGAAAGGGGTGCATTGAAGAGGACATTGCTGAATAGAAACAGTGGCACAAGTTCAGCGTGTTTATTGTGCCAATGAGACACCGGAAAAGAAAGGACGGTGTTTGGCTAGAAACAAAGAAGTCAGGTGGCTTATCCTGCTACCACTAAGGGCTGGGTGAGGGGATGAGATTTGTCTCAATTTAAACGGCATTGAAATGCTATCACATTTACATGTGATCTGCAGCAAAGCACTGCAGAAATGCAGCCCTGTTTTCTTACATTTTTCTCTTACAATTAAAAGGCTCTAATCAAAAAAGTTATACAAGCTGGATCATGCTGACAAAGACTGGTAAGTACAGAATGTATGATAGGCCTTTCAAGGAAGAAGAGAAAAGCGTCTGAAAGGCGGCGCCTACCGAAAATTTTCTCATCTCTGGCACATGGCGTGAGATGGCGCAGCATGACGGGAAAGGCTAATCCAGTGCTTTAGGAAAGGCCGCAAAGCGCGCAACCCCCATTTGCACGCCACGCCAAAGAATTCACTTTTCCGTAGTATGACCACCGGCCCTGGATAGCTCCGTCGGCAAAACCGTCGACTCACAATTTCCAGGTGGTGAGTTAATTCAAATATTGCCGGAGGACTAAAGTTTTTTTGTATGGTTCCACATGGGCGTAATGCTTTTCGCTATCGGTTTTTCGATACTGCTCGTTGTTACAGCCAAAAGTTACATAACTCATGAAAATTGGCTGATATGACACATTCTGCACTGAAATACTTGTGCAGTGGAAAGCGCTCATTTGGTGCAATAACCCGAGGGGTAAAGTTTGATGCTACCAAACCCAATCTAAGTAAAATGTGAACAATTGGTTTAGTGATGTCGTGCATTGTATCTTACTTACATTGAACCAGGCACGTAGCCAGGATTTTGTTTTGGGGGGGGCCCGCCCATAACAAAATGCTGTATGGGGGGGAGAGGAGGTCCCAGCAAAATCAAAGATTTTGAGGGGGGGCCCGGGCCCCATGGGCTGCCAACCTGGCTACGTGCCTGCATTGAACCCTAACTGCCACACGATTAGGATTAAGAGTTCTGCATTTTCCAGGATGTTTTTTAACACAAAATGTGTTTTATCAGCCGATTTTCACAGAAGTCTGTAACGTTTTACTGTAACGGCAGGCTGTACCAAAAAACCGCCACCGAAAAGCGTCAGCCCATACAGAACCATATAAAAAGACTTCTATCGCTGGCAGGATTTGAACTCACCACCTTGACTGTGAGCAAAGTGCTTTACTGACTAAGCTGTCAACGGTCACATGCTTCGTGGTATTTCCTGTCACACTGCGCCATCTCACAGCGCGTGTCAGAAATGGGAGCACACCTTCGGTAGGCAGTGCCATTCAGATGCCGTTCTTTTTTTCCACTGTGGCCGTGGCTCCTAGGAAGCGGACGGCTGCAGGACGCGTGCGAGCTTACCGAGAACGTAAGAAACGGCAGCAGCATCGAGAGCAGCCTTTACCAGGGGCACCGCAGACGAATGCCGACAAGTGGAAGGCCTATTGCGCATTCTGTGCTTTCCAGTCTTGGTCAGCACAATCGAGCCTATATAAATTTTGGGGTGTTTAATTTTTTTTTCTCATAGATTCAGTAATTTTCAATGTTTATTTTCCGTGTCAAAGAAAAAAAATTGGTGTTCATCGGGGCATATGTTGAAGAAAATGGGACGTGGGCGTGGGATTACCTGACCTCTGAGGAACTTGTGCATGGCCCAAACACCTGTAAAACGCCCTGGTGCTTATAAGAAGAGGAAGTGAGATAAGAGGTGTGGTTTTCAAAGTGAGGAGCAGCCTCATGGACAGTTCAGTGAGATTCTGGGTCAACACAAATTAAAGCTGTAGATAAAGATTTCCTCCAGTGAAGATTGGGTTGCTCACATTCGAGGGCAGCTCCAATTTGGGGTTTTTTGGTTTTTCCCAATATTGATGAAACCGGCTCAGGGGTTAACTTTTTGGGGCTTATCGGTATAGTATACCGAAAACACAAAACCCCAGTTATGATCAAAGTGTAAGGCAAGCACGTGGCGATAGAGAGGCTCGAGATGATTTATGTGGAATAAACAAAAACCTTGCATAAAAATCTAAACTGTTTATCCAAATAAACTTGCACACACAGGACTCAAATTTATTTGGAAATGCCCTCAAGTTTTGCCTCGTGCACCTCATGTTATTGGTCGTAAAGTGAAATTCTTTTCCACTGCCAACAAAAAGCACAAGGTACTGCTATTGTTTAGTTCCCAGTCGAGGCATGTGGTTCACAAAGCAAAAATATGAGATGTCAGCCATGAAGAAGGAAGGTGCAAAAGTTAAATGTAGCCATAAATTAAATTAGACATGACTTTAAACTGGACTATCTTAAGATACTGAGCATCTATGTGCCCATATCATAATAAGCAGTCACTTGCTTGTGAAAAGTTGGAAAAATAAGTGTGAACCCCAGACTTCTGAAACCACCTAGCGAACCAAGATTCTCTCTAGCGTACGCTACTTCTCGAAGCATGCCGTTGTAAAGCTGAGAAGCTTGGTACGTTCATGCGAGTGCAATGTGGTGAAGCTTAATGCGCGTAGGCAAGTACAAAGCAGTGAAGCCCACCCTATCATGTGCCCGTTCTGCATTTTTGCTCTCCGGCGTAACAAATGTTGTCCCTCCCCCTTCCCCCAATTTTACAGTGAAGCTGTCTATAACTAGGTTCTGACAGATTGTCTCTGGGGGAAGACCGAGCGTAGATTAACTATTTTGTTTGTACACTTAACGCTGCAGACGCCTCTGTATAGATTCGAAGTAAATAATCAAAATAAAGCATTAACGAATGCGCATGCAAGATGCTATTTGTTTTTCACTGCGGAATTCGGTGGCCACCTGCCGAAGATCGCGCCACTGTCCTTATCAGTTAGACTCCAGGATTCACATGGGTCGCACCCATGTTGTACATTCCGAAGAAAAGCAGCGGGAGTATGAGGAGTGAGAATGGGCACGCCGCCAACGTGAAACCGCCACTGCCACTGCTCCCAGCCCGACTTAGCAAACCCCACCAGAGCGCCAGCTTTGCTGGACTTCCCCCTCTTCACGGGGTGGAAGGAATCTCAATTTTTTTCAAAATTGCCTCCAACTTTCAGGTGGGAGTTTGTTAGGTATATTACGGTACACAAACTTACCTGCAGAAACCGACCCGTGCAAAGTTTGATGAAAATTAATTTTCTCATTACCGTAAAATCTCATAAGAATGCCCACCCAAAATGAAGAGATAAATGCTGAAAAATATAGGGTGGGCGATCTTTAACAATAAGACAAAAAAAATGTAATAAAATATTTGTGATAAACATTTGGGCACCCGCTACAAACCATGTGATACAGGAACTGTCACTATGCAATAAACAAGCGGGAACTTTCACTATGCAATAAACAAGCGGAAACCCGCTACAAACTTGCATATCACGAGAAAAGATATCGCATGCACAAGTCGAGGGAAGAAAAAAGCGGGAACTCGCTACAACTCGCATATCACGGGAACGAATACTGCAGATTGCGGATGCAGCAGATTCGCATGTCATGGTGCGATAAACACGCGAGACACCGATACTAAACTGCTTGCCACACATACCGGTACTGCAGGTCGCGCGATTGATGTGATTCCTGTGAGACACTGTATGCTATCCGATGCGAGTCTGGTAGATGGGCGAAGTTTGGGAATTTTAATCTTATATTTAGCCAGAAAAACGGGATGGGAAATCTCTCAGGGCAGGGATTTCATTCAGGATTTTACGGTAGTGCTGCAGTGGTACCTGATTGGAGCCCGACAGGTACAGAGTCTGCTTGGTGATCATGCGCATCAGCTTGTGCCTCTCTTGGGTCGTGTTGTCCTCGAAGGAGACAGGCTGCCGCTTGACCGACCGGCTCAGGACGCTCGTCAGGTCGGGCTCCATGCTCTCAATCTCGCTGAGGTTTCCCTGGCACCGGATCTTGCCAGCCTCCAGGATGATCACCTGACATGGAAAGAAATTGAGCTCTTCGGGCAGCCGAGCCCAGGGACGTTCCAGACATTACGAAAGGATGCAAAACTACTGAGGTTCAGCATCAAGAGATAAAAAGGGAGGGGTGAATGACACTTGATAATGTGGATGCTTGGGCAAGTTGGTAATTCATGCTTGGATGGAACAGCGCAGATGAACAGTCACACTGTTCATCCGCACTGCGAGTCTGTTTGCTTCTTGTGTGCATGCGAGTGTGACTGTTCATCCGCACTGTTCCATCCAAGATGAATGACACCTCTAATGCTGCTGCAGGCTTTTGTGTGCCAACTCACATTATGTTTGGTTCGGCACATACCAACACCTCCAACTTGAATGTTGCAGTTCTTTTCGACATGGTCGCTCAGAGAGCCAAATGACAGTATATCACAAAGATGTTCGATGTGGGAATCAAAATCAAATATACAGGCTCTATGAAGAGGACATGAAGATGAGGCACCTGGCTTCAATTCAACAATGTACAGACGTGATAAACACAAACAAGACCATGCTGATAAAAAATAGTTCTTCAGAGAAATTTTGTCAGTTTCAAGGGATACACTCATCTAGCCAGAAAAAAGACTGTTGTACTAATGGCAACGCAGCCAGAGAATGACTGCCAGTTGCTGTGGTGGTCACAGTGGTGTTCTGATTTTTACATATGTTCTTATAGCTGACATCACTGGTATTTGCACAAAAAATTATACAAGCTTGATCATGCTGCGCAATAGGCCTTCCAGGGAAGAAGAAAAGGGCATCTTAATGGCACTGCATACCGAAGATTCGCTTTCATTTCTGACGCAAGCCGCGAGATGGTGCTACATGACTGGAAAGGCTGTGAAATGCGCGAGTTTATTCATGCGCCGTGCAAATGAGCTCGCTCTTGCGTGGTCGGTACCGCCGATTCCAGATAGCTCAGTCGGCAAAGCACTTGGCTCAGAATCTTGAGGTGACGAGTTCAGATCCTGCCGGAGACTGAAGTCTTTTTAGACTTCAATCACCCAGCTATTAGAGCCAAATGTTATAGAACTCTATGAAAATCGGCTGATGAAACACAATCTATGTTAAAAATGTTCCAGAAGCAAGGACTCATCACAATAAAACAAAGTGCACCAAGTTTACATAACAAAAATAACAATTTCCTTTCTGTCTGTGCTCATCTTTAAATATGATTAACCGACTCATCCAACCCTCCACTTAAACAAGCTTCTATTTATCAGTAGTGGCAAAGGTGGAGAGCTCCCCTTTACTGCTGAGCATGACTCAGCACCACCACGCCGAACCAAACTTCAAGAAGCAGCACGATAGTAACTTCAGTGCAGCCAGAGACTCGGCTCGTTCCAGTTCCTAGCTAACACGAAAGTAGGCCAATGCAGCAACTTTGATAGATCACCTTAAAGGCATGGATCAGGAGTTCCTGCTTGTGTGTCACAAGTATGACAGTACGATGTCTCCTCAGTAGAAGGTTCCTGATGCCGTGTTCAAACACATGCATGGCCACATTGGAGTCCAAAGCAGACAGAGGATCATCCTGCAGAAATCAAATACGAAAAACTATCTTTAGTTTAACTGCGCATCCTGCAACAATAGAATGTGCCATAAAGAGGATAAGCATTTGTGACAGTGCTGTGGTTTTGTGAAGGTGAGGTGCAATCTGCTTGGTAGTCAGAAATACCACTTTAATTAACACAAAATGTTTTCTCTTGATTTCTCAATCTCGCACAAATATTCTTAATTTTTATTACACTGACAATTGCTAAAGAAGCTCTAATTATCTGCATACTTTTAAAAGTGTATTTTCTTATTTATTACAACTTACAGGTGCTATGCATATTTGTGAAGAAAAAAGGTGTCTGATCACTTGTTTTCTGATTACATTGTACAACGAAGTCTGCAGGACCGGCAAAAAAGTGCGATATAAGCGGTAATTCGATAAAAGTGATAGAGCCAAAAAAACAGTGCCAGCAGCCTTAAAGGTTGTGGGAGCCACTGGTTTCCCTCCCCCAAGAAGGCGTAAGCCGCGGACGTTCCAGGCGACGTTGTTTGGCTTCGAGCCTGGTCGCTCTGTATCATGTCAGGAAAAGTGCGCCACCTAGCTGGCCTACTCTCTCGCACTCCTCGGCGCGTCTTCCCGATTTTGGGGGAACAGCGAGTGGCACGTCAGTCGAACAAATGCCAAGACGGCAAAGAAAGGTTGCAACTGCCGATGAAAGTACTTCTTTTTTTTTACATACTCTTGTTCACGCAGGTTCTTTCAAATGTGTTAATGTACATGCAAAATAAGAAAATGAACGTCCACATTGCCTGGACGGCGCTTTGAAAAAAAAACTAATCTTGGAGCGGAGTGGTGCATGCTGAACGGAGTGAGCAAAACGAAAGTATGCACAAGCGTGCATGGTAGTACGCAGCAGAGGCGCGGCACTGTTTCTTAGTTAATATAATTTTTTAGTGTGCAACCTGTGTCTAGATGGTGCTCCGTGACTATGTTACTGCGTACAGCATCATATGCATACAGGCTTTCTGTGCAGCAATAGCACCATCTGGACATCAGATTGCACACTAACCAATTATTTGGACCCCAAACCGAGAACTGCACAGTGCAGTGGCGGTTTCAACCGTCATCGTTGCAGCTGTATATTTCTCTCCTATATGCGCGTCACTTGAGAGCGAAAATTTACGTAAAATCAATTGGAAATTCGTAACAACGGTCAATTTTGCTTCGTGGGGCCGCAATCTGCTTCGTAAAGCCCTTAACCCCGTTTTTAGTTTTGGGAAATAACTGAACCTCAACTGCCTAATTGTTGTCTTCAAAGTTACATTTGTTGCCTTCAAAATCAAATTTATCGCCACAAAAAAAAAATGGAAGCAAAATTAAAAAAGAAATAAGTGCTGCCATCTGTTGACATAGCCTCAAACTAAGCCATGAGCAAGTCTGGTTCATCCAAAACGGTTGTGTGCATGAACTGGAGAAATCAGATGAGCTATACTCGTCCTGAATGGTTTGGAAATGGCTCTACGTCGACGAAATAGGCTCGTCCAAAACGGTTAAGGGGTAAAACAGAAATATTTCTTAAACAGGAATCTGTTGTTGTAGTAAGAGAAACACATTAAACACATAGGAGATTTGCCTGGGCTTTATTTTACTTCGTTAAATGGACGTTTTCATAGTAGAGGAGTTTGTTATAAAGGCATTTCACTGTATTATATTCGAAGCTTAACCGCACCTTTTTTAATGCAAACTTGTGGCTCATGATTTGTCTTTGGAACAACACAGCACAAGTTATGATTAGCCTTCACTTGCAGATGAGCTTTACCAGCAGGCATCTTTTGAAGCTATTACACAATGCTTAAAAGCACAAGTAACAGACCAATGCTTCACATCCCCACATCTTTTGCTACCTGTCCTTTTTGTAGCGATGCTTGTGCCTTTAGACGTGAATAGGTGTGAAGTCGGTATACACACTATGCGTTGGTTTCGCTAGGCCTACTCAAAATCCGCAACGTTCTGTGCAGCTCTTTTCAATCTTTCTAAGACAATGATCAAATCCTGTGATATGGCCATAAGATATGGTCATGCAGTCACCTATACTGTCCCCCACTCTCCCACTGCTCCTTTGAATCTTTTCGCGACGTCAAATCACGTGATGTGGTCAGATGATATGGTCACATGGTGACCCAAACACTTCTTACCCTTGCCATAGTGACGTAACTAACTCTTCACATGTCCCGCCCTCGGCATAATGGCAAAGCACCGGGCTCAAAATCTTGGGCTCCCGAGTTCGATGTGCATTAAGAGAGGATTCAAATATTGTTCTCTTCAATTTATCACTGTTTCTTCTCAGTTGATCTATTGTTTTGTAGAGCTTTTGCCCTGCAATTTGTGTCACATATTTCGTGATGGTTTACAGTGGCCTTTACCGAAATACAGTGTTAAAAGTCACGAGAGAATGCCAGCCCTCATGAGAAACTGGCCCGAACAACGCACCAGAATGATTGTCTTTGCCGAAGAGTACATGGCTCGGGCCAAGGCGATTCTCTGCCTCTGACCTCCACTCAGGTTGATGCCCCTCTCTCCAATCTCAGTCATCTCCTTCGCTGGCAGCAGGTCGATGTCAGGCTGGAGGGCACAAGCCTGGATCACCTGGTGGTACCTGCAACTCCAAGGAGACTGTTGCAGGCAACGATTCTATCTCCAGGCACAACACACTCCTATCCTACAGAGCACTGCTGCCTGCACGTGTGTTTAAACTAAGTTTCTTGGGACACATCGGTAACTGACGTCTTACCACCGGATATGCATTAGAGTGCCCCCAAAATGGTAAAATAATATGTCACAGGAGCCACAGCGCCATGCTATTGTCGTGGTGCCACTATGAATCACAGGGTTGGTGCCATTATGGGTCAAGTGGCCACACTACTGTTATGTGCTGACAACTGTGAAGACTGCCACGAAGTGGGACACAAGCACGCGCTCTCACTCGGGCTCGGGAACAGACTCTCGCTGATCCAGCCCAGCCAGGTCGACTATGGATTGCTAAGCTTGATATGTAGATAATGTATATAAAGTCTAAATACATAACATTGGCGACGAGGATGGGAACCTACCATCACGCTGTTAACGGTGCCATGGCGGAAGCGACGGCACCAGCGGCGTTGGCATTTGGCTGTATCGGTGAGTTTGAATCGAGCAACGGTACAGCATGGCCACTTTACTGCGAACGACTCGAGTTCTACTTTATCGCAAACGAGGTAAAGTCAGCCGAGAAGAAGCGTGCCATACTTTGCACGGTCTGCGGGACGGCAACGTATGCGATTATCCGTTCGCTTTGCTCACCGGCTTTAACCTCCGAGATGAGCAATGACGACATCGTCTCGAGACTGGCGGCCAACTTCAACTTGAGGCCGTCTGTCATCGTTCAGCGTTGCCGACCTTCGTCGGTTGTCGGAAAACTGTGATTTCGGGCCGACGTTGGATGACATGCACCGAGACAGGTTTTTCTGCCAACTCCGGGAAGAGTCCCTTCAGTGACGGCTTCTGTCCGAGCCCAAATTAACCTTCTCGGTAGCCAAGGAGAAGGCGATTGCAGCAGAGTACGCCCACCGTCAGACGGAGAAGATTCGGGCAGCAGTGCCCGCTGAGGGTAGCAATGTGTGCCAGGTCGGTGAGCACATGACTCCGAACACTAAGGCAAACTCCTCAGCGTCAAGAGAAGCAGCTGCGCCGAAGTCGCAGCTAAAGGAAAGCAAATGTTTTCGCTGTGGAGGAACACACACCCCAGACGAGTGTCGTTTTCGACACGCCCAGTGTCATTTCTGCAAGCAGCGGGGCCACGACGTGAAGGTTTGTCGACGGAAAGCGAAGCAGTCGTCACCGACACTTAAGCCGACAAGTGACAAACGCCCAGGCCAAGGCGGTCGGCAGCGTGACGGTGAGACGGCGGACATGTTCGGCATTTTCCAAGTACCTTAGCTGCCTAGGAGCCTGCTGTCCGGGTCATCGTCGAGGTTAACCGAAACCCTTTTGAGATGGAAGTCGACTCGGGAGCCGTGTGTTTCGTGATCAACGAGAGAACTATGCACAAGCTGCAGTTGTCCAAGCACAAGCTACGCCCTTGTGAACTGCGACTTTGCACATACAATCAGCAGGTATTGAAGGTGCTAGGCACTGTGGCGGTCTGGGTCACCTATAAAGGGTGCCAAGAATGACTGCATCTTGTCGTGATCGCTCAGCCCAAATTCTTCAAACCACGTCCAGTTCCCTTAGCTTTACTACCAAGAGTGGATGAAGCCTCGTACAAGCTCATCAATCAAGGCATTTTGGAACGCGTACGACATTCCCGTTGGGCGACTTCAATAGTACCTGTGATCAAGAAGGATGGCACAGTGCGAATTTGTGGCGACTACAAGAGTACTGTAAACCCTGTCGTTCGTTGGAAAAGCTACCCCCTGCCCACAACAGAGGAAATTTTTGCGAAACTGGCGGGCTGTGCCAAGTTTTCCAAGCTTGATTTAGACCAAGCGTACCTGCAAGTGACCGTCAATAGTGAGACAGCTGACCTTCTCACCATCACCACACACCGTGGACTTTTCCAAGTCACGTGCCTGCCGTTCGGAGTAGCTGTTGCCGTTGCTATTCTTCAGAGACACAATTTCCTGTAACGCCGAATTAGAGCGCAGCGCTTGAGGAGTACTCATCCGGTCTGCCACACCTCCCTTCATGACCGCTAGGGGGTCATGTGACGTCACCAGGGTCAAGTGACCTCACAGGGGTCATGTGACTCCTATGAGGTCACGTGACGATGATATCACTTGTGACATCACTGTTGACGTCATCAGTAACGTCATCAGTGACGATGACGATGCGAATGCCGATGACATCATCAGTGACGTCACTAATGACATCATCACTGACGATGACGACGCAGATGATGTCATTAGTGTCATCACTGATGACGTCATCAGTGGCGATGACGATGCAAATGCCGATGACGTCACTGATGACGTCATCAGTGACATCACACGTCCCATAATGCACCGCGCAATTATGCCGACGCCGCTCAAGCCGGAAACGGGCGCCCAAGAGCTGAGCTCTAAAAACGACGAGGTACGGGGCAGTGGGCAAACGAATTCAAGGAGGGTGGGCTCCGGAATACAGCGGTGAAGCTATCGTCCACAGATGTCGGCCAACCTGTCCCCTTTGTCAACACTGAACAGCAAGCCTGGCTCCAGAACGCACGAGCGAAGCCATCTCAACAATTGGTCGACTTGTCAACAACGGTATGCTGGCAGCTGAAGCCAAACGAAACCGGCTTCTACAAGGGAAGCGCCTAAAACCAGCGTAAACCAGTGCCAACCTCGGCTAGTTGAACTGTGGACGTACACTCTTTAGTTTTATTTCTTTGCCAATAAGTTTTTTTTTCTTTTATGTGGATTCGGAAAAAAAGAATGATTAGTAGTAAATATATTTCTTTGAAATCAAAAATCAGACGGACCTGTTGTTTTTTTTTTGTTACCATAAAGAACCTGACAAAGGCATATTAACAGAGGTACCCTTTAAAAGTTCTTAATCCTTTTTGTAAAATAACGAAAAAGTACAGTTGACTCCCATTAAGGCGAACTCGCTTAAGCCAAATTCTCGGATATGCCGAACGAAGTAAAAACATTTGGTTGGTTTACCATTAGTGCAATGCAAAAAAAAAATTGTTTAACCGAACCGCCTTGCGCACAAATATTGGTTAACTCAAACTTCCATAGGTCCGCTTCGCAATGGCGCTGCACCGATGGCAGCGCCTTTTCCTTTTCCACAAGGGCGTAGCCATCTTGAATGTCGTCACTTCTACGAAAAATGTGATTGTCGCACACTTTTGTTTTGCCTCACATATATTTCCTCGCATATTTCAGGTTGAAATGTTTTATTATCTTTTCGTCCCGCATACCAGATATGGTACCCATGTGACTGAGAACGACAGGAAACAGAAAGACGTCTATGGTACTGGCTGGTTCATAACATCACTCATCACTTGTAATGAATTACTGATTACGACCTCCTTGTAACAGGCTACATGTGCAGAATTATTTGTGATCCATTACTTTCCAAGTAATTTTGTAATTGACATATTAACAATTTCATAGCAGTAATCAGTAAAGTAAGTTGTGACACAACTTTTAGACTACAACTGAATTTCATGCCGTGTTTTGGCAGAACAGAATTCCCACAAATCTTTTTTTGTCTAGCCTGTTTCAAAACAGGTGCAAAGACTTATCATGCAATGAGGGTAAGAAAGCTTTCAATATTGGAACATGTGAAACAGCAACAAATCATTAAAATCAATTGATGAGCAAATCTGTATTTGCACATTCGTCCCGAAGTATTGTGAAAAAATGAAAGTAATGCAAAAGTCATTATTAAAACAATGAGTAAGAGAATCAATACTTTTCAATGAATGTACCTATAGTAACAGGCAAAAATTCACTACATCTTATACCTGACTTTCTCGCACTTGTGATCCATTATGTTTTCTAGCAGTCACAAGTTCAATAAATATTAAAAATGAGCTCTGCAGTAATTTCAAACTTTTTTGCCTCACTCTTTAATGCCAGAAAGATAAAAAAAAAAAAAAAAAGATTAATTTCTGTGGATAAAATATGAGAACGAGGCAAGGATGCCTTTCCGTATACTTCCGATTTAAGTGTGGTTTGGTAAGTAGGTTTTCGCCTGTGGCAGAAACATACAATGTATAAGAGTGAAAAGTGGTGCTGACCTTCGTCCATCATAGCGCTGCCCAAACAGGACATTTTCTTTCAGCGTGGAATTCAGCAACCATGGCCTTTGCGGAACATACGCAATGCAATGAATGCTGTGGTGGCACAAACGAGAGAACTGGTTAAAGTCCAGATTGATGTAAAGGTTTTCAAATAGAACTGCATGGGAAAAGAAAGACTAGCGTCTACTTACTTTGCCCACTGCACCGTTCCCTGGTAGGGAGTAAGCTCGCCCAGCATGCCAGAAAGCAGGGTAGTCTTCCCACTTCCAACGGGCCCAACTATAATAGTCAGTTTTCCTTGGAACGAAAAACAAATCAGAAATTTAGAAAATGACAGCCCGAGGATTGACGATGCCCACCTGCTGAGTAGAGGTTTAATCATAAACAGAGGGACAGTGAAAATAAAAAAAAAATGCTTTGCCTATACTATAGTTATTGTTTTAAAAAAAATGTAGATAAGGTTATCATTAAAAAGCTTCATGACGTTGTGAAAGTATAAACTCAAAACAGAATTTTGGTTGCCTGACATAAGGTTCACTTAGGCAGATGAAATTCTAAGGTCAAGAAGAAAATCCTTTTCTTATTAACCCTTTTACTGCCAGGTTTTTTTCTCCCTCAAGCAGAATGAAAATTTTGATCTCCGTAAGATTGCGGCATGCTGTGTGAAGAATATTTATTTATAAAAGAAACTATTTCAAGGGAAAAAGGTTAATTACATGACTCGTATTGTACTTTTCGCGACGCAGGAACTATGCGGTGGCACCTTGTTCTCGCACCCCAAGGTAACTCTCTTGAGCGGCTTTCCTCAGCCTTTGTTAATTCGCAACTGCAACTTCCTTGTTGACTGGAAAGACGACTGGAAAGATTAGAACGTAGAGATACCTGTGGGTACGGTGAAGTTCATGTCCTGGAGTATGGGGATCTTGGTGTTCATGTCGTAGGTGAAGTAGGCGTGGTTCATGTTGATCACCGCAGGACTGTCAATGGGAGAGTAAGAGTCGGATAGAAACACCTCCGAGTCATCGGCGCACGTCGCCCACTTGTCAAGAAGCAAGCTGTCCCTGATGTTCAGCTAGAAAAGACAAAAGAGAGGCACACTGAAACTCGTCATAGGTTCACATCCAGTGACCTGTCCAGCATCACTTTACCAACATGATAATCATGTAAACAAAGCAGGCTTGATGGCTCAGTTTGACACTTCATTGCAAATTGTTTTGAATGCATGAATGCATGTAAGCATTCAGAGCTGATTACCATACTATGACCTTGAAAAGAGAACCTGGTCAGACATATTTTGAGATTTATGATGTAATTTACACTAAATTTCCATGTCTACTAGTATAAGATTTTATGCTAGGCACAAGCATAAGCTCATCGTTTTCTTATCTATTATAGTTTTCAAGAAAACCTGAACTTCACTACAAATGTTTCTTCCCAACTTTGTTTTATAATATCCCCCCCCTCCAAAACAAACATATTAGTTGAGTGTCATTATTAGTTGTTACAGACACAGAACTCACAATGTCCCTGAATTTCTGAAAAATGCCTTTGACAACTACATTAAAAAAAAAAGAAGCGAAGATTCACATCCCCTTCCCTCATTTGGGGGAGGAGGGTCCAGATGTTTGACCAGCTGTTTCACACACTAGAAAATTGTTTTTTTCTTATGAAATTTTAACATAATGTGTTCTATTAGTCGTTTTTTACGAGAAAATTATGAATAAGCGTCATGAACAAGCGTTGGGAAGAAACATCAGGAACGGACGTCACGAACAAACGTAAAGAACGACCGACACGCTGAGAGCATCACAAGATGTTAAGGCTATATACATATATATAGTATACAAAAGTCTCTGTAAAATCAGCATAAGGAAGAGGTCCCAGAGAGGCGCAAACCTGGGTCGGTATGGTGGCACTTGGATACTATAGCCCAGGGGTGGCCAGGCTGACCCGGCCTAAGAGCCGCAAACAAAACCCCGATACTTCCAAGAGCCGCGGCAGTATAGATGTTGCGGTAGTCAGTGGCCTTTAGACACTAGAGAGGATAAGACTAATAAAAAGCGGTTCACACACACTGTCTATGAAAAGATGTGACCCTCATTTTTTATCCCTGTATTCCCTAGTTTCAAAGTTTTAAGTATGATAATGTTTCACCAGCTAGCCATCCCTTGTTCACAAAAACTGAAAAAAGCAGACATGGTGCGTTGGAAAATTCAGTAACTAGTAAAAGCCATTCAAGGGAGAAGAGAACTAAGTGGAAACTATAAACTAGTAAGCTAAAAACCATTAGGTTAGGGAGAGCTCTTGGTGAAGGAACAATGCATCACTCTATAACATTGGCTGCCTGGCCAGGTATATTTCTGCAAAACTAAAAAAGAAAAGAGTACAAAGAGGCCCCTACCAACACGCTGCCACTGTCAGGGATGAATTCGACTGTGGCTTTGGGCATTTCGTCTTTCTTCCTCCAAGGAGCTTCTAAACCAACTTCCGGTAAACTCAAGAATTCCGTGAGTCGTTTTGTACTGACCTTCAGTTGGAAAAACGAAAGAGGTAATCAGTCTCCTATCTGGAAGGTGGCCAAAGAAGCCTAGATCAAAGAAATCTGGAGAGTTTCTATGGCGCTTCAATGGACATCCTCTCGTGTCCAGTTGTGGAGAAACGAACAAGCACATTGAATGGCAGTAGCAAATCACAGAGAGACAAACCAACTAATAGTTTTTACAGAAGCAAAACATTTGATCAATTGCTTCCTCTATTATCAATGCCGATTCCGGCAGTGCTCCGGCATGTCATTTTGGGGTGCTTTTAAATAAACAGGGGTCGTCACAATTTAATGAACTTTAACACAGCCTTATGCAGCTAAGCCAGCTGAATGTGCATCAGCACAACAGCAAGCACTCGACTTGGCTTTTTGTCAGATGGCAAACCCAAACTGCCAAGGATGCACAATTCTGGAAGATATTGATACTTTCTGGGGTTGCCCAAATTTGCTCAGATGCCCGAAGAATGCACAGTGCACAAAAACGATGGACTCATGGTCTAATAACTAAGGCTATACTATTGACAGAGGGTCACAATTTATCATACGAAGTTTCAGCACTATCTGACTCCTCAAAAATCGGGCTGGACTCGTGCGACTTTTTGCAGTGGATTACATAGATAAACAACCAAGCAAGAGAATCAAACTTTGAAAGCTTATGATTTTCAGGAATTTTAGAGTTCCTAAAGCTTCCAACTCACTTCTATCTGACCTCCATCTGGCAACCTATATTTGTCAAATAATGACAGCCGATTTTCACATTTTTCCTTTGTGATTCTTGTTTGCCCATTCTCTATTATTTTTCACCTACTCATCCTATATTTCATAACTAAGCCTTTCTGGTAAAGTGCTCTTTTATAGAATTTCTTTGCATTTCACTTTTAATCAACACCTAATTGATAAGACACTTGTCTCTCAGGTTGTATACCGGTAGAGCAAGATACAGCAAAAACAGACAGCCATTGCATGTATGTACCACTGCATAGCTATACTATACAAAAGCGTGCTTTCACATGGCATCTGGTACAACTAAAGGTAATGCATCTACAGAAGCAAACAAAACATACCACTGCATAGCTATAATATACAAAAGCATGCTTTCACATTGCATCTGGTACAACTAAAGGTAATGCATCTACAGAAGCAAACAAAACAAGATGTGAGTATACCTTTGATCTTAAAGGTGCACCAAAGTGAATTCTGAAACTGTCCTTTTTACTGTGCACTCTTATCTACCCAATACTAAGCCTCCTAGAAGCTAAAATTACAATTATGCATGGCCTGTTTTCCTATTAAACTGAACCAAGTATCATGTTACACCTCTTTTCTGAGATACTACTAAGAAAAAGGGGTGTGCCTCAATGTTCGGTTCTGTTTTTAATAGGAAAAAAGGTTACGCATGATTGTAGCTTCAGTTTTCTAGGATGCTTAGGGTGGGTAGATTAAGAGTTTGCAGAGTAAAAGAACACCCCTGGAATTCCCTTTAGTACCCCTTTCAATCACATGAGATTGGATAAAGCTAACAACTCCAGAGAAGTAAAGAGAAACTAGAAATAAAAGCACATTCACTCACCACAGAGTTGATGACAATTGGAATGACAAAGGGAATAATGTAAAGTGGAACTGTGAGCTGGTTGAAAAGTGCAAGTCCTGAGAACACTTTGGCGGGCGTCAAGGGCCTCCCTTCGATGGCCGAATAGACGGAAAAGGTCTGTTGAAGAGGAACCGCAGGCAGCAGAGACATGAGATGGCATCAAAATTTTCCTTTCTAAATTGTCACTGCCAGCACAAAGCACCAGAAGGAGTCACTTACCACAAGGGTGAGCAAAATAGCCGATCCTTGAGTAATAAAAGCTAGGCAAAAGGAACAAACAATTTAGTTAGCTTTGGTGGTCGTCATGGTTATCAATATGTGTGTGCAAAGAACAAGTGAAGACGAGATTAATACTGTAGAGAGTCTTATGTGGAACTCCCAAGGGGTCAGACACAAATTCTGCACATGTCAAAAGAGAAGACACACTGAAGCAATGAATGATTAATGCAGAGTAAAAAAAGGTGCATTGAAGGAATCAATATTCCAACAAACATTACGCATAGTTTCATGTATCCACAAAGTTCCACTTATGAGAATTTCACTTATTTTTGCACTAAAAGAATAAGTGGTAATCATTTTTGTTTTCCATGCTCGTGCAATTTAGGAACATATTAAGAAATGAGAGCCCCCCTTGCCCCTCATCTGGCATTTCATCTAAACCAGAACCACGCAAACCAACCTCAGTATTTCTTGATGATCCGCTTTTGCAATGAAACCACGCTATGCTTTCCACCAGCAATAGTGGTGGAAGGCAGGAGCAACAGCACTTTATTTTTTTTAGTCCAGGAAATACCTTGTAAACCTTTTCTCTTCAAGAAGGGCCCACAAACATAATTGATGGAACTGGACCAGTGCAAACTTAAGCTGGAATTTGAGCAAGTGCCGGTGTTTTGCCACTTATTGAGACTATTAACACAATTGAATGGGGACCTTTCTAACTTTTTGAGTGCCATGCCCAGGTACATTTGGGTGCACACTCTTTCTTTTTTAAGTGTAGCGCCATGTATGAGCAAGCGATAAAAATAATGTTTCGCAGACAGATGCGAATAGTGCATATTGAGTTCAGAGCAAATTTGAAGCGAATAGTGGTTTTGGCCGAATATTTTCGAATTGAATATCCAATATAGTTTCTCCAAGTCTCTCACTACTGTGCATCATGCTTAAATGAAAATTCTGCCCAACTCGTAAAGGTTGCTTCCCACCTTCCACTTGTCCACCCACAAGCTCAGTTAATTTCAATATAGCCATATTTATTATCTGTGGTGTGTAAACGACAAACTTGTCGCAGCTATCCTAATTGAGGGGTGAGGGGATTCATAAATCTGCTTGCTATATGCAAATATTCCTTCTTAAATTTCAGATTTGCTAGAAAAAAAGAAGCATGAATGATGAATGCAGGTTGTCAAGACATCACCGCCTAAAACTTACTCTAGCATAATCGCGGCAGGTTAGTCCCGTGGAGTGTGTTTCTCTCCGAGCACCGATGCACTGCGGGGAAGCAATGTCCGCGGAGCCCGCTAGCTCCAAGGGCATTGCTTTCCCATGTATAACTTTAACCATGCATAATGCTTACCAACTAGCTCAGCTCACCACCCTTGCCCACAGAGCTGAAGGCATGTAGGCATTAATTTACTTTTTGCCCAAAGAACATTTGAGTATTTGATAAATCTTCGTAAAGCATGCTACAGTGTTACTGAGAATAAAATTTGGGTTCAACAAAATGGATATAGACTCGGCACACAAAGGGTTAATTAATTCTTCGTGCCCAGATATTAGGAACAGCTCCACAAACAAAGCAAGCAGCATGAGCCATATAACAGAACAGATTTAACATATAAAGGCTCAAAATTTGCTTTGTTATTTTCTCGTATCATGCTGTGATTACAGCATTTATTTGTATTATTTCTATGTCCAAACTTCTCATGTTTGCAGCTGGAAAGTTCTGCCCATGGTACAAGAAGTTTTCCTGGTATACAAACATGAAACCATCGCAAACGGCGAGAAATCTAAGCACACAACTGAAACGTCTGCTGCAAACAAGTAACATAATAAGGCGAAGGTTGTGGCGATTATTATAACTGCGAGCCTTTATGACAGAAAAGCAAGATAGGCCATACCACACCAATACTAGGCAGAAGGAAGCATGGGAAAAAAGCTGCCAAGGAGCAAGAGGAATGAGATCACTATAGCGTACTGTTGATGGCCACCAGTATAGCGTCTTTGCGAAGGAGTTTGAGCTCCTCTGCCCGGATCTCCTTCACCATGTTTGCATACACCTTCTCCCAGCCGTGCAGCTTCAGCAGCTTTATGCCCTGCAGCAGTTCGCTCGTATGCTTGATCCTCTTGTCAGAAATCGTCTGAGGAAAAAGTAGAGGTAGTGAACATAGAGCAGCCTGTATAGGCGAACGAGTACCTCCCCTCGAACAACGGTGCCTTGTGCATCACTATAAGCATCAAAACTTCCTTTACACTTGTGACTTTACTAGTATATTGTGCAGAAAGGCAGACTTAATAGTTTGCTGTCCTAAGCAGTCTTTGAATATGACCCCCCCCACCCCCGGGCCTGTTGGAAACAAATTCACTCACATACCTGTTTCTGCAGCTCACTTTCCAGGAAACTTTTACGATGAGTTTCGAGTCCTTTATGTTTTGGTTTGTGGTTGGATTGAAAAGTGCCAATGTCACTCTAGTAGGCATGTGCGAATGATGAATTTTGAGTTCTAAGCGAATTCAAAGTGAATAGTGGTTTTGGCTGAATATTTTCAAATTGAATATCGAATAGTTTTTCGAAGCCTTTCACACTACTGACGAGACCGGTTATAACGAAATAGCGGCTACAGCGAAGCGATCTCAATTTCCCAATCCCTTTTGCACTTTGTTAACCGAAGTCAGTTATAACGAAATAGAGTGGATATCTCGAAGTGATTTCCGATTCCCGCTGACTTCGTTATAACCAGTCTCGACAGTACCGTGCCTCATGCTTAACCGAAAATTCACTTGAAATTGTGAAAGTCATTCCCAACCTTCCGCTTGTACACTTCTAAGCTCAGTTAATTTCTTAATCTACGCTGGAGGCATTCGTCGCTGTTATGCTATGTTTTGCGTGCTCTGGGGCCGTGTTCGCACAATAGTTTGTCCGCTCACTTGAGGTTTCAAATGGTCAGTTGCACCATAATTAATTGTTCCAGCCATAAATGTCAAGGACAAAACAGAGCTACGGCCAGCAGTATTGGTTTTTGTAGAATTCCGGCAATCATTGAAAACCAGGACAAGGTGATGCTCGAGAAATCGGTTTGCCGACGTCATGAATAGCTCTGATGGATGCGCCGGCACAATCTCGAACAGCAGGTAAAGACGGGAGCAAAAGGCGACAAATCCTGGCAGCTAACATTTCCGGTCCCGAGAGGAAGAATGAGAAAAAAAGCGACAAAAGAGCGGAAAAAGAAAGCAGAGAAAGGGTTAGGCGTGTTTGTTTTACCGCGACAAGTTGAAGTTGCTCAAGCGCTTGTCAACTTTAATTCTGTCAATGCGCGATCCCGGTGTTTTACTGCAAAGTAAAGGAAAAGAACAAGGTACAGACCTTAAAGGTGATGTTTTACTCCTTTGTGCATATTAAGGCGTCGCCAGCGATATGGGTTCATCGGGACAACTAACTGGGGACCGCCGATATCCACATCTACCTATGTCCTGCTTTTCCGAAGCAGCTAAATGCTCTAGATTATAATATTAACCCTATGATCTCGACAGAAAAGCTTCGTACCCCAACTAAGGGTTTGTGGACTGCACTTCGTGTCAGGTAAGGAACCTCTTTGCGATTGACTAGGACAAGGAAATATTCCGGAATGTGGTTATATATACAATGACAGCTCTACGACTCTACGGCACTACTATTGCCGCAATAAGATACCAAATGCCTCCAACGTGGTGCCAAAGCTGTAATAGCAGACGACAACGTTGGTTTTGATTTCGAGTCTAACCGGAGGCGACGTCAGGTGCAAGAAGCCCATACTTACAAACTGTGTCATGTAGGCGACAAATATGTTGCAGCTATACTAATCGAGAAGATTTACAGAACTGCTGGGTATGTGCAAATATTCTTTCCTCAAACTTAGATTTGGCAAAAAAAAACAAACACAAATGATGAACAAGACATTGTTGCCCAACATATACTACCATATGCCATAATCATGGCGGGTTACCTCTGTTGGGCGCTCTTCTCACCGAGCACCTTTACACTGTGGGGAAGCAATACCCGCAGTGTACAAGTGGTTTGTGCACGAGAAGCGCACTCAACGGGGCTAACCCACACGATAAACACTTCGAGAAATGAAAATATCTCAGTTCATCTCGAAGGGGATATCGAAGAGCGCATTATCCCAAATCTATATTTGGACATTCAAACATTTGCACAACACTATATATACTCTAGCCATCCTCCCAAATTTGCCGCTCCCAAAATTTTGCCGCCCTAAGCTAATACCTAAGTCAGGGGCGGACTACTCTTGATTGCATATATATAAAAGAACTGCAGTTAAAATAAAAACAGCCAGTAGACATGCCCATGAGTCACAAACCTTTCAAAGTGCAATGAATTCAATGCTGTGGCAGCTTTTGCACTTCTTTTATAAGTTTTCAAAAGCCACACTAAGAGCAGTAATTCCAGTTAAACCTCCTTAACTCAACCTCCGCTAATTCGAAAATTCTGATAATTTTAACTGCCGATCCAGTCCCGTCAAATGTGTATTAGTCAATGGCACCAAACGCTCATTAATTCGAAGGCAGTTGGGCGCACTATGGTTAATTCAGATGAATTTGGCAGGTGGCACAAATTACCGCCCGTTCCAAAGGGTATGGCCACTATCCATCCAAGGTGCACACGTGGTTCTTTCGGTTTTTCCCGTCTCTTCCGGTTCTCCCTAAGTTGGGACAGTTTTGTTCTGGAACATTCGGCGCACTGGTTCGCACACCCTATGCATGCCGTCATCACGTGCAGCAACTTCCATGGTGGCCCCGCCAGCAAAGCAACAGAAGTACCAGACCAAGGATTTAGCGACGAAAGCGGAAATACTGAGGGCCTTGAAAGACGGAGTCTCTCGACAAGAGGTCATGGAAAGGTATGACGTCAAGAGAAGCATTTTGGCCACATACGTGAAAAATGAGGCCGAGATCCTACAGGCTTTCGAGAGAGAAGTTCAACGTGAAATGAGAGCGGCTGTGGAAGGCAGTGCATCCGAAACTAGAAGAGGCCTTGCTGCAGTTGGTTGTCAGTGCACAAGATGTGCAGCAGCTCTTGAGTGGTCCTCTGATCTGTGTGCAAGCAGAGAAGTATGCACTAAGATGAAGATTGTTTCGTTCAAAGCATCGGAGGGCTGGTTTGCTCGCTTCAAAGACAGACACGGACTGGTCTTCAGAAACGTGTGCGAAGAGAAAGGTGCCGTCGACGGCGATGCAATTGATGACTGGAAGAATGTCAAGTTTCGCAAGCACCTTTCTGCATAGGATCCAAACGACATCTTTAATGCAGACGAGACAGCGCTGTTTTACAAAGCCCTACCAGACGAAACCATCACACTGAAAGGAGACCCCTGTACAGGCGGCAAAAGAAGTAAATAAAGGGTCACAGATCTCGTCAGCGCAAACATGACTGGTACGGAGCGCTTGCCACTTTTTGTGATTGGAAAGGCAAAGAAGTCGAGATGTTTCAAAAAACCTTAAACGACTTCCCGTGGACTATAGAGCGGATCAGAAGGCCTGGATGACGTCTGAAATTTTTCTAACTTGGCTGCACCAACTAGACCGACGCTTCCGTGCCAAGAAGCGCAAGGTGGTGATGTTTGTCCGCAATTGCCGCACCCATTTCAACATGTCTGAACTGGAGTGCATTCAGGTCCTGTTTTTGCCTCCGAACACTACTGCTGCCCTTCAACCCATGAATCAAGAAATAATTCAGTACTTGAAAAGCAGATACAGGAAGCACGTATTGGAGCGAATGTTGCTGTGCATCGTGAGAGCAAAAAAATATGAAGTTTCGCTCCTTAGCGCAATCCATACTTCGTCGTATGTGGGGGACTAAGCACTTGCTGAGATTATCGCTGATTGCTTTAAGCATAGCGGTTTTGTCCGGTCCGAAGCTTGCCGAGCGATGGAGGCCCCAGGCATTGCTGAAGACGAGCAACCTGCTGACTACCTTGTGATTGATGATGGTGTTATTGTGGCCAGCCAGCCGAGTGACAATGAGATCATCAGGGACGCCCTGTGTGACGACGGGCATGCTTCGAATGAAGATGAAAACTGTCCATGTGAGGAGCCGCCGCCTTGTCGCACTCTGTGAGAGGCCACGGAGGCTCTTGTGCTCGAAGAATTTCGCTGCAACACCACTGACAGTGCGAGTGCAGTGGACCACCCGGCTGCGCTAAGAAAAGTTGTCGCTCGGCCCAAATGTTGTCCAGAAAGCAGGCGGCAATAACAGGTTTATTCTCAAAATAAAGGTATGTCACAGGGAAACCTCTTAGCACAGATTTCTGTCCCTTCGATATTTCGACTTTCGGATAATTCTGACATTTTTGCAGTCCTATGAGATCTGGATTAATGAGGTTTTACTGTAGTAAAATATTCTTTTTCAATAAGTTTTGCACACGTTTCTACCAATTTTTGAAATGGCAATGTCGGAGCAGAAATTGAGATGAAACATTGAGTCAAATGACATCCCATGATGAGGCAGAGTGTGATACGACATAATGTGACATGACCATATGAGGTCACGGCATCAAATTGTTGTATCACGTGACATAAGTGATGTCCTGTGGCGTCACATAGCCTGACATCACGCAATGTGGTCACATGACATTTCGTTACACCACGACTTCACAACCGACGCTGCACACACCATGGACACCTGAGCTAGCTTCCTTCAAAAATGCAATTCTGCACTAAAAATGAAAATAATTTCTGGCTCGTCTGATGTTTTAGTATTTTAGAGCGCAGCTCTCAGGCGTCTGTTTCCGGCTTGAGCGGCGTCGGCGTGCCCGTCGGCATAATGATGCATTGCATTATGGGACGTTTCCCATAATAACGTGACAGAAGACATCATGTGTGACGTCACACAAGACGTCACATGTGATGTCACGAGTGACATCACCGCACATTGCATTATAGGCAAATTTCCCCACTAAATTTAAGAGAAAAAATTTCCCAATAAATTTAGCAAAAAATAATTCTCTGCAAATCTAACAAAAACATTTCCCGCTAAATTTAGCAGGAAATTTTCCCTGCTGAGTTTATTGGAAAAAATTCCCCGCTAAGTTTAGCGGAAAAAATTCTCTGATAAATTTAGCAGAAAAAATTTCTAGCTAAATCAAGTGGAAAAAATTACCCGCTAGAACTTATTCCACAGATGCGGAAAAGATTCCTTGCTAAATCTAGCGGAAAAGATTCCCCGTTAAATCACGGGGGAAGAATTTCCCGCTAAATTGAGTGAAAACAATTCTACGGTAACTCTATCAGAAAAAATTCTCCACTAAATTTAGTGGGAAAAATTCCCCCTAAATTCAGCAAAAAAATTCCCCTCTGAATTAACAGAAAATTTTCCCGCTAAATTTAGCAGAAAAAATTCCTCCCTAAATTTAGCGCAAACAATTCCCCTATAAATTTAGCGAGGAATTTTTTCTGCTAAATTTAAGAAGAAATTTAGCAAAAATGTTTTGCTAAATGGGAGGGGAGCAAGAGAGGAAAAAGGGAGGGTACGGATGAGGAAGAGGGGCATACCCTCCTCTCTGTACCTTCTCCTCCTCCTCCTCAAGAGCTGCGCTCTAATTTGGAATTACAGGGAATTGTAACATTCTTTCATTTTTTTTCCTTGTCTCTCCCAACTTCCTACAAAGAAATTTGTAGATCCCACAAGAAAAGGCAAACAGCAATCAGAGCCCGATTTTCGTGAATGAATGCCCAAAAACAGTCCTCAAGTCCCATACCAGGGCTTCCTTCTGCAGCTTAGAAAGCTTGGTGCAGACCCAGTACTGCAATGGAGACAACACGTAGATGGTGGCCGCACCAACAAGGGCACTGTATCCCAGCTGCTTGTAAAGCAGTATCAGTAGAAGGATCAGCTGCAAGAAAGAAAGGAACACTGACAATTGCCATGTTTAGCGGACTATACGTGTCTAAAAGTTGATGTTCTACACTGTTCAGACTATCTAAAGCTGCGGCCGGTACCAGAATTTGTTTTTTAAAATCGCTCGCTATCAGTGCAGTTGATGCCCAGTGTGGTTGTCGAGATCACGGAGTTGCAAGCTGGGCATTAGTCAACGAGAAAAGCTGGTACTTTCAGTGTGTTGCTTTTGACCTGGGTGCCTCCACAGGTGACATAAAAGGTGACTGTATCAAAGCGAACAATGTGGATCAAGCTTGAACTTGATGGCACTAACTGCCTGCAGTTGGAAAATTATTACTACAAAACAAATAAGCAGCTTTGAAGTCTTCTTAAAGTGACGGTCGCTTTCAAAATGAAGAAGAGTGTTCCCGCTAAGCTGTGTTTGTTTTAAAACAATATGGTTATAAAAATGATAAGGACCAAAGGAAGAAGACAAATATACATTCATATTGCTTTATTAGTCAGCAAAGAGCGCCATTTGTTGGGAAACTAACGACTTAATAATTTTAGCAGATTTAAAATATGGGTGAAGCATACACCTAGTGCGGACTAAGCTGCAGGTACGAACTATTGAAGAAAAAACTTGTTTTTAGTCGAAATTTACCCCTGCGGAGTTTACACTGGGTACAGATTATATAGTCAAGGGTTTTTGTAATTATGCTATACAGTGTAATTATTTCTTTCCTAGGCCAAAAAGTTGCAATTACAATGTCAAGTCCTGCACAAAGTAGCAAGTGAGAAATTTCTTTTATGCAAATAGAGTGCTAGATAAAATATTCTTGGTGCTCTTGATGACCTCGGCTAAAACCTATTCTCGTGTAAAACAATGTCAAAAGCGTCACCAGCTGACCATAAGTATCCTAAGGCTTTTTACACGCAGGGTCACAATGAGTGGAGAATACCCATTGCTGCAAATGACTACTTAAGGGCACTAGAAGAAAAATACTCTGCAAGGTTTGTTTTATCGTCGAGAAGGTTGAACCCCGGTATACAAAAATCATCTGAGGCTGACGGGAAAACGAAAAAAATATTCTTTAACTTTACTTGCATGTACACTTGTGTGTGTGTGTTTTTTTTTTTTTTCATGTAGGTGGAATGATTGACCTTCAGAGTTAAGAATACAATGCCATACTTTGCCTCAAAAAAATGTGTGCATAAAAGTTTTGAAATTATAAGTTTCAAAGTCGAGGGCATGCTCAGATATTGAGGTGTTCAATATTTCGAGGAATTGTGAATCGGGGCCTTGCTATAGCGGTAATCATGAGGGGAGACACCAAAGTCTGAGCAAGATACAGTATAGACCACTTACAACGTAACCGCTTATAGTGCAGGACCGGGTATAACACGGCTTTTTTAAACCACCGGTTCGCCTCCCATAGAACTCCATGCATTTACATACCGCTTAAAATGCAGGCGCACGAAGGGAAATACCGGTTATAGTGCAGTTTCTGGAACAGCCCGGCGGCCGTGACGACTGACCGGCGCAGCGAGCACGCTTCCCTGTGCGGCGCTAGATAACGGCGCGAGCCGCAAGCGGCACTCGCGGGGCAAGGAGGTTGCTCGAAGAACCGGGGAGAAGCGAAGAAAGAGGCTTGAGTTGCCATAGCGACGGAGGGACGCACGCACGTGTCGTTCACATGCGTGCGTCCCTCCCAAGGGTCCCTTTGCTGCGATGGTTGGAAACAACCGGAACGACAGACCAATCGCAGGTCGAGGAGAAGTGTTCGCGTGCGTTGCATGCCGGTCGCGGGCCGGCTGCTTCTATCCGCAAACATGGCGTCGGTTGTGATCGTCGACGTAGACGGCGTGATGGAAGCTCATCGTTCCGCGTAAAAGCGCTATCCTTGACTGTGAATTTTCGTTGTGTGTTGCTATGATAACCCAGCACGTACTAGAAGGGAAGATCCACCTACTCGTGCGGCGATGTTGTGGCGGCCCTCTCAAGACGGCAGAAACGCTTGTGTTGTTGTGTTTGTTTACTTCGACTACAGTCAGTGGCGTCGGAAGAGGGGGGCAGGGGGGGCGACCGCCCCCCCGGAGATTTTTTAGTAATGGCGGCTCGCGAGCTCGATATTTCGCAAATTTCTCAGATTTCGATTTTTAAGATATTTCGCGGGCATGAATTTCTCGCATTACGGTGGCATGATGATATTTATCATCATGGGATTAGTTATTCGAGGGCTCAATTATTTGCGGTTATTTTAAAACCAGAAATAAGCAGGAGCTTCTCCATTTCTGAAGCCGAATAAAGCAGTGGATACGTGCCTACGCTGCTCGAAGCGCATATGATTTCGCAGTTCGAGGCTGCAGTAATCCCTGGGGCGTCGTGCCGTGCGGGTACCGCCGAGGACTTGGACGAAGGTGGTCGAGCATACGACCCGCAGACCTACATGATTACGCCGCATCCTGGAACACCTCGGTTCCGAAGGAGTCAAACACCAGGATGTCCTTTCACATAGGCCGCGGTCACAGAACTCAATTTTTTAAAGCATACAAACAACGCATAAATACAAGATGGGCTGCAACGCCCTCTTTTGTCATGTCAGTCAATCATCATTCCAATCTTTTGACTATCTGCCAGATCGGTGGTGCCATCTCTGGGCACAAATATAAAAGTCAAAAAACAACAGGCATTCGTTGATCGTTTCTTGAAATCTCTAAGGTTTGCAAGCATGCCCCCTCCTCATAAAAGAATGTCCTTGGACAAGTGGTTGCAGGACAATGCCGCGAAGAAAAGAAAACACACTGGGAATTCTTCGACAACAGTGCCATGCGATACTGAGTGCAGTGTGGGTGACAAGGACACGAGTACTGCACATTCACCGGGATCACGGACAGAAGTGGAGGAATCCCAAGCCCCACAATCGTCTCGAATAGGTTCTGTTGCGAGCATCGTAACGAAGTTTCATCCAGCCAGCGACTATCGGTTTCCTAAAAACGCTCAAGGGAGAGCCTGTTTGCCTGAATGGTTCAAGAAGTTCAGATGGCTTCACTACAACTGCGACAGTGACAGTGTGCTGTGCTATGAATGTGTGGCATGGTGCACTATAAAATGCAAAAACAGTGTTCGTGGTGCCAAGGTGACTTTCATTTCATCCGGCTTCAGAAACTGGAAGAAGGCCACTGAGAAGTTTAGAACTCATGAAAAAAGTGAATGCCACAGCCGGTCCGTGGATAGCTTGTTGCAGAGACTGCAGAAAGCACCAGTGATCAAGCTTCTCAGTGAGCAAAGCCTGAAGGAGCAGAATGAGGCGCGAACGGCACTCTGTGTTGTCTTCAGTTCCATCAGATACCTTGCACGCTCGGGTCAGGCCCTGCGCGGACATTCGTATGAAGATGGAAACCTGCGGCTTCTACTCGACGAAAGATCTCAAGACGTCCCGGCCTTGGAGATGTGGATGAAAAGGCGGGACAAGTGGCTGAGCGCTGACGTTCAAAACGAAGTCATTGAAATCATGTCTCACGGGCTGCTGCGAAGCATCATACAGGGGGTAAAGCATTCAACCTTCTTCAGCATCATTGCCGACGGCACGACAGATGTTTCATCCTCTGAGCAGTTCTCGCTGTGCATCAGGTGCGTGGATCCAGACACTTTGCATGTAAAGGAGATTTTTGTTGGCTTGTACAACCTGAGTGATACCACAGCCGCAACTCTTTTTGCTGTGATCAAAGACATGATCATGCGGTTGGGTCTAGACTTTCAGAACCTTCGTGGACAGAGCTTTGATGCTGCTGCAAATATGTCAGGAAGGTTAAACGGGGTACAGAAAAAAGTGACCGAAGTGCAGCAAAAAGCTGTGCACGTTCATTGCAGCAACCACGCCTTAGATCTTGTTCCGCAGGGGAGGTTGGACGAGGCTGCGAGCTGATTCGCGACGCGCTTGCCATCGTTAAGGACGTTTCGGGAATCATAATGGAGTCAGCGAAGCGAACGAAAGCATATAAGAATGTTGTCATATCTCCTGGCCACGAGAGCGAAGAAGGTACCATCGCCAGTGGAAAAATATCCAAGCTGCTTCCCCTGTGCCCCACCCGGTGGGTTGTTAGAGTAAAAGCGATAATGCGCTTCGTCGAGAACTACGAAAGGGTGCAACTAAAGGCCCGTTCACACTCTTGCAACCGAGTGCGACCGAGAGAGACCAAACCGGTTTTTAAGCCTCTTGCGATCTCTTAGAACCAGCTCCGCTCAGTGCATCCGGTCCCAAGAAGTCTTTCTCGGTCGTACTCGGTTGCAACAGTGTGAACGCGCCTTAACCCTGAAAGACATTTTGAATGACAACGGGTATCCGTGAGACGACAAGAAGGCAGCAATACATGGCTTCTTGAAGAAAATGCAAAAGTTTGAGACCGTGTTTGGTCTCAACTGCGCCATCACAATATTTGGACCATGCGAAGAACTTGCAACATCGCTGCAGAAGCCAGATACTTCTGTGCAAGAAGCGCTGAGGGCGACGGAGGTCCTGGAAGCACACTTGACAAGGCAAAGAAAGGAGAGTGGTTTCCAAGAAGTGTACGAACGTACAGAGGGGGCAGCAAAGAAGCATAAGCTAAAGGCCCCTTCAAACAAGACCACGCGATGCGGTCCTCCAAGAAGGTTCGAACACAGCAGCGAGCCCTGTCAACCAGCGTTTCTAGAAGCGGAGACAGGCCTTCGGAAGCAGTTCTACGAAGCGTTAGATTGTGTTCGCGCCGAGCTTGCAAGACGATTCAAGCAACCAGGCACGCAAAGTCTCGCACAACTAGAGCAAATAATTTTGTGCGCTATTCAAGAGAAGCCACAAACTGCAGAAGAACTCAGAAGGAAGTTAGGATCCCACGCTACTGATTTTCACCTGGAAAGCCTTTCAAGGCAGCTGAACATGGTTCACTCGCTTTCAAGCGGTCAGATCGGCTCCATACCCGAGTTGTGCCGTGCTCTGGGCAGACAAGTCCCAGAGGTCAAGAGGATGATGACTGAGGTGATGCGCCTTGCGGCACTTATAATGATAGTGCCAGCGGCAGCGGCATCAGCTGAGCGAAGTTTCAGCGCACTTGGGCGTATCAAGAATTACCTCAGAGCTACCATGTCACAAAAGCGACTGACTCAGGTGATGCTGCTGCACGTAAATAGTGAGCGAGCAGCAAAACTTGATTTGAACTGTATCATCAGAGAGTTCGTGTCGAGGACGGCTGAACGACAAACCGTTTTCGGGCACCAGTGAGCTCTTTCTTATTTCACGCTGTTTGAAGACGTCAACATGGGAGAAAAACAAGATCACCACATTCCAAAAGAGGAAGGTCATATATTCGTTCTAAATAAACGTTTGTGAGCGTTTCGATTTTATATATCCATATTGTTCTAGATGCTTCATCCCCCCCCCCCCCCCCCCCCAATTCCGTTGCCCCCCCCACCTCAGAAATACTTCGGACGCCACTGACTACAGTGGTGCTTTCTAAGCATTTGTGTTTTCGAACATCGCCCGGATTTTTTATTTGGAGCATTTCATGTCTGTGCTCAAGTTATTGGCGCGTACCGTATAAAGGATGCGAATTTTCACGCGTTTTCATCGCCGGAGAAAAGTGATTAGTGTTAGCAATCCTGAACGCTCGCAGCGTCCGTCCGCAACCCGCCTGGCGCAGCCGTTAAAAGGCTGCGCCAGGCAAAAGTCGCTCATTTCTTTCAAAATGTGTAACACACTTGAGAGAGAAGTGTACTACTCTGGTGAAATGAAGACTTTCCTCAAACTAAGCTTTATTTTTCATCTAACATAAAATAAATTCTTTTACAAAGGTAAGTTGCCTGATGGCATGCATTTTGGCCTGAAAAATTGATGTTTTGGCTATAGCGCGGTACCGCTTATTGTGCGGATTTTCGCGACTCCCGCGGCATACGTTATATGCGGTTTACACTGCATCTGGCTTGAAGAGGCAAAAGATTTTTTTTACACAATGTACTACCAAAATAAGGTTGAGTATTTTTTAGAATGCAGCTCTTAGGCGTCCGTTTCCATGTTTCACGGCGTCGCCGTAGGCGTAACAACGCTAAATTTAGCGGGAAAGGTGATGTCACGTGACCACAACAAAAATTAAATTCCACAATAAATTTAGCGGGAAAATTCAGTTTCTCCGCTAGATTTAGCAGACAAATTCAATATGTCAACTTTCCCGCTAAATCTAGAAGAGGAACTGAATTTGTCCATAGGTGAAATGACACCAAGTCACGCAACATCATTTTCCTCGCTAAATTTAACGGGGAAACTAAATAGGTGTTGAGGTCACATGACGTCAATTTCTGAACTAAATTTAGCGGGGAAACTGGGGGAGGAGGGGAGGGTATGGAGGACGAGAAGCGGTGGGTATGGAGGAGGAGGACGAGAGGGTACAGAAAAAGAGGGTACAAAAAGGAGAGGTACACCCTCCCTTCCGTACCCTCCCCTCCTCCTCAAGAGCTGCGCTCTAATTTCGCATTCCAGAGATTTGTAAACATCTTTCGTTTTTTACCTCCTTTACCATAAAGTAAGAAATAAAAGGCTTCTTACCTTGAATGGCACAGCCCAGATATAGTGTCCCATTGAGAAGAGCAGCATGACATTAAATGAGTCCACAGACATGTGGTTCACTGCCAAGCCGACATCAATGTCACTTGCAATGCGTAATGATTTCCTGTAAACCAGGCTCTGCAAAAGTGGACAGGTCAAATCCTAATTAGTGAAGTTTTATTTGGAGCTTGCTACGATCATTCATGCTGTTCAGCAAAAACATAGGAAGCTAGATAAATAATAAAAATCAACAAAAGCTGTAACACTATCACTAAGAAAAAACTCAAAAAGCATGCTAATGTTAGCCCAAGTTAAGAACAGCATCTAGGAAGATTTCTCAAGGGTGAACTTATCAAGTGGTAATGCCACTACTTGAGGAGACACCGGTACTCAACAGTTTTTCTGTAATTTAAAATCCAATTTACCGTATTTACTCGCATAATGAATGCACTCACCACAACAGGTACCAATATTTGGACTTTTTTTCCCCTCTCATAATGAACATACCCTCCAATTTTCGTCTCCGCGAGTATGGAATTGCGTCGAATTTAGCTAGCCACCAAGCCAATTTTCTTTTGCTGCCAAGCAGTCAGGCCACGTCAAGCCAAACCAAGCCACCCTCGTAATGGCTGCAAGTGCGTAGTCCAGAAGTGATCAACAGTGAAACCGAACAGCGTGCAAACTTGACAAAACTTGGGTCGAAGAATCGCCCAGCCACGGATATTCTTCGTCTGTTGAATGCATTGATGTCAAGGAACACGCCGTTGTCTCTGGACCGCTTTCGGACAGTGAAATCGTGAAAGTGGTTAGGCCTAAGAAGAGGTTTGCTATTTGCAAAGCATGGTTACTGTGGCACATCCCCGACCAGCTCTGGGTGCGCCTCCATCAGTGGAGACATGCCACAGTACCTTGCCGTGCCATATTGGCACCTAATATGGCATTTGCACGAAGCGATGCAAATATTTTACCCCGCATAATGAACCCCCCCCCCCCCCCCAAAAAAAAATATGTGTCAATTTTTCGGGGAAAAAAGTGTGTTAATTATGTGAGTAAATACGGTAAATGAAATTATGATAGTAAATGTAAATTTGCATGCTAAGTACAGATATGAGCCTGCTTCTTCATCTATTTAAGTTCTAAGAAAAATATGACTTTATGGCAAACATTTCTGTCCAACTGTTTTACAATATCCCCCACAAAAACTATGGGAAAAAGTATGCCTAGATATTGTCACGGTGTACAGAACCGGAGGAAGACGACGACGCTACATGTGCAGATGGCACAGAGAGCGATTTGGAGGCACTAGAGTTGACTAGATCACATATGCCATTAAAAGTAAAGTCAAATTCGTAACAATATTGTACAAATAGACTGCAGCAAAGTCCTCAGAATTTTGACACCATTTAAAAAGAATTCTCAGATTTTGCTAATCTTTCACTGACAATTAGAAATGAGTCCTAATAGTTACTGCCAATTAGAATATCCTACTGAAAGTAATAAGCATTGCACTCTTTGAATTATGAGGTAGTAAACTTAAAAAGTATATGTAGATCAAAGTTCTAAATTAAAAAAACAACACATTATTGTAATAAAAAAAGAAAGAATTCTGAGACCAAAACAGGAAGACCTTTTCAAAATATGCTTGTAAACAGCCTGGATATGTGACCTTGAATCAAGCTAACTATAAGTCCGCATGTTTTATAAACGTAACAATAAAGAAAGAATCATACTAATTCTGTGTCAACAGGCAAACCTTAAAGAATTGTAAAATCTGTCGAACGGTTTTTCCTTGTTGAAAGCTTGCCCAACTATACATAGCAGCAACTGGTGACCTCTTCTCCTGTTGCTTGCCAAGCAGCACAATACATAAAAATAACTTTCTAGCTGTGTTGAAATGCGTTCCTGCAGTGCATTTATTAATTGTAATGCAGTATTGCATTCTAGCAGAGGCTAACTCAGAATTTGTTTTGTAGTGTGGCGTAGGTGGTACGTCAAGGTGTGAAGTCGTGGTGTTAGTGCCAAAAGCATTAAATCTAGTACGTACGTGAGTACGTACTAGATCTACTAATCTAGTATGCGAGTGTCAAGTCATGGTGTAACATGACATTACATGACACTGTGCCACGTGACATAAGCCACCTGACACAATGATTTGACACTCTGATTTTGTATGATTAATCAGTGTGCCAGTAAAAATGTCATGAAGACCCAACGTTTCTCATACATTGCAGTTCTGTATTTGATGGTTTCATCAATAAATTGAGGTACAGCTTTTTACAATCAAAACTGAACCTCATATATGTGAATTACGTAAATCTGCTTCAAAATTATAAGTAAATACAACCATAGCTATTGAAAAAATATGTGAAACAGCTGCACAACCCTGAAGTCACAATTTTTTTTTTCCTTTCCTTAAAGTTGTTACAAGTCAGAGATTTTCAGTTCCTGCTGTGCTATAAATATTTTCCTATTTTTTAGGTTATTGTTTTATTTATTATGAATAGGGATATGACTAGCATTCCCTGTTTTCGGAGTTTATTTATCGTCAAAATCAGACAGTGTTTTTCAGAGTTTATTTTTATGCCGAAAATTCGGAGTTTATAGGTGTTTATTTTTGTTCTATTCCCAATTCTCCGAAAATCAGAGTTTAATGTCACAGTGTTTCCTGTTAAAAATAAATAATATCCGGGTGTAAACATATGCTAGATAAAATAAAAAGGCGCTTATATCAATTAATTTTTCTTCAGCTGGATTCGGCACTGCTGCCACCGCCATTTGCAATAGTAAGTTTCCCCATGACAAAAGTTGCACACAAGTGTTGCTGCGATAAACGTTGATACCTTAAAAAAAAATAAGCTTCTCGAGGTAGTCGCTGGGAAGCTTTTATTCATCCCATCCTATTTTATGTGGTAAACAATGTAATAGAGAAGTTTCAACTGCCCCTCTTCCCCATTTTATGCAATCTATATGGTCCATGATTTTCACTGTTACAAGAACACTTCCCTCTAAACCACAAATAGAATGGCCCAAACTGGAAACCAAACCAGTGGCTTTTGTCACAACCCGAAAGTACAATAACCTGATGTCCTGAATGAACCTTGACGAAGTAAGCCCCTTTTGATAGTGGTCCGATATTTGAAAGGCAACTGTGATGGCATTTTCCCAGGACCACTGACCCTGTGCACTGATCAAATATAATTGTAAAATACAGTTTTTTCTTTTTTTTCTGGAAGGGGGAGGGGGGGTATTGGCACATCAAGATTCTAAGTTTATCAGATAAATCCGAATTGACCAAACTTTTACTGGGGGGAGCTTTTCTGAGTTTGACACACCAATCTCTTGTTAAAAAAGACACGAAAAGGAATTTAAAAACAAATTACACGATTAACAAAGAGCACCTGGTGGATGTCGCTAACGCCCCACTTGTAATGCCCGTCTAGAAACCTTAACAGGTAGTGACGGTAACTGTCTTGGCCACTCCGGCCAAGACGAGAAAAGAGCTGAAGGAGGAACTCCCCTCTCCCCGAGGCTCATCGCTACTGTCCCTCAACAAGATTATAGAAGATTAACCCGTCCCTCAAAATTCATGCAAAGACAGCTTTGGAGTTGCTTGCGGTGGCCTGATCGCTGGTGTGCTTCAGCTGCTTTCAACGGATGCTACGAGCCATCGGGGCCTATCCAAGGCTGTGTGAATGTCACCTGACCTTGGAGAGGGGGCACAGCAACGCGTGGAAAGCGTATCACAGGCTACGTCCACAGAGCGGGATTAGCTAGAATAGCTCGCAGCGTCCGCTGCGTCCGGACGTAAGGTCCAGACGCAGCGGACGCTGTCCGGACAGCGGACGCTGTGTCACGCAGACAAACTATGTCACGATTGCTGCAAATGTGACGTGCTCTCCGCTGGCTGCTCTCCGAGCGTTTGCCAAAGTGGGTTGCTTATGACGAAAAATACAGCCATCAGGCTCAAAATACAAACGTGTGATTGTCATTTACAGATATTGTGGATCATAATAAACCTATTTGTGAACGCAACAGGTATATTTCAAATTTCATTGAAGTACTCCTTTAGGTGCTGTTTAGGAACTGTCACAAAAATTTAGGCATTTAAACATACATACATACATAATCACACTTCTGAACTTCATTATAAGTTGACACTCTTTAAGAGCTTAGTACATATGTTTTATTTGATATCCAGAGCTACTCGGCTCCACTAAAAATAATTAAATTAAGTCGCAACTCTAAGATGCCTACCTACTATATTTGCCTGCTGTGTGAAAGCACTATCTGTATGCAAATATAGAGTGGCAAAAGATCAATTGTGTTTTTCATTGAGATGGTGGCACCCTATAAAACGTGTTTTCTTTACGTTTTACAAACTTGTTTTAAAAAAGCAACACTAAAGTGGTCTAAAGTGGATACAAATCAACTGCGCAAACGGCATTAGTGTAACTTCCAGGGGCTTTTTTTAAAAATATATCTGTAAAGCCTAAGAAAAACACCCTGTATAAGGTGTTTTTCTCCTGATTGCCACAAAAAAAACAAAAGGAATACGTTTTGTTCTTCAATGTCATGTTTATCTTTTTCTACTTAATGAAAATATATCTGTGCATTCCTTGTGTGAACAACTCACTCTGTGGATGAGAATAACCAATACTGTCCTTCCCATGTGCACACTATGCCTCTGAGTTGCGAGTCATGATATTAAGGTACAAGGTCAACTTGAATAACTTTCAATAGTCTCCAGCACAAGTCACTTCATAATATTACGCAAGTAAAGAAGGAATAATGGTACTGCTGAATGAAAATACCATCCACTGCAAATTAGCAGTTTCTTATAAATCTGTCAGACAAGCACCTAAAATGACCTTTACGCCAAAGGCCTTTAGGATTTTCAAATGACCTCTACATTCTGCCGTGCCAGACAGCGTAAGTAAATGTCATTTAGACGATGTTTACAGCGATTGAAGTCTCGTAGCTCGGTTCAAACGCATAAATCATGTTCAGGCCAGAAAAATAATATTTTGGAGATATAAATAATTTTTTTAAGTTTTTCTGAAGCAAACAAGATATTAAAAAAAAAAAATAATGAGTTTAGTCAATTGATTACAACAAAGACCACTTGAAGCCCAAGCAAAGTAGTTTTTAGTGTTTAGTGGCACCCTGGGCGTCTCCCGTTTCAGTCCTAACTAGGGAGGCTAGTCCTAACGTTGCTCAGTGCTCCCGCTCCTTTCCGTGCTTCTAATACGTTTTTGTCCTGTTCGGTTCGGCGTCGTGCTGGCGCTTGAGGTTCATCGCAAGAGGCGGGGGTCCTCCAGGCGAACTTCCTAAAGTCGTACCAGTGCCCAGGTCACTTCAACGCTCTAATGAAAGCGCGGTGACCCTTTCCTACTCATGGATGCTCCTCCGTCGTTCGACGTATCGCACGACGCGAGAGTGAGATACAGAAATATACATGTACAAAAAAAAAAAACATTAAACATATAAAGTACGGAGAGTAATATAAGTAGAGAAATAAAAGCTAGATAACTATGGTTTCAAGGAAAATCAAGAGGAGGAAAACCGAAGTGCCGAAGCGGATGACGCGAGCAGGCGACGACGAGGCCTACTAGATAGCTGGGGCCGTGAGTACAAAAAACTATTAGTAGAGTGAGGTTTGTACAGAGTATACGTGAAACACGCCCTTTTTCAATAACAAAAATGCTAACGCATTGATTTTAGATATCGATGCAATCTTTTATTTCAATTCGCTTCCCTGGTGTAGACTGCTGCTGGCGAGAGTAGGCGTTTAGCAGCTGTAAACAACGAGGATAGAAGGGTAGGAGAGGGCATGACGTCAGCCGCGTAGCCTCCACAAGCCATGCTCCCTTGACGCCTCGCCTCTTTCTCATTTTCCTCCTTACTCTCCTCACTTATCAGGCCAACGTGACCACATCACGTGACCGTAGTTTGCCTTCGTCTAGCCTTTGATCTGATAAAACCTATCGGACGGAGCGCACGCAAGCCTGCAAGGAATCCTTCTACAATCAACCATCCATCTCACAAGTGACATGTCACGTGCACCAACTGCCAGAGAGATCTATGGTCACGTTGGCCACAATATCGTTTAAACTTCTTATGACTAGGCTTCACCAATATTGCAACGTGCCCCCTCCTAGAACTTATAACCTCCTTAGCTGTAAAGGAGTTGCGGGAACTCAGGTTCACGAAAAGGACTTTTACGCTAAATGTTATTTGAGTTGCCGTGTGGCACTGCCTAAATGACATTTAGACTAAAGGTCCTTTGGCGTAAAGGTCCCTTTAGGTGCCCGTCTGACAGGGGTATTACCTTTACTGCATCAAAGGGTGTTAAAAAAAATAAAAAGATAAAAACGCTTAGAGTTGAAGCACAACAATGCGGAAGTATGAAGAAAAACAAAAATCTCCAAATAGTTCTACAGACTTTCTACAGGTACATAGTGAAACTGAGACATCTCATGTTATGTGCTGCAAATGTGAAAATATCAGGACTGAAAGCCAGGGTTCCAATCAAGCAACATCAAGCAATCTGTGCACCTTGGCGGGATGTGATAATGCATGCAAGTCGCAATCACTAAAATTAAGTGGTCTGAGTCATTCACATGCCATGCAGTATAACATTTGTCACAAGCAGTTCTCATGCTGCTGACCTCTTGATATTGTCATTTTATACCTTGGAAAAAATGCTGAAGCACCAAAGCAAAAAGCAATTCCGTCTACAGCAAGGGTCAAGCAACCTGCAGAAAAGTGGTTAGGAAAAGACTTAATTTAATCTGACAAGAGGTTCTCCAATCAAAGCCTGTGGTCATGATCGCTATGTTAACAGGTACACATTAGCCACTGTTACATAGAAAGGCTTTTTAGTTTAAACCAAAAGAAAAGCACTTTTTAGGAACATGAACAAAAATTTGGACATCCCATATGCACGGCTGATAGGGAAAAAGTTGGAAAATACTGAAATTGTAACATGTTTCCAATAAATTTGCATTTAGAACCCAATTCATAAGGCTTTAAAAAAAAAAAAAAAGATTGTTCTCTTTATGTTGGCTGGATACAACAAAAACATATACTGGGTGTCCCAATTAATATGCACCAAGCTTTGCAAGAAAACAAAAATTAACAATGAGGCACTCTACAGGAATGAAACCATCTGTATGTTGTTAGCAAGCAAACTAAACATTAATTTATGGGTTGAAGTGTCAATTAACAAGCTGTAGAACACCTTAGAGAAAACATAATTGAGGTGCTTACCGACATGGTGTGCTTTACATACTTTTCGTTTGTGACCTAAAAGAAAGCCCACAACATACCACGTGACAGTGCATCCGCTGCAATTGCACTTGGGCACGTTGTCGCGTGATAAGTTATGGGCTTTCTTTTTAGGACAAAAAAAGAAGCAGGCAAAGCATACAGGCTTCCAAACACCTCAATCTTTCAAGGCAGTCTATAACGTTTTAATATACATCTTACCCCTTAAATGAATGCTTACAAAGTTGGGTCATTAGTCTTACTTCATTGATAAATTACTCCATAAAAAAAATATTCCACTTTTGCAAGACACTTGCTAACAACATACAGTTGGTTTGCATTAATGGAAAACACTTTACTTTTTTTTTCTTTTTACTTGGTGCATGTTAATCGGCACACTTGTTATAGAAATAATACTGGAAGAGCCAGGTTGACTAAGAAAGTAAAACTTCCCATAACTCTCTGTCTAGAAGTAAAAATAAATGCAAGGAGGTATCCTCCAAGCACAAAATAATCTTAGCTGAAACAATGAGGAGAAAGTTGATGATTAATAAGCATTACAAAGCAGAAAAAAGGGGTTAGTGTCAACAGCAGGAAACCTGGGGGGAGAACTTTTGGTGGCAAGGGGGCTCCTTCACGTCGAAAGACAAGACAACACAAAGACAACCGTGCCAAGTTGGCACACGCTAGTTGGCACGCGGCCGCCCTCGCTACCCTAGCGAACGACGGCCATCACAGAACGTAAACGTGTCTATTAAAGCCTCCAGCGTCATCCCTAGAGTAAACATGTACGACCGAACGTAGCAGCGGCAGCAGTTGCAGGGCTATACCCACTCTTTTTATCCCATGGCAGAAAAAAAAAAAGAGAAGGCAAACGTGTTGCAGAGAAGAAATGTAACAAGAAGAGACAGGAGAAGAAATACTTATATTCTTGTAACTCTTATAAGCTCAAGATAAGAGTTTGACCAAGTGTAGCTGAAAAGGTCATCATGGATATTGGATTGACACTCAATAACGACAGAACGCACCTGCTAACGGTATGCAGCTGATAAGGCCGTTGAAGTGGGGGCAAGTTTGCCAAGAGGTTCTTTTTTTTTTTTTTTTTTTGCTTTCACACTTTTGATCTACTTTTGGCAACACCGATTTGAAACTTATCTTGAGAGAGAGAGAACAAACAGAAAGGGAGATGGGAAACTTACCAGAGCTTTTGAAAAAAAGAAAGTTGAAGTTATTGGAGAGATAACAACAGAAAGCAAGGTAGATACAAAGCTTACTGGAGCTTTGGAGAAAGAAAAGGTAAGTTAGTTATCAGTTAAATAACAAATTCAAGGTTAAAAAAATATGTCTTTTAGTCCTGAGCACCGAATATCACTAATAACAATATAGCCTTACAAGCTACCCAGAGTACCTCATTTTTGTTAATAAAGATTATGTGTAATTATTATCACCACACACCTGAAGGGCAGATCGCACATGGACACTTTCCATGATGGCCATGTGGTTGAAGTTGTTGGAACAGGTGCTTTGCATGAAAGTGGCTACCAGTATGACAACAGAGATGATGTAGCCATTGCTCAAGATTTCCCCAGCCGTTGGGTATGGATCGACAGGCTGCAAGGGAGGCATACCATCTTTACAAAGAATACTGCACTCAGTCACTGTCAGTAGGAGTGTGACACTAAGAACTGAAAAATATGTTTTAGGTGCCTGGATTTTAGGCTTTTAGGCACCTGAACTTGGAACCCAATGGGTGTAGGGGGCAAGGGAGAAACACTGTTAGAGGAAGGCAACTGGGCTCCGAAGAGTTTTGCTTCAAGCTATATTGCTTGCACCACTGTACAATTGAAGAATTAAAAAAAGTGCAAACAAGATGAAGGACAAGAGGAGACACAGACAGACAGAGCGCTAACTCTCAACTGAACTTTATTGAAGAGCAACACATAAAGATCGCCGTGAATAAATATGACGCAATTCGTATCACTTTGTCATGCACTACGACTGTCATATATGAGCCCTCAGGAGTGCCAGTTCTTTATCAGACAGAGTGATTAAGGGCGCACTTACGCACACGTCATTTCCACAAGATATGTGGTACACCTCCGCAATCTCTCTCGTTGTTTGCTGTCTATACCCTGCCAGGATGACTGTGTCTTCTAAGATCGGTTCACACCCACATCTGTCACAATGGATGTGAACCAATGTTAAAAGACACAGTCATCGTGGGGAGGTATAGACAGCAAACAAGGGAGACTGCCGAGACGTACCACATATCTCGACGTGAAAATGATGTGTGCGTAAGTGAGCCCTCAATCGCTCTGTTTGATAAAGAACTGGCATTCCTGGGGGCACGTGTATGACAGTCATAGTGTATGACAAGGGGATACAAATTGCGTCCTATTTATTTCCGGCGATTTTTATGTGTTGCTTTTCAATAAAGTTCAGTTAAGAGTCAGCGCACTGTCTGTGTATGTCTCCTCTCGTCCTTCATCTGGTTCGCGCTGTTTTTAATTCTTCAATATGCAGAACCAACTTGCCCAAGCCTTCACCCTACAGCACCTCTGTACAAGTTCCTAGAGAGGGTGCATAAACAAGAATAAGTTCTGTTATTTATATTAAGTGCCTAAATATCCAGTCACTGGTCAAGAGTAGAGTTCTGCATATCGAGAACCTATTCCTTGATATATCATCAATGTTTTTTCTAGCTTTGTTGCGGGTACAGACCTCAAATTAGGAAGTTTTTTTCTTTTTACTTTCCCTTTTTTAAGTTGACGTGCAAGTTTCAAGGTTTCTTTACTTTTCTTTGTGAATTTCTGATACTTCTAAAGAAAGAGACCACTGACTTGATAAAATGAATAGTTAAAAGCAGCATGCTGACTTCAGAAACAGGATGTTTAGTTTAGTTTTAACTCGAACAGATTTAAAAAAAAACGGAGGTGAGAATCAGACGAGTGCTGTCTTCACCATGTCTTTATCAGGTTCGGCAGACATTAGATGAGGGGATAATCGTCAAGGTAGGTGAATAATTAACTAAAATCTGTTAATTATCTTTTTAAGTATTGGTTTTAGGGGTCACGTTGCAATTTCAGTATTAATGGAAAATACTATTGGGAAGGCCAGACCAATTGAAAGAAATTGCAAAAAGATCATGTTTTTGAGACATTCATTAACCAATTTTTGCGTTCCCCCCCCCCCTAAGCGTTTTATGCTGGGGTGGGGGGGAGACAGTGGAAACACCTCGGCGTGTGCCCCAGCCTTTTATTCGTATTGGTAGGCAACACCGACAATATTTTAAATTTAAGGAAAGTCATATATTTAAAAAATGCAAGCACTCCATTTGGTCGTGACAGGATGTCGGGAAATCAGATTGGAAAATCGAAACCGAAACTGTTGCCAACGGGATCCCAAGATGCTTTGCGCGGCACCATGTCACTAGGATCGCTTCGATTTTGCGAGAGGTCTATTGAGGCAGTGTCGCAGTAGCGGTGGTAGATGTGGCAGATGCCCGTTCCGCCGCAGGTCTATTCTAGTTTGACGGTTCACGCAAGCTCCAGCAGTCAAGAGTTGGGACTCCGCGATGACAGCGGCACTCGTGCTCACTCCTTCTTTTTGCCGAGACTTCTGGCACCTACCACCAAGGCTGCGACATCCGACAGCATAGCACACTGGCTCCTGTGACACCATTTGTTGCCACTGTGGGACCACTATTGATGAGTGGGCGGGATAGGACACTAAAAACTACCAATCAAAGACGCGCTCCAGGCAACATAGTATTAAGTTGTCAAAGGGGCAAAACTGCTAGTATCGCCCGAGGTAACACGTACCTCGTCCAGGGCACCATCTTTTGCCGTCTTTTCTTCAACGAACTCAAGGATGAGGCTGATGGACAGAGGTCCCACCAGGCCGACCACGTCCCCAATGACCTTGATGAGGCCCCCAGTCATGGCAGTCTTCCAGTAAGTCTTCAGGAAACAACACCACAGGGACACTTGCCTGCCCTTCTGCTCCGCTTTGGCCTAGATTAGCGGGTCATCAACGACTCTGTGAGGTTTTCACGGTTTCAATGGCAAAGCGAACATCAAGAACGAGGCGAATAACAAAAGGCAGACCTAGAATTTTGGTTCTTAGATTCTCCTTGTTCAATTTTTACCTGTACCTCCTGCACCAGCTGCACACCACTGTATTCGATTTACGAGTGCAGCCTATCTCAAGACACAACCGGAAGTACATTGTCCTGCACTTTTCTGCACTGCGCTACACCTTTCTGCACCAGTGCAGGCAGGCACAGGTAGATTAAATGAGTCAATTGTTTCCTTTTCCTAAAAATAATATATGAATAATATCAATTTTAGGATTTGCAATAAACCCTGAATAAGGTTGCCTGCATGTTAGTGGTTCTTTCACTTGTTTCTATTAAGATTTGTATCACATAGAACTTTCTCTTTGCTTCTAGATCACCAGGCTAAGAGTTCTCCACCCATACAGAAATAGATTCTATGGTCATATTTTGATAAAAAGTAAATTTAGGATTGCAGAGGATATGGCGTGCAAAGTATACTCGCTGTCAAAATACAATTACTACCTTTGTGCTTCCTAAACAAGAAAAGTCACCCACAAAAGTAGCTTGAATGTTTGTTTTGTGGGCTTATCATTTTAAGTGAATGTAAGTTGAAAGTAAATGCATAGGAAACTGTACAAAGGAATCATAAACAGCTGTGAGTGTGCTCAACAAATCAATAGCCGTTATTAAACCTAACAAGAAATGAGACATCACTGAAGTTAATATAACAATAAATAAGAATATTACAGACACCAAGGTTTTACCGCATTTTTTTTTTTTTTAGTACAATACGCATAGAATGAGGAAAATCTTTTTAGGTGGACTTTCGTAGCACCGAATGCAAAAAAATTTACATGAGTAACAAGAGCAAAAGTTGAGCCAAATGGAAAACTATAAGTGCAAGTAACAATGAGAAAACATTCATGCCGACCAAGAGATGACACAGTAAATAAGACAAAGTTGTGTCAATGAATTTTTAAAAAATAACAGTAATTTTTAGAAGTTACTTAGACTGATAAGGATCAAGGCAGCTGGGTTGTGCACTGTATCTAGGGTATGGGTCGAAATGATTGTCACTTAGGTTGGGCTTATAAAAAGAGAAAAAGAATTTGAATAGAGAATAGCTCCAAACAGGCAATTCAATTCCTTAGAAGCGAAAAAGAAAAAAAAAAAAATCTGCTTGCCTGAAATTTTTAGTATTTCAAACCATAACAATATAATTATCAACATAGAAAGAGAGGGGGAGTGAAAGCTCTCTTTTTATTAAAGTGGAATTTCCCACAGAAACGGACCACAGAGGGGCTTCTGGCAGAAGGCCAACACCGAAAGAGCGTCAATCTGTCATTCTCCTCCTCTGGTTTGATATAATTTACAGCTTCAGAGGGAATGCCCGACAAAAATAGAAACCCAAGCAATGAATGGCATTCCCCGACATAGTAACCCCATGAGCTGGTGCCGGAAAGCAAACAGAGGTTTATTTTTGAAATGAACTAAAAAGAGCGTGGAAGACTGGAAGCCACAAAAGAATGTGCACTAAAGCTTCCCTCTTGCAACATCTCCCAGCAGTAAAGACCGGTCGGTCGTAACGAGGAAGTAAAAAACCCAAACGGTACCTTTTCCTTGGAAAAAACCTTGTTGAACCTTGCGTACTGATACTCGTTCATGTGTTTCTGCAACAGGAATCGGTGGCACGTTATAGGTCTATATAGATTAAAGAGATATGTGCCAGCTCTCGTCGATGTGCTAAAAAGGACCCACTAGCATAATGATGACAAATGTCAAGTGTGGGTAAGCAATACACATATTATTCTTGTTCCTCAGAAGACACGGAAATTTATCTGATTTTACAGCAGGTCCTTACTAAGACCACGGAAGTGGCAAAAAATACTTTAAAACACTGCACTATTATATTACCGGTCATTTGATTTAAATCTTTATTATGAAGGAAACCTATCGGTAAAGGCAAGTATTAAAACACTGAACAAACCTATCGACAAAAAACAAGCTCTAGTGAATAAAAGCACCAAAAAAATACTGCCCTTAGTTGATCCTTTGATGTTTACCTTATATCTTCTAAAATGTGCCATAGTGTTCTTTTCTATTTTTTTTTTAACGCTTGATTATTTAATATGGTACAAGCAAGCATTTTAAGAAATTATAGGCACATTCTGGCGCCAGGTATTGTTGGTTTCATGACTACCCCATGCCTCAAAACTGTCAACTGGCTGTGCCAAGGTAACTACACAATACTAGGAATTTAATTTTATAATAAGGTTTGCTGCCTTTTTGTCTGATGTCAAATCATTAAGTGACATCTTTATTTAGTAGATATTTCTGACTTTGTAAGTATATTTTCAAAAGCTTCTTTGATAATCTTTTTATATCATACTACAAGAAACCGAAGTCAACTAGTACTTTTAATTGAACTGAAAAAGGATCTGTCAGATCCGGAACGTTTTTGGACTCTCCATTCACAACAGAAGACGCCTAACCAATTGAGGAGAATATTGTTTTGATTGTTAAAATGTTGTACAAGTGGACATTGTATGAGTAAAACATTGTATAAGTGGACACGATTGTCAACTTAACATTGTCTTCAGACCGTGACATATATATAGCGGGATGCATACCTCTGGCAGATAGCCAAGGTCCTCCAACTCCAGCGGGCGGCGAGATCCAAGTTTAAGAAGCGGAACAAGCCAGTAAAAAGTGCACTTAGACAGCATCGAAGCAAATGTGTATCGGTATGTGATCTGGTCCATATCCTGCTGGTCAGGTTCTTTCTCTGGCACATGACTGGCGAAGTAATTCTAAGCAGAAACAAGAAGGCAATAGGTAAGTCAATACACCCCACCTCGAACGGAAACAATCAATTAGCACTTTACGAGAGTTTCAAGAAACAAACCGGCTTTTATACAAACTTCTGGTGCAAAAACAAAATACAATAACTCCACTTTGTTACTTTTTAGTGTAGCGTCGTTGTTGGTGTAAAAATTCTCATAATTTATAGCTCAGTTGCAGCGCATAGTACTTTAAGATGTTGCCCAAATGCATACAAAACTACAGACTTTATGACATAACTAAGGTTTTTTTCAGGGGTTGTCTTTCACCAACTTCAGAGGCGTCTTTTTTCAGGCTTCCTTTTTTCCCACAAATGGGGAGTGTTCCTTAGGGGTCTCCTTTTTTCCACAAATTCGGGGCTGTTTCTTTGGGGTTCCTTTTTTCCCACAGATTCGAGGGTGTTGTTTGGTGGTTACTTTTTTCTCACAGATTTAGGAGGTGTTTTCTTGGGGTTCCCTTTTCCCTCAGATACGGGGAGTGTTTTGGGGGATCTTTTTTCTGACAGATTTGGGGGGGGGGAGAGGGTTTGGCGTTTCTTTTTTCCCACACATCTGGGTGTCTTTCAACAACAATTTCCGGCATCAGAAACGTTGAAGGAAACAAGACACAGCCGAGGGATTCCTCCACCCCCCAGGGAATGTGTGTGTGACCCGAATACTTGGAAACCGTCCCGGTACCGAGAAGAGGATACATGAAGAAGGGTGGGGTTTCCCAAGAAAGGGGTAGCCTCGTGGCCAGTTCAGTGTGGGCTGCGTGTATTCTAAGTCAGCACAAAATGGAGCTGTAGTCAAAGATTTATTTTCTCGTGAAGTTTGGGTTCCTTCGTCCCAGGACAGCTCCGATTCAACGTTTTTCGGTTTTCCCGAATTTAGACAAAACCGGCTATGGTGTTAATTTTCGGGGCTTATCAGCGTATACCGAAAACATGGGACCCTAGACATAACCTCAAGGCCATGCTGAAAATGGGCCTATAATAAGCGTAATAATTGTAATAACTATAATAATATGATAACACCTGCAAGAATAAGGAGCTGTGAAAGAGTGGCAAATGGACAAAAAGTGGTTTGTGCTGCAAAGCTTTGTATATATTGGCCCTTGTTCCCGAGTGAAAATTGCCTTGGAGAGATAGTGTGCCCGGGAATTTGTCAATTTCTGCCTCCACTGTACGTCGTGATTTCGATGGTACAATGGACCTTTGAATGGATTGCAAAAACCAGTTTGCTAATAAACCGCGAGATGATTTAGAGCAGAACTTCATTACGTGGAGCATTCTTTAGTGAAAACATAGGAGGATGAATTCACTTAAATGAAACTGGCAAAAAAAAATGTTTTTCTACAAAAAAACTTTAACCAGCATGATACCATCAATTGACATTGTAAGCTACTGTAGTGCTTATTCTGGCAAAATGAAGGGGATAAAATGAAAATCAATGTTACTTTATTTCTCTTTATTTATTTTTCTGTCGTTCTAAACATTACTCAACCCACAATTCTATTGATGAATTCAATAAAGAAAAAAAAAAAAGCTTACCTAGTTGAATCATTGTCTATTGAAAAACAATTTTTTTTTTTCTTTTGACTTAAGTGAGCTCATATTTTCATACTCGTAAATAATAAATGTACCACCTGCGGGTACCTGAAGTGCAAATCATAGAATGATATGTCAAGGAACCGAATTATGCGCCCGCTTCAAAGAGCCATTGCGCTGTCGGAATCACCTGGTAGAAGGGCAATTTTTGAAGTGTTGCACAAATGCTAGCCTGAGAAATCTTGAATTGTACAGCACTATGGAAGCTATTCTATTTAAAAGTTTCAAAAAATACATCTGTGAATTTCAATAGCAAGCTTCCTTGGCGGATTCCCGAACTTAATCAAGAAATTTGCCAACCAGAATCGGCTTAGAGCTCTTCCATGCTATAACAAAAACCTTGATATGAAAACATTGAATTCACACTCTACTGAGACATATCTTGTATTTCAATTGACATGAACGACAGAAAGACCACAATGCATTAACTAGACCTCTTTCATTATAGTAGATATTAAAAAAGTATTGAACATATTTTTTCAAATATCTGACATTCACTCTGCAGTTCCACTTAGTGATAGGCTTTACGCAAACACTTGCTTGTTGAATTTGTCAACTTTTATGTCAAGCCTCAATTTCAAGAATTTGTTTCACATTTGGTCATCTTCAAACTCAATTTGTGATTGAAGAAACATTTCCATATCTACACGGTGTCCCCAAAAAAAATTTACAGGATTTTATTCACTGCACAAGTTTACTATGCATCGCCAAATGCTCATTCTCTGTTCAAATGTAGCGCTAGAGGTTCGAACGAGACGCCAATGTTTTAGCACCAGCCGTTATTTTATTTAAAAGTTAAAAGCAATTTTCTGAAATTTCTAATGGGAAAATGGTTGCCGATGGACCTATTATAATACACGGAGCTCTATGGTGGCAGTTATCGAATACGGGCAAAAATGCACCCAATTTTTCTAGCGAAAATTTTAAAAAATCGCTTATGACCTTTAATAAAATAATGGTAAATTCTAAAACTTTGGCATCTGATTCGGACTGCTAGGGCTACATTTAAGCAGAGAATGAGCGTTCGTTGATGCAGTTGATTTTTGCAATAAGAAAAACCTGCACATTTGTTTGCGAGAGAGAGAGAGAGAGAGAGAGAGAGAGAAGTGTTGGAAAGAAAGGAAGCCTACACCCTGTACATCCAGTCTTTTGAATGTACCTATGAAAGCAAACTCTGACAGTGAATCAAGAAGGGGCTAATCAATACTGGAGTTTGCTCTCTGGAAAGTGTCCAATCCCGAAACGCTCCTTAACCTTCACGACCTGCCTTTAATCAACAGGCACTAGAAGTTAAGAAAAATCACCAATAAACTAATGCTTGCACGTAAACTTTTGTAAGGTCCACTTGGGAAAAATTTTAGATACAATTACATAAATTTAATCTCTTTGAGAAAAGTAGGAGTATGTAATGCAATGTAATTTATTTGCTCAAGGGACTGATGTGGTGCATGAGGACATGCAATGTACAACACTGCGAATAGATTAATCTTGAAATTTAGCACACATCTGTTTGTGTGTATTTTTTTGCAGAACGGGCTGATGTGTATCTGATGACATGCAACATCGACCGCTACAAACAGATTATTCTATGGTTTTGAGATGCATCTACTAATTGTGTATGTTCTTTTCAAAACTTTCCCACTAGTGTGACTATCAATTTTCAAGTTCTTTTGTAAGTGTGCAGATGTCCAAACTATTTTTGAGGACAAAGAAAATCTCTCATCAGGCAAAGCTGGCCATGACATGACACAACACTAAAACTACCTTTAGGGTATAGTGAGACACTGATGGAGACCTGTCTATACCACTGCTGTTATCACAAGGTGTGCTCCAACTTTAAGTAAAAGCTATATCTAACCACCATGAACAGCACACCAATCTTAAAACATATCAGGAGGATATAATTTCTTTATGCTGCTCTTCCGAATTCTTATCGGTTAGGTCCTTGATAATTGGTTCGGTCATATTCCAAGTATACAGCAGTATGCCCACAAAATGAAATTAAATACCCTGTCACAACGTTGCAGCCGTTTGGTGTAGTGGCAGCTGGTTTCAACACAAGCAAAACGCAGCAAAGCACCCTCTTCTTTACCTTTTGTGCGAAGATGGACAGCTCGAGAATGAAAATGGCCGTGTAGACCACGACCCCCGCCCAGGTCGTCTGCAGTGTAACGTGCTTGGCGCCAAGTCCCTTCTCGTAAAGAACCACGAGCTTTGCCGTCTTCAGGGCGACGATGCAAGGCCAGAAGACGAGGAGGGCGGAGAGCCTCCTTGCCTTGCCCTGTTCCTCGACCTTGTGGTAAAAGTAGATGGCCACTACCACCGTCACCAGGGAGGTCACGGCACCGAGCATCGGATGGAGGTTCTGCCGAGTCTCATGCCGTCTGACCAGCACCATGACGCCGTCGGCCAGCTCGAAGAGGTGGATGGCAGCCGCGCAGAAAGTCAGTATCCACCGGGAGTTGTGCTCTTGGAAACGAACCCCACCACGTCTCTTGCCGCTTGAACTTTCCGAGCACATGAGGATGGCGGCGATGAAGACGATGAACACTAGGACGGAGTTTAGAATGCATGTTCCCAAATTGGTGATGCACTCCCGGTCGACGACGCCGTCCAGAGTGAGGCAAAAGTAGGACGCAGCCATAGTTCTCTGAAGATGGGCACCTCCTCGGGGCAGCGATGGAGGACTGTGCTACGGACCCGGTAAAAATGACCGTTTTCTTCAGCTTCTAGTTGCACTACGGCACGCGATTACTATTACGAAAGGATAGGTTAGGTTGTGAAGCATGGTTTAACATCGTTAAAACGTCGATCGGGCTGCTAGATACGCGGAACTGTGTCCAAACATGAGCAGGTGCTTCAAGATGCACTTACAGAGCGCGCCGTAAACGTTGCTCGGGTTCGTCGGGTTTCATCGGTGTCGGGATTTCTCTTCTTCCGTCCAATTCCGGCGGTTGACGTAACGTATATTTCTCACGTCGACGCAATGAGTAACGCGGCACATCTCCAAGGTGTCACACCCACACGAACGATGCCGGACTGAACGCGCTCATCAAATTAGTATGCGCCGCCACAAGCCAGTTCGCGAATCGTAGTAGCTTTTAGTTCGCGTTTCGGTTCCGAGATGGCAAGACCAGCGCCGCCGTAGAGTGTGTTTCCGGTGCTTTCGTGTCGTCAGTTCCGGTCTCGAGGAGTCGGCGTTTTCAAGATGACGGCCTCCTTGGAAAGCATACCGAAGGACCTGAGAAATCTCAGAGCTTGCCTTCTCTGTTCGATGATCAAGGTAATTCTCGATAGATTCGAAACATCTTTTGATAAGAGTATACGGATGTCTTGCTGTGCGATAACTTTGTTTGTACTGATGGAGGCAGCATCATGTTAGTGATGTTGCGATAGCATCGTTCAAGCTGTAGCGTTTGCTGCCTAACGCGCCTTTAATTTAATTCAGTGCCCAATTTCGAATTTCAAATTGCACCGTTATTTTGTCGTCCTGTTTCTTACGTTTTTCTCCTAATCAGTCTTGTTTCTTTTTTTTCATTTTTCTTATTTGTGCGTGTGATAAGAGCAGGTTCAGCCGAGAGCTGCGCGGACTCAATGCATTTGTTATTGCCTTGTTTATTTCAGACATTTGAACAATTCGAATTCGACGGCTGTGACAACTGCGACGAGTACCTCCACATGAAGAACAACAGAGACATGGTCTACGACTGTACGAGTTCCAACTTCGACGGGTATGCAACGTTGAAAGCTCGAATGCTTTGTCCTAATGCCACTAAATAAGCTACGCTTTAGAGTAACGACACTTGGCCATATAGTGTCTTAAAATCATGGTTTTCAGTTATCTGAAGCTTTATCTGAAACTGCAGGAAACGCTTTTTCGCCCTCCACAGGTGTTTAAAGAGTTGGCGACTGAGCAAATCAATATTACATGAACTTCCTTACACCGAATCTAATGCTGAGGAAGTCCCACTTTGGACCATGACGATCTGCAGTTGCGTCTGCCCTGCATACGAGCCAAAATGGCGGCGCCCACAACAATGTCGGGGAACGGAGTGCCGATACTCTAAGCGCAGCTCATTTAGTGGCTCTACTTTGTCCTATTTACGCAGTAACGCGTGCAATGCATAAAGACCCGTTCACACTCTTGCAACCGAGTACGACCGAGAGAGACGAGACTTGTTAAAACCTCTTAAAATTTCTTAGGACGAGAGAACACGCTGGCGCCGTCTATGCGGTGACCCTGGAGGCTGGCACTGCATTTCACAAGAGCGAAGGTTTTGCGGGATTTCCGATGTCAAATGTGCGTAATACCTATAAGAAAGGCTCGTTTATAACGTTGACAAAAGTTTTTCGAGCCAAGAAAGAAAGGATAATGCTCGAGAGAAATAGAAAATATGCCGAGACCGCGAAGTTTACAATGCTACCCAATAGATGGCGCCAGGTATTTTCTTATTAACTGATGCCAGGGGGGTTTTATAGCCTCACTTTTTTTTCAGTGCGGAGTGAATATAGTTTTCACATTTAAATATTCTAAGCTTAAATGGTAAAACAAAATGGCTAGGTGGCGTAAGCTACCGCCCTATCCAAAGGGCTCAGCCGGATTCATTCATCCATCCATCCATTCGTTGTAAAAGGTTTCAAGGAACCCGGTTTTAAGAGGTCGCAACAGTGTGAACGGTCCTTAAGGTCTGCAGTCAGTATTTCATTAGTACACAGACAGATGTCAACAAGTGTCAGTGCACAGAGCAACTAAGTAAGAAATCGAGCAACTGATTGTTTTTGTTTCCAGAGGAAGCATCAAGAAGCGTAACTTCGATCCTGTGTACAAACTGTCAGCAACTGTGTGGTATCAGGAATGCCCTTTGCTCTGTTTTGCTGAACTTCCTAAATGTTCCTGCAAATCATAATAAGCACACTGTGTTGTTAGTGTGGCACAGTCGTAACACATTTATGTCACTTGTCTAGTGATTCCCCTTTCCGACCGGTTTCACTGGACAGCCTGGGACCGTTACTTGAGTATAAAGGCCAAAGACACAATGTTCCAAGTTTCCAACTATTTAAAAAGTTCTAAACTGGTGTTCGATGTTGACGTTCTGTTAAAAGAATGACCATACTTTTTATTTTCCAGCATGATAGCTCTTATGAACCCAGAGGACAGCTGGGTGGCAAAGTGGCAACGGATAAGTGCGTACCTTTTTTATTTTCTCTTTTCTGGTGTGAACCAGTCAGATATCTGTCAGGTAGTTGCCTACCTTTTGGGCTGTTGCACATACTTTGACGTGTCCCGTGTCATTTCTTGACCTCCTTCACATGTCAAAGTTCGCAGCAGAAGTGTGATATAAATAGATGGGTGCCTGGTGTAAGGGCGAGCGCTTCGACATTGTGAAACAACTTGGACAGAGAAACAAAGCCACTCTCCATAGATGGCAATTTGAACATTTTCCTATTTGGAATCAAGTCTCAGAAACATTTGTATATCTTCTGCTCATGCATCATCAGAGTCAGAATTCGGGGTCAAAGTTGTTCATAAAGTGCCGAGTGAAATGAATGAGCTTTTTTTTCTGAGAATTACCATTGAAACCAATGAGACAAAATGTAGGCTGCAAGACAGACAACCTCTCCAACCATGGGGGGAGACTCCCAGCATCAGTTTGGTTTTCATAGCGCACGGTGCAACACTGTTAGTGCGAACAATGGAACACCAATCTATTATTTTTCTTTTCAATGAAAGCATGTCATCAAAACTAGCGGGGTGGAAAGAGCTCATTTAAGGCTACAACTTAAAGAGGCACTAAAGTGCTTTTTGAGATCCTCGTTTTATTGTCATAACTTAGTCTACGAGCTCAGAGCCTCCTAAAAAACACGAAATTACATTTATGCACGGCCAATTTGAACATTAAAAAAAGTAATAAAAGATCCCGACACTTACTGTTGGCGCAGAACGACACACGGCGCTTGTTAGCCACTCGCGAGTGATGGGTTCCCGCACGGAAGAGTGGCACTGGTTGGCCGCTCGCCCACGCGGGAGCTCGTCGCTTGAGCGGGGCTGACAAGCGCCATCCGTCATTCGACCATATTTAGCATGGTTCAGTAGCGCCACCTGTCGTTTTGTACCATTGGTAAGTGTCGGGATTTTTCATAATGTTTTTAGTATGCAAATCGGTCGTGCCTGAATGTTAATTTTGGGTTTTTTAGGATGCTTAGAGCTCGTAGTTTGAGTTAGGACCATAAAATGAGGACCTCAAAGTGCACTTTAGTGCCCCTTTGAGCATTGAATTTAGGTGCCTTCCAACACCCTGTTGAAGTAGAATGAAAAAAGTACCAATGTTGTGTTTGCACTGACAGTTGTGTGGCATACAGACACGTGTGTCAGTCTAGAACAGTGCGGAAAGTGTGCACCCAGTGTAAAACCATGTGCTTTTTGTATGTTTCTCAGCATAGAATGCATACACACATCGAATGAGGTATTGTACGAGGGAAAGTCAGTAAGTCACAAAAGTCTGTCTAAAGAACAACGCTGCGGGATACGCTCACGGTGTCTACCGACAGGGAAAACAGTGAATTGTCAGGGAATTTTAAGACACCTGGAAAACTCAGGGAAATTTCCGAAAAGATTGCCGAGTCAGGGAATTTATCCCATGCTCGCCCGCTCATGCTAGAAGCGGCAGGCACGGGCAGGCGTACCCACAAGCGCAGCAGCGCGACGTCTGCACATGGTTTGCACTTTGTTAGAGTGGACTAGAAAGCACAGTTGCAGGCTTCTCGTTTTGATGAAGAAATTAACTCCCTGAAACAGTAAGCCCTTGTCAATGCTGTATTTTAAACATCTTCAAGAGTAAAGGTAGTTGCTTGATCTAACTTAAATGAAATATTTTACATTGTGAATAGTGTCTATCCATAATATATTGCATTTTGATGTCAGTAGCTGTTTCTGGGTGTGGGTCAGGGAATTTAATTAAAATAGTCAGCGAAAACTTGAATAACTCAGGGGATTAAAAAAAAAATTGTTAGACACCCTGATGCTGTGGGATGCCTGTGGAATGTCTCAACTCCTGGTGCATAAAATTCTATCGGCTGCTGTCTCAGCCTTGTGCTTGTCTGCTGCTCTGTTGCTTCTGTCGCAATCTCAACATGACCACCAATCCGCTCCACATCAACAACATTTTCTCAACCGAGTTGTACACCGGCTTACGTGATAAACACTTCTCGCCATAAATGGAAAACATTTCCTGACAAATATCTTTTACACGAGGCCCTTTTGCTCGCAGAGTGCCCAACAGCATGCTGTTCTTCTGGCATACACTCCTCGGGCGGTCTCCATCTTTAAACTGGGTTGTGCGTGCGTGCAACCGTTGGCTAGTTACTACACAGTGAATATCATGAAGCTGGATCATGTTGTTGTCTATTGACATAGTTGGAAATTGTCACTACTTATATAAGATATTTTATAGCAGTTTGTGACTTACTGACTTTTCCTCATACATTCTGGTATGTAGATGCCCTCTGCACCGGTGTTCAACCACTATGGGTGAATCAGATGTAGCCTTCATAAATGAATGTGGTTGCCTCTCATAATGCCGCTGAATGCTACCATGGTACGGGAACACCCACGCTTTGTTTCGGAACCGCGTTACAGCGTTCATGCCAATGGCTACAATGTGGCAGTCCCATGTGATCTGCTCGCGGGCTGAAAGAAAAAAAAAACTCCTCTTGGTCAGGTGTGTAATTCACTTTCCCACTAAACGTCATCTGCTCCACCAAATGGACCGCTGGAAACGGCTGTGTTAGTGTTGTGTGCGGCAGGAGGGTGCAAGTCTTTCTGACAATGTTAAGCATCATTGTGCTTGCATAATGGTTTCCTTGACATACCGTGTTATATTCAAGAGTGGAATAGATCGGACAGCATTGTACTCTCATTGGTTGTGCAAATAACAACTTAAAGACATTAAATAAATGCCAAAACTGTGTGCAACTATTGCTGTCAATCAAAATTAATGTGGATGCGGCATGTTTATGGTACTACCATATTTTCCGGTGTATAGGTCGCTTTTTTTTTAAACATTTTTCTTGGCGCATTTTATACAATGAAGCAACTTATATGCCTTTTTTTTTTCGCGCTGCAGTGTCATTTTTTTATTCGCCACTTGCCATCTTTCGTGGAGCATCCTAACTATGTAGCCATAGGAGCTTTCTTGGCCCTTCCAGGAGGCGCTGCTGTCGCCATACTCTTCTCACTCTTCTACACTTTTCATAACTGACTCAGAAACCGAGAAATTTTAGAGTTTTCCCAATGCAACTCAATGAGGATAGGCAAGACCATGAGAATAAAGCTTTTAAAGAATGTGATTGATGATGCCTAATTCAGCTATTGTTCCGCATTGCTTTGCTTCAGTCCATTGACACTGAAAATAAGTGGGCTGGTATACACGCATTGCAGAAAATTTTCTCGTGCCTTTTTTTAGTTTTCGTTTGATGAGCAGTTTTTATCTGCCATGCTCCAGCCGTGTTGCTACATGTAAAAGGAAGGATTGCGGCTGGCCAATCTTTTAGCGGTACCAAAAGAAGTGTCAAAAATTTATCTATCTGCCCGCACTTTGATGCTTGTGTCGTCTCCGTGACTTAGCCTAGGCTGGGCCCAGTGGTCCGTAGCTTGGTTCACATGTGTCTGGCACACTAAACTTTTGTTCGCTCAGCATGTGTACACACGGATAAAGCCGACTACCTTCTGGTTTTTTACGTTTTACGTCCTTTTGCGGCGAAAAACTCGATTGCCCCCACCATGCTATGGGTATTCCTCGTTAGTCGATACGTCGAAGTTGTTGCGCTTCAAATGGTATGTGTAACTTGCCGATTGTGCAAAACTCCAATTTCGCGATACCGATGTGCGTAAAACAAAAAAGTTCAGTGCATGAACCATGCGAAGAGGTGCGATTTATACAAAGCTGCAACTTATATACCAACTTTTCTGCAAAAATGGCTCAGTATAAAGAAGTGGGACTTATACAAGGTTGCGAGTTATAGTCCGGAAAATACAGTATATCAGTTCTCTGTCGATCCAGACCTACAACATCTGATGCATTTGAATTTGAATCGAAAAGATGTTTTGCATTGAAAAGAAGCCTTGTCTGCTTGCACCGGCAGATTGCTGAGAGTCTTGTGCTAATGCTTGTGCTGGGCTACAGTTGAAATTTAAGTAGGGCACAGCTTACGCCTTCAACAGAACAGTTGAGGGGCATCTGGACCACTAGTTTAATGCCTATATTTTTGTTTGGGTAGAGTAATTAACAGATGACACCTGGTATGTAACGCAGATGTGCCACCGAAATTGAAGCATTTGACATAATCATTGTTAGAGCCAACTTTTTACGCTAATCTACCGTTAACGCTTTGATGCAAATAGCTATAGCTAAATGCATTAACAATTAAAAAAAAATGCAACACTTGTATTAAAAAGGTTAGAAAAATTATGCAAGCGAGCTGAACCCCTGAGCGTAGGAAGGAGCTGTACAAACACGAGCATACAGTTCCAAACACGTTCACGAACGACATCCTAAACAGACGCACCTTTAGAGTGAAGCGCTGCCTGAAACTGAAACATAAAAAGGTACTTTGAAAGAGCACTGCTTCTTCGAAGGTCAACAAAGGAGAGTCCTGCACCATAGCCTCCTCTATACGGATAGAGGAGGCTATGCCTGCACAAACCATCAGACAGTTGCATCACAATGACAAAAAAAAAAAAGCACCCAGAAAAAAAAAAAAAAAGGGCGAACAGAAAGAGAATGACAACTAAACTCTGAGAAGCATGTAACTGACCCAACAAAGTGACCGGAAAACTCGCATGTCGACAAAGGCGATGGGCTGGACGTGCTGACTACCCCAGCCGCGCCGGCAGAAACAGCCGCCGTTTGGCGTCCTCTAAGAAAGAAAAGGTGTGCTCAATGTCGAAGTTTTGCAAATACTACTACCACTGCTGTTGTGCAAATTGTACTGTTTTGAAAAAAAAACAAAAAAACAGAAGCTTATTATCTTCTTTTGAGTAGTAACTCACCAGCTGTGGAAGGCTCCTGTGCGTTACGTTTTATAGACTTTTTTTTTTTTTTTTTTTTTTTCTGGTGGAACAATGTTGCCTTTTGATAACCAAGAAGCATGATTGGATCATTGCATCCAGAAAGTGAACTCTATGG